ACTAATATTGCAAAACACGTAAAAATGCTGCATCTTGGTTTAATCTTATCATTAATTCCATTTGACAATTTATTTGATGTTGAACTATCGCAATATTTTGCAGAGTGGTAGGGAATCAATGTGCGATATGTTGGACAAATACATAATCACAGAATGATTTTGAAAGTGACTATCTCCCATTATTTGATGCATCAACGCGGAACCTAGGCGTACTTGGAAAGGCTTAACCCAATTCCAATCTATGTCCCTACAGCCTCACAAATTTTGGTACCTAGTAGCATAACAAGCGCCTTTTATGTTAACGGTCCCTGCAATTGTGGTAACAGTCAAACAAAAAAGTTCCAAATTGCGCCTCGTGGTGCATTTGCGAGACTCCTCAAGTCTTTTACTACAAACACACAGATATGGCAGACAGAGATGAGTCCCAAAGGTACACCCTGACAATCGTTAGATAATGTGCTAAAGATCTGCTCGTCTTTAACTTACTAAAGTTAGAATTAATGCTATGGAGGTGAATACTGTTTAAAATACCTTTTTTTAAATGGTTACACAGTTACACGGAAGTATTCAGTGTTATGAAGTCTCTGTAATTTGTGTGTTCAACGAAAAAAGTCTTTTATAAGATGGCCATTACTCGTGAATGTCATGCATGCTCGGATGTTTGTGAGCCCATATGTGTATTTCCTTGATCTGACCGCATACAATTTCTTCTAGACTTTGTATGGATGAAATGTCTTTTTAATGCTTAGTACTCAGCATTTACGTGAGTATACCTTATTGTATCATTCTATTGTTCATAAATGGGCGTGACGGTTGTGACACTTCTGATAAAAGATACGCCCATTGTTTGTAATGAAATTTACACAACCAAGAGTACGGAATATGGCTTTGTTCTCCCCCACTCGGACCTCGCCTGTAACAATGTACAAGGGTCACCACCACCGGCAGTTAGGTTCCCATTACCTTGCATCTTTGTGGCGTTATCTTGTTCAAGCGGGTTATCCGATTCCGTTTCAAGCAGCTTTACCTGGATCGCTGCTTCGGTGATGAAGAGAGGATGATTTAAAGCAGAATTGATGGAAGTGGAAACTACAAACAGTTTTTCAAAGCCTATTCATTCCGCCACTTTCGGAAAATCTGTGTCGACGCCGGTGGCTTCATATAGCATTTAAATAAATTTATGTATTTTCTAGGACTTCTTTTATTGTACTAAGATAAAACATCCATATAAGACGATGTGGTAGCAGTAATTATTGCATGTAAAGCTGTGATATTGGTATTGTATTCCCACACAAATCTTCCCAAAGGTTCGGAGTTTTACACCACTATTTGTAATTTGGATAAATATCAAATAAATGACTTTAAATGCTTTAGTAAATGTTAAAGTTGATATTTTTGTGTATTGATGTAGTCACGCTACGTCTCTTTGGATGTACGTCAAGTGTGGGTACTCGTCAGTCCCAATGGGTTTCAGAACCCGTCACACCACGCGCCACCACGAAATGCTTTATGACATCCTCAATGATGACGCGCGGTGCTGCAGTTATCAAGATGAAACTAAAGCTGCTTTATCGGCCGTTTAGTCCATTTACAATAGTAATTTGACATTTGTTTCATTGCATGGTTATCTACGCGTACTCTTTACGCTTTATATTATGAACTTCGTCTTAATGGTAGGTTGGGAAGTCATGCCTGTTATCTCTTACACATTTATATGTTAATGATAAATATTATTTAATACTGATATAGCTCAATACTACTTCAGAGAAGAATTTGGCTGATATAAAGCATTACTCACAACACAAAATTATGCAATTTGACTTTTGAAAATACTTTTAACGTGTAAATTAACAGGGAACATTCGTCCTAATTAACGGTAGCCAATTTATACTTTATTTGACCTTGTGGTTAATTACATGGGCCATTGAGTCCCCACCCAGCTGCACTTCCATCCGGCTCCCAGCCCTTCCGTACACTAGTAAAACATGTCACGGTACTTTGGCCCCTTACAACTTCAGGGAAGACTAGAGGCGCTATATCGGTGGCAGCAGCAAGGAAAACAGATCCAAAAGAACGACTATCCTGATTCCCCTGGCTGAATACCATATCGTAACATGACGGAAGGGGGAAATCAGGCGCGGATAGATAAATCTGAAACAAAAGGCTCAAAAATGAGTTTTGCCTTTTGTACTGACTTCAATCCCGTGTTCCGCGAGAATGCCATTAAAAAATGAACAAGTAAAAGACCTACACCATTTGAAAAAGGCATTATGGAGCTTTCACGGCTACCACAAAAATAGGGCAATTAAGTAAACAAGCGGTATCCTCTCTACGTTCTACTAGTTGAAGAGAACCCAGACAGATGGCTGGGCAGCACAAAAATGTAAATGAAGTGGCAGGAAAGACTAGATGCGAGACATCATCCTCGTAAAACTGCTTTAAGTCTTACATTTTATTAAGGGGATCTACTTTTAGGCAGTGTTCTTACGAATATGGAATGGGATAGGAGATGATCTCCTTAGTGAGTAGCATAAAGCCGGCGCATTTCACAAATAGGATTAAACTTCAGATACAATGGAGCCGCTATCGATTCACTATTGGTTTTACGAGTCCCGTCTACATTGTGATTTCCGACAATGAAGGTTGACAAGAGGGAGCGTTGGTGACAACGCTCAAGAGAAGAAAAGACGTGTAATGAATTGCTATAGTAGGTCCTCGAGACTTGTCTGAAGATGAGAGAAACCATAATGCTTGGCCAGACTATGTGTTTGACACAGTAGGGCTTGGGGACATTGACATGGCTCGAAGGCCAGTCCACCCAGTGAAGACAGACTGGCCAATCTGCAGGGGGAAGATTACTCCTTGCAGATGGATTCTGTAACATTAACTAATTTGTGGTTGTTAAAAAACGCATGAATTTACAAAAAGGCTTCCTAAATATAAGTAATCAGAAATCAGTTATAAAACTCATCCCACTTGCTCAAAATAGTAAAAAATCCATCACAGCATATTCCTCTTAAAGTATTTAGTATTAATTTGCGATTTTGGCATAACTTTAAGGTTAAATGGTCAAATTAAATTATTACATTTCACACAGCATTTATACTAAGGCCTTATGTGATCCAGTATGTTTAACAGTAAAAAGTAAAGATTTAAACTCAGCTATTTTTTTAACCTTGTTAATGGACTTTGTTCTTAGTTTTGCGTTATTCTTAAAAAATTTATTGGTTTCGCAAAATTTGTTTTAGTGATCTGTCGGAGCCGTCAACTGCATTACAGGCTAGGGTTTCATCGCTCGATTGGTCTCTGTTGCACAACGGTGAAAGTTTATGCATTTACATCGGTTGATGTATTGCACGTTCTTTCGCCATCTTGCAGCAGATTTGGCTCCGTGTGATAAGTTTATTCGAATTGTTCTAGTTTTGTGGCGCTTGTCCCCATGTCCTCATGTCTTGCTAGTTCTAACGCTCTCTAATGCTGGTGATAATAAGCTGTCAGCATAGGTTACCGTTATCTATTCCTAATATTCCCATTTAGGCTTGGACGACGCACCCTAGTACCAGCGAGAACTGCGTTACGAGGGTGGGTGAGACGCCCCGACCACGGCTCACGTCCATTACTCGTCTTCACATTTATTCTATGCATTTTGTGGATTAATATGTGAATCACTCCACCCACGTGTTCTGAGACATCTAGGCCTTGGTAAACACGCTGCGTGAACGTCGTTATTCGTTGGGATGAAGAACGTCCCTCATAACCTAGCTCGGAAAATTCGTGGTAACAGGCTGCCATGCCAAGAAGCGCCAGACGATTGCTGGTGCTTGGTTCACCCTTCTACTGGAGGGTAGCCACCTTCTGCATTATTTCTCGTGTTTTTGTGGCTCGTACGGACGGGATTTTGTGTGCACTGTGGGCCGGGCAACCACGTCCACTACACACTCCCAACATGTTCTGAAGTCCCAACTATTGGCAAGTGATTAGGACTTATCTCGGAAGTGGGTTAGTGCACACCTATTCCCGTGTCTCAACGATCTGTCCGCCTAGATGGGGCATTTGAGTTGCGATATCACAAGAGACAATCGGACTCGCAGGTGCTGATGCGCCACTGAAGCACTATCGATGCCTGACTAACCCCGGCGCCATACCATAAGCCGCCTTTCAGTTACGCGTGAGGTCCACGCAATTGCACGCCAGATCCATTGGCGTACTAACACCAACGCATCGTTTCACGAAGTGACGTATGGCAGAGCGACTTTCCTATTGGCTACGCCTGTTTGGCTCTCCAATCTCACACTCGTCTTGCAGACCTGTCTGTCACACTGGCCCGCTTCTGATTGGTCAAGCTACCAAATGCACCAGTGGACGATCGATGGACTGACAAAGTTGCCACAACACCCTCTTGGGTGGGGTAGGGTGAATTGCGATTAAGTTGGTAGGTCGACCTCCACCTCCGTCGTTTACGTGGTCCGCCCAATTACCAGCCAATTGTGCAAACTAGCATTCTGATCAGACCACGTGAAAAGCCCTAGCTGCAAAAATAACGGGTCGAATCTACCCTAGAAGCATTCTCTGAAATCTATGGTACCACCGAGAGTCGAACGGGGATACCTTTGGGACGAGGCCCCAGAAGTTGTCTAATCGGAAGGCTCCAAGTATTACCACTGCAACCAGAATGCATATATAATCAGTGCTTAAGGTTGCAACCTAGGTGATACTAGATCGGATATGACATAATCGAGTAAGAAGCGAAATATCTAACCTACACGTTGATTCCAAATGAGTTGGCGGGTTCAGGGAAGAGCATGGGGGGATAGAATTGGCACGCACACGATGATAATGATAACACTTCGGGACAATAGTGTCCATGGGGAACAAATGTATGCAGAAATTATAACTGAAAATAAGTAGTAATATGGCAAGGGGGAGTCAAATACTGTACAAAAGGCAAGGTATTCCTTCAAAGTAGATAGGGTTTTGTACAGAGAAGAGGCTATAAATGCTCAGGAGTCGTCATTTGAGGAGTCGTCAACGTCCACGACCACAGGAGTACTGGCGATAGTTGATGTGGGGATTACGGGCTCGGAGAAGTTGGGAGCAGGATAGCGCTCCACAGTGATGTTAGAGGCGGCAGCGGCGGAAGAGGAGGGCATAGAGGAGGAAGAAGGCGGTGCCACGGTGTGTGGGATGGCTAGAGTGTTTTGAGCGGCCACGTTGCCAGCTACACTGTTCACAAAGAGGCGCAAGGCCATATCGTGAAGCGTGCTTGGAGACCGCGCCAGCATCGGGTATCGAGTCAACAGCATGTTGCGCATCGCATTGAAGGATTCCCAGAAGACATCTAGAATGCACCCACACTGCATCACAACGCAAACAACCATCATCGGGATTAAAGAAAGCGCGAAGCCGGATATGGATCATCAAGGCGAAAACAGGGATGTTAAAGCGAAGCATGAAGGCTTGGATGAAGACCAAATTACCTCAATGTACAAGTGGAAAAAAAATTAAGGACCACTGAGCACTCTCGTAATAATCCTACTAGGTCAAATACATTCTCGTAGGAGTGGCCCGGGAAAAAAGCTTGCTGATAATTTACTAAGGACAAAACTAAGGTCGTAGCTGGAAGAAAACTGGCCATTGCGACGATGTCGATTTCCTCCCGCTAAACAGACTAGTGATTTTTGTTCAGCAGTCACAAAATCTTCGGTGGTGAAAAGGAAAAAACCCTCCGTGGGGGACTCATTGTAGCCGTTTTGTGCTACGGCTACGCAAAAGCGCATTAATAAGCGGATAACCCTTTGCGAAAAGAAAATCAAAAGACTCAAAAACATAAAAAACCACATTTAGGCGCGGAGCGGTGCAGTAGTTAAGCAAGCTGGAGCGCACACTAAGTGTAAACTCAGGTTACCTCGCTTACGCAATTGAGGATTCAGAGTCCCCAACCTGGGAGCAATCGGGCGCAAAGCCTCTAAAGCCATAATAAATTGGTAGCTTTGAGAATGAATGGGGCAGGCTAGCAGAGTTCCTACCTTTTCATTGTTAGCCACCGTATTAAAGGATTGCAAAAAACGGATTTTTTGATTAATCAGACACAAAATTAAATCTCAGTCAAAGAGGGAAAGCCAATCAAGAATACGAGGAATTGTACCGTAACCAAATATCATCTTATCCGTGACAGCAACAATAGGAAAGTTTTTTAAAACAATGAATATCTAAGATGCATCAAGTAAAAAGAATTCGAGCCAAAACATCAACAGAAGCACAACTTCCTGTTAGCATCAAGCACTTGAAAGGATGGAATTATGCTCGAATGGTATCCTAGCACAAGGCAAATAGAATAACAACTAACCTCGCTGTTGTTGCTGCGGTGGCCTGGAACCAGAGGAGGGCTCTGGTCGGTGAGAAGTGAGAGTGTGGGCTGACACGGTGGTGTACATGGAGTCAATGAGTCCGAGTGGACTGGGGTTAATTGACGCATAGGGCATCCGATTGCTGGCGGTGGCAGCAGCGTAGGCAGCGGCCATAGCCATCATGCGCTGACGCTGCTCCTCCTCAATTCGTTGTCGCTGAGCCATCAACGCCGCGGCGGCCTCTGGATTGTTGAGAAGAAGTCGTTGGTAGTCAGTCATCGGGCGACCCACGCGCTTCTCCTCCTCGTACTCGCGCCAAGCCTCAGCCCGCTCGGCCTCAGACAGACCTTCGTCCAGCCGGTTTTCCAACAGAGAGTCGTGGTTATGGTAGCTGACCACAAGGTTGGGATGGTCCGAAAGAAGATCGGCGAGCAGACGATCCCTAGGAAGAACTGGCGGAGATCTCTTCTCCGCTGTTGCGACATCCCATGCATCCGGATCGAATGTGTAAAGCTCCCTTAGGTCTTCTTCTTTGAAGTGCCTGTCAATCTGCTGTTCGTCGATAACACGCAATGCGAGTGACTGCTTCGTCACCTGCGAAGATTAAAATGGAACATACGGGAAAGTTCAGCCAAAAATGCTGAGAACCAAGTGTAGAAAACTACTAACAGGGATTACCGGATCATAAAATAAGGGATTTTATTGAAATGCTGTTCCATGCTTTAAAATTAACGCAATTATGAAAGTTGGCGCGATTTTTTAATGGCCATTAAAAAAGCATTACATATGATCTTATTAAAAATGATATAATGGCATTATAAAAAACAAGATTTAGGTCCGCTAACTGTTTACGGCAATCGTTAAAAATACAGTATAAAGAAATTAGGCCATAGTCGCTACTAATGTAGGTCCACGCAGGTTTATTGTGAGAAAACGTTTGCAAGATTATCAATGTGGCGCAAATCTGTCCTTGAAACAATGTGGTCCATATCAAAGGATGACGCGATTTCAATCATTAAACTCAACGTTTAAAAAGAATAATAAAGGGAATGGTTAGTAACAGTGAGCACAAATTTACGATTCTAAAAATATTTGTGAAGGCACCACACACATGCAACATACTTGACGATCATACATCTTCTCTTCCATCGTGCCCTGTGCAACCATGCGGTATATATAAACAGGCTTGGTCTGGCCAAACCGATAGCTCCTAAATATGGACTGTACATCGTGGCTGGGATTCCAGGACACATCAAAAATAACTAAACGATTCGCCGCGGTTAAATTGACACCCAAACCACCCGCTTTGGTTGAGATGATCAACAAACGGAAACGTTGGCTTGGGCTATTAAATCGAGTCTGTAAAGAATTCCGTTGGACCGCTGAAAGACTTCCATCGATCCGTTCGTAGTCATAACCACGCCGCCAGGTGTTTCGATCCATGTCTGAGAAGTAGTCCACCAGAGAAGGCATCTCAAATGCCTCTGATTGAAGAAGCTTGTCCAGCTCCTGTGATTGCTTCGAATTTGTATCCACTTCCAGACCCTAAAACAAACACCTCATCGAATGTTGTCACAATTTATCCAATCATGGAAATTCTTCGAATTAACAATGATACTGAATTGCCACAAATATATTAAAGTCCGAACATCTACTTAGAATCCGTAAGAGTGTTCTCCTCGTCTCATCAACTGTTAAAGGAGAGAACCCCAAAGATGAAAGGGCTTTTCAGAAACATCACAATATGCCGGTCAATGAGAAAAATCAGCAAACAAGTACATCCCATAATGCACGCTCCAAAGCATTACCCAGCCCGAACAAGATTCCATGGCCCCTACTACGCGCATGAAAAATGACACTCGTGATGTAAAGAAACGACAAACCCCTCAGTAGAGGTTGGAAAACCAGACGTTTAAGATATATCAATGTTATCAAGCAATCCGAAGTTCTGGAAAAGGCAGAGTAGCTGACCTGAGACATGCACCACTGCCTGTCGATGGCTGCAAGGAACCACTCGATGAGATCAAGAGAAAATAGACTCTGCGAGAAGACAAGGACTTTATCACCGATTTCGGAGCACTTTTTGAGAATGAAGAAGAGGGTACTCAACTTGGCGCCCACATCAATTCGTAGATCGTATTCATCTCGGTAGAAGGAATACCACCAAGGCTTTAGCAAATCGCTTTCACTCGCGTTATCGGGTTTGCCGTTGACCCGTTTCTCAGTACCCAATCCTTCCCCTACGACTGTGGACGCAAGCTGGTTGGTCTCATCTTCGCTGTCCAAGATGTCCACGACACTCGCGTTTCTTCGCATTTGTCGGAGTCGCGCTCGTGTTGAACGAGAAGACGCTAGGGTAATCTTGGTCGCAACAACGTCTGAACTGGAAGAAACGGATTTCGATCTGGAATTGACGGTTCCACCAGAATCGGTTTCCAACTCAGAAACACTAGTGCTACTTTCATCTTCATCCACTTTTTCTTCGTCCTCACTCGTCGAATCCTCTAGTAGAAGCTGAAAATGGCGGAACATCAGTACGAACTCAAAGATTTAAAAGTAGCAATTCAATATACAGCTTCAGTGACACTGGCAAAATGTGACTAAAACATTGAAGTGAGGGAACCTAACAAATTGTAGCATTTTGCTAGCGTCCGTGTGTATAATGGCTGCTCAACAGTAGTGACGAATGACAGATCAAATTTCTTTATTCCTTTATTAGAAGGTCAAATTCCTCTGCTAGGTAAAAGGACATGTGAGCAATTCACGTAGCAACTTTCGGTAACAAATGCGAATTTTAGTAGAGCAATGTGGATATACTCTTTCACCTACTAACTTCTGATTTCCAATAGTGATGTAATTCTAGGTGATGCTCTTGATATCGACAAATCCTAACGCCCGCATACGTTCTGTGGAACGCGAAGCGGTATCATCAGTGCCATCATTCGAAAATAACCACCGTTCTGCATCAGTGGTACGGGACGGTGCAAAGACGAGCGAATGTATGGATATGTGGAAGTAAGGTCAAGGTGGATAGCAATTTAATGGCCCCAAGTAACAATGCCAAGAAATAAACACACTCATATCGTAATTAGTCATCGAAATAGCGTACGCAACAAAACAAACTGATCCCTACGTCTGTTTCTATGATTTATGCAACACCGGAGTTTTTAAATAGTACAAATTTACAAAGACACGAACTCAGACAAGCACTGGTAATGAGTGGAAGTAACAATACTGACTGGCTCATCCATCGACCACAGAAGAGTGTAAACGCCCAAATTTTACGAGAAAAGAACCCTCTCCCACCTAACGCAGATGGTGTTTAAAAGAACTTACCCTCCTAGCCTCACGGGTCTCGTGCATTCGGAGGGTGTACGGATGGGTCCACACCCGATAAAGGGTTTGCTGATCACGGAAGAGGGTATTTCGCTGGTCGTCACTGGAGCCTGACACACCCCCCTCCAGGCGGTGCTGCAGAAAAGCCCGATATAATTCGCACTGTACGCTGGAAAGGCGAATTTTCAGCACATATTCCAATCGCGGAGGGAGATATTGCGTCAGGCAACCGTAGTCTCTCCTCTAAAACGAAAATTATATAAGCCTGTTAACACCAAAGAAAGGTTAAAGCATTCGCAGATTAAAGGAAAGTTTTTGTTGACAAATCAAGTTTATTCAGATAGAGTAGATAGAGCAAACTGATGGAAACTCATAAGTGGAATCGAGATAATTAGCGCAAATATGCCTGGCTTTGTGAATGCAGCCTAAAATGATCCATTAAACTATTTAATGATTCACGACTAAGGTCCGAGCTAATGAGATGGAACAGGTTATCCTTGATCAGACTTAGTAGGAAATGAAACCACGGTCATTGTTGTCAGAAGATAAAGTAAGATTATTCAAGTATTCCCAGAAACTCTAATTGTCAGTGGCTCACTGTCAAAGGGCTCATTTCATCAGACAGACTACCTATTCGTTATAACAATCCAAACTTTGTGCACACATCCTACATTAGCCAATTGTGAGGAGTGCCATTTTTCACCGTTCATGAATTCCCCATTTTAAAGGGGTAAATTAATCAATGAGCAAGAACCACGAATGAACTATATTAATTGGAAAGCTGAGAAATGAGAAGCAAATTGCGAACCTATGACTCCTAGGAGTTGGACGACGGTAAAAAAACGAAGTACAAATTATATTGAATCGGCTAAGCAGGTAGTCTGCAGAGACTAAAAAATTAGAAACTAGTGTAATTTAATAAACAGTAAAAGGCGACAGCCCTTACTTGTACGCATCCATCCAGAGTTTTAAAAAGGACATGGGCGCGCTTCTTCATAAGCTGAACATCGCGTTGGGTGGAGTTCGAATGTTGACCATTCTTGATTGGATTCACGAAACGGTTGGCGAATTCCCTAGCAGATCCCAGTAAATTTGGCTTTACAAAGTTCACCATTGTCCAGTCTAGAAAAAGCGCGAACGTAAATTGAGAAATATCAAAGGGAAATCCAAATATAATGGGAATAAAAAGTTGAAAAAATCAACATAAACAGTAGTAAAGAGCGGATAAACAACGATGAATGCCAAACACTGAAAATAAATAGGCAAGAATCATCCATAAAAAGGATATTATCAGCCTCGATGCTGAAGAAAGGGCCGCAGGTCCCAGTCCAACAATAAACTTGATCATGGTGGAAAAACGAATATATCTGAACACTTACACTCAGAAAGGTTGTTCTGCAATGGAGTTCCCGTGAGAATGACCCGTTTTGGTGTTTTGAGATTGTTTATCGCCTTGGTGACACCGGTTTTGCAGTTTTTCAGTAGGTGTCCCTCATCACAGACCACAACGTCCGGTCCCGGGTCGATGAGAGCAGTTGGAATGAGCTTCTTATAAGCCTGTTTGCGCGTCTTTTTGAGCAACGAGGTAGTTATGTTGCGGTACATGTCATAGCCCATCAGGAGAATCCCACCCTGAAGCATGTGGGTGACTTGATTAATGGTAAATAAACAGAACTCAAGTTCTAAGTGCGAAAAATATTTTTTACAACGCATCAACTCAGCCGACTACCAAGGTAAAAGTGAAGCAGAAGTACTGTCAATTATTAGTATTACTGAAGTACATACAAGTTCAAAATATGCTTCACATTACGGTGATATAAACTAAAATTTCGAAAGAGGCATACCAAGGTGGATTGTACATTTGATTCACACTTACCTCAGAATGCCAATGGCGAATTACGTCGATACGGAAATTGTTGGCTACTGCCGTGGCCAGTTCATAGACGTTGACCTCAGCATTCTCGGGCATCCAGTGCCGCCACTCTCGGTGCCAGTTTAGAAGTGTATTCACCGGACAGAGAATGAGGCATGTGCTTATTCCCAGACCTACTTCCTTGTTAATCAGCAAGGTGTGGATGAAGGCGATGGTAGAAAGCGATTTGCCCAGCCCCATGCAATGCGCCAAGATGGCGCCGCTAAGCCTACTTCTATTTTCCTTGTGCTCCTCCACGGACTCAATTATGTTGTCGTAGAGAAAACGCACGGCTGAAAGAAGGCAAAAACATTTACGCCCCGAAAAGATGTTTACCTCAAATCTACCAAAATTTAAAAGTGCACTGAGAGGTAAGATAACCAGGCCTAAATAAAATTTGTACAAGCGTTAGGACTGTACTTGGGTGAGGATAAGAGCCATAAACAACACATGCGCATGGATAAGTGATGCAGATATGCTCAATAAAAGCCCATATAAATGAATGTAGGGTACATGAGCTACCTTGCACCTGGTGGGGTTTCAGATGTTTAACAAAATCCGGATGTACTTCTACAAGAGGATCATCGGAATCCTTTTTGAAATCGAGCACCAGACGCGAACTCTTCGACGCAGACCCTTCGTTCGCATCTTCCAACACACTGTTGTACTGAAATTATTAAATGCAACTCGTGGCGCCGATTAGCAAATATCAATAAAGAGGTTTTAGAATAGCAGTGATGACAAAAAAACTGAAAATCGGGAAACATGATTGATGCAAACAGATTCGCATTCCACCCGCGATATCCGAATATTATTATATTGCCACGAATATTATGCCATCTATGCGACGATAAGGTATTTAGTCAAAAGAACAAACTTTGCATGGATGACTTTAAAGTTTGCAATGAAGTGATCAAGCCACATTTACGTTCAGTTGTGGAAAGCATGGGAATTCATTTGAAAGTACACCTAAAATTTAGTGCAAAAAAGACGTTTCGAAAATCTAGCCTGAATGATGGTACATGCTCACTTCATTTTCGGTAAAATGAGACACATTTGATAACTATACAGACAAAATCGATATTACCCAACTATATTATAAACAAAAAACATCCCAAACTTACCAATCTCTGCCTTTCTTCAAGACGTTTCCGCCTTTCACGCTCCAGAGCTTCTGCATTTTTAGTTTCAGAGGAGAGCTTTTTGTCCTTTAGAATCTTCCTAATCTTCTTCCTTCCCTTTCTACCATCCTTGTCATCAACATCTTCTCCCTCCTCTGCGCCCTCTTCCTCTTCACGAGCGTCTCTTTTCGCTTTTTCCTCTGCTGCTTTTTTATTCTCACCCCTTCTCTCCTTCATACCACTATCTTCATCAACATGAAGATCTGAGAGACGGCTACGGCTATTGCTGCTATTACTACTGCTGCTGCTGGAACTTGAAGACCTACGACATCGACGCAAACGGTGTTTCATGGAGCGCCCACGTTTTCTTGTAGACTTATCGATTTCCACTTCACCTCCACTTTCCATACCCATGGATCCATCTCCATTAGCTTTTTTCGCCGTTTCCTCATCAGAACCAGAAGAAGCGATATTCCGACGTCGCAATGCGGATTTCCCACTATTCGCAGTAGTGTAGTCAAGAGCGATTTCGCATGTATTCTGACCCACCTTCACCTCTTCGCCTCCACCCACTACCATCGATTTGTTATCGGTTACCTTCTCATTACCTTCATCATCAGAGCCAGAAGAAGCGATTTTTCGACGTCGGATAATTGGTTTGACTGTACTTCCTTCCATGGAGAAATTAAGAGTGATTTCGCGATTGGTTTCCTGATTCGGAATCCCCACATCTCCGTCCTCCTCTGTCTTCATTGGCTTACTTCCCTCTGGCTTTATGTTTTCCTCACCGGAACAAGAGGTTGTGGCAGCACGCCTGACTGTGGAATTGGAGGAATTCTTTGCAGATGGGAAAGAGGAAGAATTAATAACAATTTTGCATTTATCTTCATCCTTTGTCTCATTTAGAGCGCTTAGCGACCCGACTTTGTTAGTCTTTTTTCTAGTTTCTTCATCAGAATCGGAGGATTCAATCCTTTGCCGTTGAATAATGGAATTAGAGAAATTCTTTTCCGGGGAGGAAGAGGAGGAAGAAAAAATCATTATTTCATCGTCAAATGCAGATGTGGTAGTGAGGTGCTGACTGTCAGCATCGACAAGAGAGTGAGGATTCACAAATTGTTCAGTTATCACAGAATCGCTAGCACTAAAAACAATATAAAGTTAAATTAAACTAAAATTGAAAGTTAAAGATTCAAATATGTCAATATACAGAATATGGACACAGCCCTACTTTGTGACAACGATTACAAGGGAAGTAAGCCGACAGTACAATAAAGTCTGGTAATCAACCTTACTCGCGAGAGACAACGATGAAGCCGACTCAAATCTAATTTTGACTGTCTAAACCATTTGAATGCTTAAAGAGCAATCATAAGGCTACCAGGCCTAATTGAAAATGAACCCCACTATCATCTGCCAATGTTACAAATGTTGCTGAACTAAGAATGAAATCATATTTAGAACGCTGACATTTTCCAAGTATCATGGAAATGACCCAAGGGGAACTATGTACACTTGATGAAATACAAAAGAACTATTCATATGGGAAAAAAGGCAAAGGCAACACAAACTTCTCCCTAAAACGAGGGTGATATCCGACATCACACAAACGTACGACTGTCTGTGCTTAGGATCTGCAGCAGACTCGGAGCTTTCAGAATCTGAGGATATAGTGATAGATTCACTATCGTTGAACATATTGGGGCGCGAGTTTCGGGAGCGAACATGCTGAAGCGTTGCTGAAGGATCGCTATTTCTTGAGTTAACAGAACTAAAACAAAGTATTGAGTTTTTTCTGGTTTAACATACAGAGCGTGAGTCGACTCAGTTCAAGAATATGTTTATCTAACCGCAATGAGTGCACGTGCAACGAAGTTATGAATGGAATAAAATTAGGACCATTCTTAATCAGAATCGAAGAGTGTCAGAAATTCGTCTAGATTTGTCCTGAACGATACTAGGCAATTAATGCATCCACAAACCATCCTTAAATTTGTAATTGATAAGTTATTCTCCGCTGTACTTAATACTACAAATACGAACCTCAAACAAAGCATTTTTAAAGCGATCTTAACAGGCTTGCCTTAATGTTTTGTGTGAAGTGCTTTGTTAAAAATCAAGGCAAATATAGCAATTCTTTTAGTCCTCGTTAAAATTTGTAAATATTCAAAACCCCTTCTTTTACGTAACCTGAAGTCTTTTTACGGAGTTAAGACGCCACAGAAGTTACTTCAAACATCTACCTTTGGAGCGATTATATCTATGTAAATAGTAATAATGCGGTTTAAGCCTCTGACTATTGGCAGTGTATGCTCTGCCTTAAATTACCAATACCAACTCGAAATGCAACAATAAACGATTATATATAACGGACTTACGGTTTCCTTCGTTTTGCAAAAGCTGAGCTTGCAGTGCTATCAGTTGTACTTCCGTTGTCACTCATAGGGGAGCTCTGGCTGCCACCGGATCGCTTTAATCGAGAAGGCATTTGTAGAACCAAATCAAAATGGTAATTCCTTTGGAATGCGACTTAAAATTTGCACTCTGCAAAGGGAAAAAGAAGTAAGCAGCAATCCAAAGGTGGGGATTCCAAACAGGTGAACATACTTGAGAATCACAAGGCTGACAAATAGAACAGCATGCCAGTACAGAGATTGGGAGAAGCGAAGTACTCCTAACTGTAAGAAAACCATTTATTTGCAACAATGAAATAGGCGTACAGCACTAATAAGGCTCTTTCGATAAACATTTTATTCTGGATGAAAGGAATATACAATACCGTTCAGTGAAAAAATTACAGGGATATGTATAGGTGATCAAGAAAGGGATAAGGTCTCTGTACATTCAAGAACTAATGTAAAATGCAAATTCTCAGAGGCTTCAATCGAACCGTGAGGAAAATCATTGTCATTTGCTGCAAAAGTGAACGAAATTCTGCCCAAGTCGTTCCCAGGAGATAGCACCTATAGGAAATACTTATGTGACAACAGCCGGTTACATGACAAAATATACGCTACCAAAAAACAAAACAACTACTTCAAGTGTTACAATTGGAATGAAAAATAATGAATAGTTGAAGTGTTGGCAACGGAATGAGATCTCATCGCATGGTGCGTGTATTCACTGAAAAAGTATTAAACCGGAACACAGGTACAAAATCGTGCACAAAATACAAAATATCAATCCTAAAGCGATAATAATTAAGCAGCAATTAGCGAGAAAACTCCAGCTATTAATTACGAGATATCGTTATAAGCTTCCACAGAGCATTCTGCTGGATACGGAGGCACCAGGGTGTTTGGAGGTTGCTGGCTTTTGCATCTCAATACCTTCCCTGGCTAGCCCACCAGCTGTTGATTTAGCTGAATCGGGTACAACGCCGTCTGCTTCAGAGGCCCACTTCCCCATCACCTCGTGGGATATCGAAGAGGACAATGAAGTGGGAGGGGCGACCCTGATTCTATCTGTAGAGTTCTCTAGGGTTTTCCGCCGTTTTTTCGAGGGAGACGCACTGGAGGCTGAGTTGGAAGCACTCCCGCGCCTTCGCCTAGAAGCATTAGGGGGTGTGGAAGCTGTCAACTGTGTTTCTGGCGGATGATGCCCGTTAGTTGGTCGCCCAACGGGCTCTAAATCATCGGTTAGGTCAATGGTATCAGTCAATTTTGGTATCTGTGAAGAGCATGTTGAAGCCTTGTCCCCAAGATCCGTGTTAACTCGCGAAACTACGTTAGCGATCCGCCCAAGTAGGTGAAAGCGGTAGATGCTCTGAAACGAGTGCACAATCGCCTGCACTTCCTCAAGAGTCCTCGCTCGGGACAAATTCGCTTCAACTCTTTTGATGTCATTGCTGAATGTTTCGACACAGAAACGGAGAGATTGGACCACAGGACGAATAATGGGAGGGTGAATGCTTGATATCTGGTTGAGAATTCCTGCAACACTCGTGTGTTCTAAGTACCATTCACAGGTGTTATAATTGTTTGATAGGCATGAATTCGAAGTCTTGACAGCAGTGGATACCTTAAACAATACGATCAGTTTACTCATCAGTTACCTTAGAAGAGTCCTGACTTGGTTTTGCCGCCGTCTGACTTACAGCTTTTCCTAGGCGCAAATACATTTCAATTAAAAATCACCCAAAATCTACCATCAGAACAATAAGCTGAGAACACTGGCAACAATTCTAAAAGTATTGATATATAAATAGGAAAGAAAGATACTTCAACATAAAATACGCAGTCTTGAGCGACCGAAACCAAAACCAGCACCATTTAGCTTAAATAAAACCCACCAGCTGTCCTAGGCGTAATTGGGATGGGGAGTCTATTACGCTTGAGCTCAGCTCGCTTTTTCGCTTGATCTTTAAGGGATTTAATACGTTCGAAAACCTTTAAGAATATCACCGGAATACAATGAAGAATATACCTCTAAACATTCTTGTTGCAACGGTACCAGGACGGAAGGATTGCATATAAGACAATTCCAAGAATCATCATCGTTCAGGTCTTCAATATCCTGTAAGAATGATCTACCAAGATTTCGTTTTATACAACTTTTGCAGAAGGTATTGGAGCATGAATCGCAACATATAAGATCTCCTCCATCGCCACACCACCTACAATTTTCATCTTTACCATCCACGTCCCTAGCAAACTCGCCCTTTCCATAGAATTTGAGACAACGCTGAAAACCCACGTTAGAAATGAGGACTAATTTACCTTGCAAACAATAACACTCAGATGAGGATGCATTGCACAGGCAAACGGACTAATGCGAACAGCGCAACTAGTGCACCTTGCAGTATCCACACCGCCAATTTGAAAGGCACTTGCAAGTGGTTTTCTCGGCAAGACACCATCTTGAAGATCAAACTGGAAAGAACAACCCTGCGTTTCCTCAACACCAGCTGGTTGGACAACAGGGGTTCCATCCGATAGCACAATGTTGCCGGTGGCATCAGTGGAGAAAATTGGTTGATCGTTGGCCACATCCAACTCTCGATTGGATTTTCTGGTTTCAGATTCTGTCTCATTTAAAAAGTTAGAGTCAGCAGGTGCATCAGGTTTATCACAAAAGCCAGAATTGGTTATACTGGAATTCACAATAAGTTTAGTAGCAACTGATTTCCTAATAGATTATAGGAATGTAAGTCCCACCCTACTTTCTCATTGTCTGATAATGACCAGGAATGGTTTAGTCGCAAGATGTATCCACAAAAGACAACCAATCAAGGCGGGAAATCGAAACAAGGCACCACATTCAAACTGCACCGAGCAATGATTGCGGCTTAATGGACGGTTAATTAAAAGAATACCCTAAGTTAGTAAATGCTGTTATCACAAAAAAGCAAGACAAAAGAACCCAAAACCATTTTTATAAGATATTTGATCGTCGAAGAGATGCTTAAATCATCCCAGCAAATTAAGAGACAGCTTGACCCCCACCGATTCTGGAAGCAACATTACCACGTCACCAGCCCAAACACGGTCCTTAACTAATAAAAAACACAGCAACCCCTCCACCCTCTTCAATTGACTTGAGTCTATTTTAGTGTTTCGATTGGGATAAATGCCGATTTGATTAAAAAGTAGCAATAGTCGCATGACAATTGCGTGGTGTCCCGAGCTTTCGCTTAAGTCGTAATAAGTCAAGGCTCCATAGAATAACAGTATTAGTAATCTACAAAAAAGATAGCTGACTATTATTTCGGCCAAAAGGCAACGCCGCAGAGTGAAATTACATCCTGTCAAATTTAAAGTGCCCGAGTGACTAAGTTAAATACCAAAATCTTATAAGTTATGCTAAACCATTCATTTTCTCCTCACTTTAAAGTCCATTTTACAGACGTCTAAGCTTTGCTTTATCGAAAGTTGATGTAATGCATTGGTTGTTTGTTTAGCGGTCGGCTTTGGTAAAGGGTCACCTTATGTTAGCCGCTGTACCTCACCGGGTGGGCTGACCTTCGGGCTATGCCAGTAGCCCTAAAACCTTCTGTGTCGAACATATACATATACATTTCGTCTTTTGGGAAGCCCCGGGGTGCTAAAGCGTTGACTAAAAACTGGTATTAAAATAACTGGTAATTATAATTTAATAATTTTCACTAAATTTACTAGTTTACCTGCAGCCATTTAATCAGGACACAAATTAGCAAAATAGGTAGCACATTTGCACAATACAGGGCCTATTTCCTCCATCAGAAGTAAAGTAGCATCCCGAGACCTCCCTGAAGACGAAAGAAGACACAATACTCGAGCAGAATATATAGACAGCACGAGAAGGTGTTTGGGCTATTGGCATGGTCCGAAGGCCAGCCCACCCAGTGAGGTACAAGAAGGCTAATTCAAAGTACAAAAGTGGCGCTTCACTACAACTGAGGGATAAACCACCATCGTATTACAGTAAGGACTTCAAGTTTTCCCTTATTAACCCCAAAATTGGCAAGAAAGTTCACCAAAAAAATAGCCAATGGATTGGAAATTGTATAGGTACAGCGCTTTAAAACTTCCCTGAAGACGAAGAGAGATATAAGGCTCGATTAAAATATGCATTATGGGCCTACAGTAGGGCTTGGAGCCACTGACGTGGCCCAGAGACCAGCCCGCCCGGTGGATGTGCAATAACGGAGCCCCTAAGTGAACCATTACCAAAATTGAGAGTTTAATGAACAATTAATGTGTTACATTGGCCTCCTAGAGAGGAATGTTTCTTTGCCGTCCTAACAGCGGCTCTCGCACGAATCTGAAAAATCATTATGTTAATCCATCAGCAGGATCGGAATATCGTTTCCAAATCAAAAATTCACTTTTTATGCTATAATTGCATTTATATTAAACACCTATTCGTTTGTGCATACATTTTCAGTCCGATGGAGAAGTTGTTTGCTATTGGAGCTGCCTCTACTTGATTCACCTAAATTAAGGGCCTGCTAGAATTTCAACAAATTTGTGAATCTACTGCCATGGTGATAAAACTCGTGAATGCCATAGGAGTTGCTTAAACACTATATTCTTAGTGCCCTGATAAAAGGGAAATAAATAAATATATAGAAACGCTGAAGTTCGTTAGATTAGAGTAGGAGCGTTACGCCATCAAGTAAATACGCTTTAATCAACTTGTTCATCAAATTTCTAATAAAAAGAAATTGCATTTAGATACTAGTTTTATTTACTCATTTTTTATATAGTAATGTAGCTCTCTGAGTCTTCCACGAAGTACAGAGCCAAAGTACTGCGGAAAACATCTGTTACCAACACGCTGTAGGGTTGGTAGGCTACCAACGTGGCCCGAATGCCACAAACTCGAGCGAAAGTTACGCTTGCTGGAACTCAGGGGTCTGTGTAGGAAAACAAGGCAAGTTACTACAAAATACAAAACCATAGGATTAAATTATATGATGATTAGACGTCAAATCGTTAGCAGTCTATACAGAGTATTTCTCTGCGATTGTGCGCTTGCTAAAAACGCTTTAAATAGTGCCAAAAATGTAGCAAAATCATTTGATATTCTGATATCTTTGTGTTCGCAAAATGGAAGTAAGAGCTTGTCCTCATAGTTCTTTCATAGAACTGTTGATTACATTAATTTGAGTTAATAAACTCATCCATATGTAGACTCCTCTACTGTGCCACAAATTATCCAATGCATTTATGGTCTTAAATTTCACCTTAATCCCGGTGAAAGTTTCCTTCTTCATTAGCACAAGGCTACGAGCAATAAGTTCTCACTCACTCCCCTATAGTTGCGACTTCTCTGAGATTGGTCTTCGATCGCATTCAGTTTTGATTTCTTAACTGAAAAGGTGGAAAAGTTGTACTAACCTATTGGCATTTTCCACTCCGTGGAAAGTGGCGAAGACGATTGACTGGAAGAGTTGGGATCGCAAAGACTCAGAATTGTAAGGCTAGGTTCGAATTTCTGTAATTTCAAACGCTAACTCGTTTCCGTCCATACCCCTTCTTTTGAGCACCATTGCTCATATCCGCCGTGTCTCTACCATTATTCAAATCCTATGCGACCCCTAATTAACCATTAAAGTGAAATGAGGTGTGCTTCGTTATTATGTGAAGTGAGCAAAAAACAAAGAGGGTAAGAAGAATGAGAGGCAAGTCAAAGAACTATGGATTTGCCGCGTTTTATCGAGGTGTTTGTGAGAGAGTGAGGGCGATGGTGAGAGGAGAGTGGGATAGAGAGAGGGAGCCCATGGGAGGCGCAGCTGGTTAGAAGGTAAGGAAATTATCCTGGTTGTGAGGGTGCATGTGCGAGAGAGTTAAAAAAAGAGGGACGTAGGAATGAAGATGGAGAAGACCGATGAATGGCACTGTTGACCAAATATTTTGCTCGGGTAAAGGTGCCTCGGTTGAATGGTGTGTGCACATGGGGGGAAGGAAAATATGAGGCACAGCTTCCCCATTAACAGGGGGAATGAAACGACAGGAGAGCTTGGCTTTGTCATCCAAAGATATGAGAGAGGAAAAAAGGATGGGAAGGCGGAGGAAGCCGCGACAAGAAGTGCACCCGCAAGTTGATGGGAGAATTGGCCCAGTTGAATGGCGTATGAGCGTGAGAATTACAGTTGGGTAGAGTCGCTAAGCATTGCTGTTACCAGGGTAAGGTGGAAATGTGCAAATGAAAGTTGGGAAATTTCTCCTTGAGCAAGTCGAAACATTTTGTCAGTCTATTTTAGCTGCACGGATATGTGTGGATTCGTCTCCAAAAAGCCCGACAGGTTTGGTGGAGCTGACCCGGGTTAAGCACGATTTAGCGGTCACATTGACATTTGATGCCAATCGCTCGACGATCCTGAGTATTACGGAAAACCGCAGTCTACCGCTTCGTTTACTCATAGTCAACAGTGCACTCCCGCGTTCACGTGGATAGTCTTGATGCAGCGACGCTGCTGTGCCTCCCATCACCTCAGAAAGAATTTGGACACCAGTGAAGTGAAGAGGATGTTAAATAAATGAGAATCAGTCTTCCACCGAGGTCTTATTCACTATTTCCATCCTTGACATTTGGCTTTGCCCTCTATTCTACCCTATTCATCTCACACAACCCCGTTTTTTCATCTTCCATTCGCCACCTAGAGGGCGAGCTCCACTCTTATGGTACTTCGTCCGTTTCTTTAAATTGCTCAAATCCACCATTTTTGTGATCACACCCATTTCTCGATGTGGCAACGCGTAAACTTTCGCATGACAGTACGCATGCACGTAATCGGCAGGTTATTGAATTAAAAAATAACAATTATGCTATTCATGTAACCAATCGGTAAATAACGTAACATACTTTGGTGGAACTGCCTTTTTAAAAAAATAAGCCTAATTCTTCATTAAATACAAGGAATTCAAACATCTTGTAAGTGGAAGGCACTAGATTCCTGCAGTAAATCACGAAACGTCCACATCTCGAAATTGTAGCTAGACGGACTTTGTATTATTTGGGATCAAAAATCCCAATCAATCGTTGTACCATTGTCTAATGTCCCGATCTGATATTTGTTACTCGTTAGGACACATTTACAGAGTGGCTAGACACTTCATTCAGGCTCCCTTTTTCATGATACGTCTCCAGTTTGAAAGAAAGTTAAAGCAAACCCTATTTACTTACCGAATTACCTACTCCCATTCACTCTGCGGACGGTCTTATTAGCTCAGAATTACTTGTACAAAAAAATTAAGCCTCTATTTACGATCTATTTCGCGCCACCGACACCACGCACTATCAGAGCAACAAAAAAATAATTTAAAAGGCCATCACTTTTATCTCTGATTTGTTAGTAAATGGACTACGTAAATCCTTACTCATTGTGAATTCAGTGCATGATTTTATTGAGGTTTCTTTCACAAAGCGCATCTATTTAACAGTGTAGTGCTTTCTACTTAGATTAACCGGTGCAGATAATCTACTTCTTGTTTTGGAAATGACATTTTGAAACTGTGTAATGTGCGACCGATAGTGAATACACTGGTTGCGAATTTTGACCGGCATGCCACTATGGTTGCCAGTCTTGTGCACCACCACCAACATCTTGGGGTGCTCTTATACATATGCCCTCCTAACATTGATCGAAACCTGCACACAGGTTCAGTAGGTGGCAAATTTCCCTCTATTTTTGAGTTGATAAACAAAGTTTTTTGCAGAGCTGTTGGAAACGTGCTGCGCATGAAGTCCAAATGGATGGTTTCATATCACATCCCCCAATTTACTGGATGAGTCATCTCTGGGCGAGTCTACACAACTTACCTACAGATGCTTAAGCCACTCCCCATGACTTGATATGATTCGCCCTCCGTATCGACTCTGAGTTTCCAAACTTGCACTTTTATTCTATTGAATGACAATCTTGGAACTAATGACCCAAATAGCATACAAGCTTACAAAGGCAAAATATCTAAACCAATGCTTCCGTCTCCGTCCTTAGTGGTGTAGTACCCTTTAGCGGATCAACAAGGGCCTGTGAAATCACTAAGGAACTAGGCAAGGCGGACCGGCAGACACGAAGACCTCCAGAGTTACCGCATATTTTGTTAATGACAATAAAGCACACTGCTGACAGGTGGCTACCTGGACTTAGCATAGCCTGATTTTACGTGCAGGATAATTGAGCACAATCTATCGCCACTTTTCACCTGAATTCCGATATGAGCAACAAAGTAAAAAAGAGGGTTAGACAGATCCCGTTGTTCGCCTTGTGTTATTGACACAGTGACATACATGTCAAAAAAGCTAATGAACAAGTATTACTATAATTTATACAAATTTGAAGCACTTTCGTTAAAGTTGATTAATCCAAAAGTTAGGTGGGATTAAATATGAGTTATTTAAGTATCAAACTGACTACGATGGTCCAGCCGCCATGATCGACCTAGATATGTTGATGTAGTTGTTGTAAAGAAGCGTAGGCGTCGTACACGCTGACAAAGACGATGGAATGATCAAATTTCTCAAACAAGCCAGAGCGTATCAAGGACTTGTGAACTGTTCCTGCCAAAGAGTGCAACACATATGATGTTAATGCATTGAAACACGGTTTAGGAGCGTAACCTCCTAACAATAATAACTCTAATGAGCCGAGAAACTGATGGCACTTACAACAACCTGCTTAGCATAAAGAATTCTGAGCGTTAGTTGCATCACCAAAATAATTTCAAGATACAAAGCAAAGTTGAAAAATCAGTGGGAATTATTCAATAAAGCAAGATAAGGAATGAAACGACTAGAGAACCACAGTTATCGTCTTTTAACCTAATACGGCCTTCAACATCATTGGCTAAAGGGAAGAACATACATCGTGGTTTCTACGATTAAAATTGTAGGCCAGGGTAACTAAATCTACAATTGACTGCAAGGCACCTAATTCCATTTAGTCAATCTAAATTAGATATAACAAATGAGAAGTCTTGTTGAGGAAATAAATGGCAAAGACCGAACTCAGTGTTGAAGGGTGACACTCAAAATGAAAAGTTAATAGGCTTGAAAGTTGAGACAGGTTCTCACTTGAGGGCGACGCGAGGTAAACCTTGACCCCAACCTCATTGTAATCAGAAATTAGCTAAAAATGAAATGCGATCAGACTGCATTACCAACCAGAGCTGTATGGGTGGGCTACTGCGGTGACCAAATGCGTCAGTTTTAGCTAATGTGAGTTCCCACATATTCTTTTCAAATTGTTTCTTACACATGGTCTCGATCTGTTACCTTAGTGAGATGAATTTTACGGCTTCATGCATGTTCCCTTGACTAAACACATTGGAAGAACCAAATTTTTGACCCAGATCTGTATTGTCAATGATCACTCAATGAAGTGTCGCATAGAAGTTAAGATAGTCAGCCAAATAATTAGGCACTATTCTACTACTTTTGCCTGGTCATTCTAATTCATTTGAAGTAATCGGACAGTGCCGCAAAGTGAAAAGGTCGATTTAAAAGAATTTATGGCAAAATAAGTATACAAGTGTTTGTGTTTCCTATCAATCTACTAAGGAAGAAAGCGACATTACGGAATCGAGAAAAGATATTGGGACCAACTAGATAGCATCGAGCTTTTCGCAAAATGGGAAGATTTGACTGACTACCATCTTTTGAGAGAAAAAAACGAAAGGGAAGAATAGCATTAATTGATACGCTGCTGTCAAGACCAGAGCTAAAGGAATCGATGGCTTACCGCTTGCAGAGTGTTGGCACCGACAACATCGACAAAAGTCCAGGCGGAGCAGTCAAGAATGACATGAGTGAGAGGAACACTAGCGAGGAGATCGGAGAGTTGGTTGAGCGCCTCCTGCTTCCTGTTCATAGCCTCCGGATGTGACATGAAACGCCTGCAGTTGCCGCAGGTACACAAACACCCACATCGGCTATCTCTGCTGCACTGTCCCTCGTTCAGCTGCACTTCTGAGTAATGCAAGAAAGGAACATGCTAGTGTAATATGTTGGCTAACTCTCGGTTCTGGTGAGGAGTCACTTTTGGCTTGGCCATTGTACCACGCCGGGTGGACAGGCTTTCGGGTCATGTCAGTAGCCCAAATACGTTCTCTCTGTCGAATACGTATGCTCTCTCCAAATATTACGGCTTCTTTCGTCTTCGGGGAAGTCCCGGGATGCTACACTAACTTCGACTAATTTTTACATTAATTCAGAATCAAACCATCCTTTAAATTGCAATTTGTTGTAATTTATTAAAATGCTACATTCTTTACCTAAAGAATAAGATATTGCCTAAATTAATAGCGTAAAGGCTTGTTCTTAGTTAAAACTATGTTCTCAATAACATTGCCACAAGCTCAGGTCTTAAGATAAAAAAGGCTATCAATGGTACAGACTACTTGTTATGTGGTACAAATATATTTACTTGGCGGCGAGCTATTGCATTCTCGCATTAAAACAGAATAGACGAGAAAACGATGTAATCACGACATTCTCAATGATCGGAATTCGGAGTTCCTAATATGATCCAAAGCATAATCTTAATGGATAATGCTGCACGTCTTCATGAGAGCCCTCCCATTCGGAGCAACATGACGCGTTTTGAGCGCCAGTTGTTAATTCTCAAGTGATTAAAAAATATTTCTAACGAAGTCTTGCGGCTTCCAACCACCAATCTGCGGTCATAATCATCAGAGTTTACTGTGTATAACAAAAAGACAATTTTAACAAGAATTACGAATTAGAATATCAAAACTAGCAATACGGTTTAAAGGCCAATAAAGTCAGGAATAAATACTGCTTTCTTTCACTTTGCACCCTGCAAATTCGACACCACATGTTTGGAACCTTCATGCCAAATACGTGTGCTCCGACCCAGCGGTTAGCGTGAACACACAGCTCATGCAATAAGGTCATGGAATGAGCTTGGTAAATAACAAAGCAAAGGCACCACGTCCACGCAAGCAATGATGGGTATATGCTTTCGCTATAATTAAATTTATAACGTTTGACTAACATTGTGTTTGAGTAAACGATGCTGAAAGTTACGAGCACTGGCCCTGAAAGCCAGATAGCAAGGCTGTAACTCCACATGCGAAAGGCAATGTAACATAATTAAGCTTAGCCAGATGCTCCCACTGCAAAAGGCAGCTCTAGTAGTTTAATAAGAAGCTACCTTCCAAAGGCAGAGAGGAGAGCTGAATGTCCTCCTGGTCAAATGCAACGGAATCATACTCGGAGGCTTTCGAGCTCAATACCGCGTCAGCCTCCTTCACTGCAGTGTCGAGCCTCTTTTTACAAAATGCAACGGGGCGGGGATCGAAGCCAGTGGCGTCGATGACTGAGGAGAAGAAAAACTCCGCTCCCGCATAGAAGAGACCACCTTCGTATCGAATTACCTTTACCCTAGGGTCTTCAGCACACTGTTTAAACAGAACTAGTCGGTAAAAGTGCAGAAAAGATCATATAGCGTTGCGCAGCTAAATGAACCCACAGCGGCATATACGTTAGTAGGCTTAAAAAACTCGGTGCTATCGAATCTGCCAATAGCGAAGGCCTTTGAAAATTGTGAGCGAACGAAGACAACGAGGGCGGAAAAGGTGACACCGATGATCAGGCCATAAAGTACATCCAAGAACACCGTGGCCGTAAATGTCACCACCCAGGAGGCCTATAAAACAAAAATCGGTTGAAGTGATAATTAATTAATTAAAATCCTCCCGCAGATTATCAAAATAGGAGCTGTTGAAGTTAAAGAAGCCGTCGTGCATAACCTTTTTAGTCTGGGCAATAGGCATAGGTGAGTATCTCACCGAATGGGATGACGGCCTATTCTGCAAAAGATTTGTCTACTAAAAACATCCGCTTGATAGCTTAAACGAGTTTTTTATTTTACCAAGGCAGTAAAACGTTAAAATAACACATTGCAAGCTCAGGATGTCTTTCGCGGCTACTTTGGACGACCCTGCGTCTCCTAAATTGTGGCCACTAGGTACCTTTACAGTTATACAAGGGTAATAAACAAAGAAACTGCTTATCAGTTCAAGTGAGCAATGCACCAGATCGTGGTTTGGAACATTATTGCAAGATTCGTGAGAATTCCGCTCAGCACTGATAATAATTCCAGCTGTAAAACAACAATATAGTGTCATTCCCCGCTCAATCGGCGGTCATTTTCTCGCGAGTTGAAACATAACAAGAATATAAATCGTTAAGAGACGTGAATAAACATTGTGTTAATCTGGGGAAAGTGATATAATAGTCCAAAAAGGGGTTTGACTTACGAAGTCCCAGATGGAATAGCGCCACAGAATTGGGAGCTCCAGCAACTGAGCAACCATACCTCGCAGAGCCACGAGGATAATAGCAGAGAGACAGCACTATTTTGAAATGAAAAAGTGATTGCTCATTACCGATATTTACTGGGGGGATTGCAAAGGTATGACATGAATTGGGAAAAAGAAGAGAGGATTGAGGGCGCTGAGCATCCGACTCACGTTTGGGACATCATAGAAGAGAGGTCCAGCAAAGAGAACCACCAAGAGAACGAAAATTGAAGCGATAAGTCCCACAATTTGACTCTTTCCGCCCATTGTGGTAACCAGCGCAGTCCTCGAGATCGACGCACCCACCGGGTAAGTAGTGAAGAAGGAACCCGATATGTTGGTGATTCCGTAGGCCATCAACTCCTGCGTAAGGTGTTAATTGACGGTTGATTACACACATATTGTGCGGTCCATCAGTCAATCTGAGCATGCCGTTCACGCTTTCAGTCTTTAGCCGCAACATTCGTTGAACCACATCAAAGGTGAGTCAAACATCTATCCTGTACTCAAAAATTCAAACCAGTTTAAGAACTAACGCTGTTCTTTGCCAACAAAGCTTGGATTTTTAATGAGCCACTCCTAGCTAAATAGCTGAACCCGAGTTCGGAAAATAATCAGATTGGAATTTGAGTGTCACACCAACACCAACAGCCAGTCTTCAGGCTCCCACTTTGGATGTGTACTTTTATATACCAACTACTGGTGGAGGTGATAAGAGTGCTACCTTAATAAAAGCTGCTTTGGTACATTGTGAAATGATGTCGCGTCAATGACATGGTGACAATAATTCTATTACTTGTCTTTCAACCTCTCAATCAACTTATTTAGTGGACTAATCTCAAGGCGAGTTTTAAACACTACTGAAACTAATGCAACTAGTTGCAAAATATATGCGCGACTAAAGTTAGCTTGTGCATCAAAATTCATGTTGTTAGTCCAGCAAACAATTGAACTGATCGAGGGGGTTCGATTAACTATTGAATCCTTGTTAGCTATTGTCAATTCCCCACTTTTAAGAAGCATGCTCATCTTATTCGAAAGGTCGATTTAAATCCATAACGTTTTTCATTCAAGTAAGCTAAACAAAGAGCAACAATGGAATCGAAACGAGCCTACCTGATTGGGATCCACCTCATAGCCCTCCTTATGAGCATAGAAGGAGGCTAGAGAGTATGAGAGGGAAAAGCCGATGAGAGCTATTACAAACGCATCGCCGATAACTCCACCAGCTAGTGAAAGACGCGGTACAGTGGGTTCTGGAAACCTGCAAATAAACAGAATCTGACCATAACCACTACCATTGTAGTCCTTCATTAAATGAGAAGCCCTAGCAAATCATTTAATTTTGCTATGAACGCACACAGTCGTCGTCTAATAAAAACAACCAGCAAATTTTGTCGAACACTCTAATATATTGTGAAGCCATAACCACAGTAAGCGTGGGTTAGATGAATCGGTTATCGGTAATGGTAGAGAATAAGGCTAGAGGACAGGTTCGAATAGTAAAACGCCATTTCTGCCTACACAGGGTCACACGATACAGCCGGACTTAGTTTTAGCAGCTACATAAATTACAAATGTATGTACATCTTCTAAAGTAGCAGAAATGGGAGGTGTAACGTTTATTAATATGAAGGTGAAACTGTTGCTTCCGTATATGGTGACTTTAAAAGCCCAAAAATGACCAAATAATAGTCCATTACGGTACGCAACGATGCAGTCTAAGGAAATAGTGCAAGAGCTTTTAGCACAATAATTTGGGCCATTGTAGTAGCATTATTCTATTACCAAATGACCAAATTTACCAGAACGATATTTGTAAATATGATGAAAATATCTCATTTACCCGGTCGGTACGGTGCCCACAACACGAACATCGTACATTTTGCTCAACTGAAGATAGTGCGAGGTAATCCCACCAAGAATAATCTATAAAGTAAATCGCACTTAAAAACACTAAAAGGAAACGGTAAATAGGAATACGGCTAATAGATATGAGTGAATTCATCCTGCTGCTATCAGTAGAGTAAACCATCCGCGGTCAGGCTACAAACCCCCGGATGGGAGCACGCTTGCCATCGCTAGGCTCTGCCGTCACAACCATCCGCGGCATAATTTTAAAAAAGTTGGTAAGGCATTAGAAGAGCTTGATCGGATATTCGTGAGTAAGCGAGACATTCATGAAGAAACTGTACTTATCAAGCAACTTTTGAAGGCAGGGAAATTGGTATTCCCTTATGACTTCATGGTTGGGTACCATTTAGAGAGCATGAAATATTAAACGACAGTTGCAACAACTCATGTAATCATCAAACGAATGGAAATACAGTGCGGAAGCTTATTGTTTAGAGCAAAAAAGTGCCTTATGTTTGTCACTAGCTATCAAAATGACTTCTTGTCTATACAACTTTCAATGTCAATACGAAGTCTCATTAAGCTAAATTTGTGATACTTGAGGGATCAAATGGACGTCGGCTTCGCTAAATGTAAAATACTTGCATTTGGTTGATAACAAGATTAACACCTATAAACCGCATTGAATTCGCTTTCGCCTAATTAGTGCGAAATACCACTAATGTTTCATGCGAATGCGAAACCCCACTTTGGAGTGCGTGCGCAAAGCCACTGCCACTGGCAGGTGCACTGACACCACCGATTCATGACACATTCTAGTAAACAGCTCTCCAGTAAAAAAGTACAAAACCTGCAACCATAGCACGAATGAAAAGAAGCATTTAAACGTACGACCAGGAGCTCGACGGGCACCGGAACCCTGATGCGCTTTCTCAGTGGCGGGTTTATAAAAAGTTGGAATATGTATAGTACAGCCATGCAGGAAATGGAAAGGCCAAAGGTAACCCAATTTGCATTAGGCAAACTAGCGCAAATACTGTAGAAATTCTAAAATGCAATACGAATCGAATAAAATTCAGTTGGTCAGATCCGGTGTAAAGAGAAACTCCAAATACGAATATTAGTGTCTTAGTGGAAAATATTTAGGCACCGTTATGAACACGAAACCCAGTAGTTAACTTGTAATCAAAATGAACGCAAGAGTATGTCCATCGGTTGAAGCGGTACTTCATTAACCACTACATTTTATTCAAGGTCACTTGAAAGCTCCAATTTCCTAAAATCTCAAATTCAAATTCAGTATCGGACAAAATTAGACAGATTTAAAAAAGGAACTACCTTATTGTTTGTTCAGTGACATACCAAAGGGGCATTGAAAATCCCGGTGTGCTTCTTCAGGCGAAGACCAAATATCACGAAGAGTTGGGATATTCCCACATATACCGAGGAGCCAACGGTGAAACCAGCGAGCATTGGGCGCGACAACAGGCGCGTCAGAAAGCCAAGGCGCAAAATTCCCATTATGAGCTGAAATCAACATTTCATCCAGTTCACCCATTGAATAAATGCTGAAAAGCTTTCACGATCCGCTGGAATATCCATAAAATGTACTGTGGGGTTCTGAAAGTCTGTTAGGCTTTCAATATGTTGTGCATGAACACGAACGAAATTGGAGATAGGACATGAAGAGAGCATCGCAACACATGACCACCGAGTACCACTGTGGTATTCAACTGAGACTTACCTGAATCAAACCAACGAGCTTCTGACAACATTTAAATTGTCAGCTCCAAAAAGATGACGTCACATTTTGTAATAATAGTTAATAATAAACGCTCAAAAGTGGGAATCTAGCGTTAGTAAACGTAAGGGAAGTGGAATATCTCAGGATCAAAATAAGAATTGTGTGCATACAAGCCTGAAACAAAGGCGACTTCAACCCTGGAATTCCTAAAAATGTCTTAAATTGTACCCTTCGACCGGATAAAAATATGTTGTGTACGAGTTCCATCAGCATTGAAAGAAAAATAAAGCGAAATCTGACGCCTTGTAAAACTCGCATGATAAAATGAAATGTATCTTTGTACGCCAATTTATGCACAGTTATTCATTATTCACAGTAAAGAAAAAGTTGTCACCACTCAATGCAATCAGAACCTTCTTGTAACTTTTAGGTGAGTTGTAAGTTACAATTGTTTAAGGCATTAGTTACATTCAAGACGTTTACGCCATGCAGAAAAGTTATAACAAAAGCGACTAGTCTAAGCTATACAAAAATGAAAATCAGAAACTGATTTCTTTGAAGTACTCCAATAGGGGAGAAAAGCGGACAATGCACTAAAAGTATTCGAGATTCTTGTAAAAAGGATAGCACAACAACATTCTAACCTGCATGATTCCTACGATCATGGCCAATGCGGAAGCCATAAAAACGCGATTGACAACATTATCTCCATCACCCTTGGATAACAAGCTCCCTTCTGATGATCCACTCGTTTCGTTCGCTACAGAAAAATATAGCATACTAAATTATTTCATGCAACATAAATGCCAATGGGGATGGTTTTAAAGCACCTACGAATACAAAAAAAATGATTTTAACATTCAATTAGAAGAGAGGAGCAGCACAAAAATACAGCAACCGTAAGTTGGGCCACAAATTTAACATAACAAGAAACACCACAACATTGTGCAGGCAACCTTCGTTAGGAAAGGCAACTTAAATCTGAAGTGGGCTGGAAAATATTTTTATCAGTTTATCCATTTGCACGAACAATGAAATCGTATCTTACGCGGAAGTAAAGACTGAGGTACTTTGCGGTCAAGGCAGCTACCTACAAGAAGACTGAGGATCGCAAGAGTACCTAAACACATAAATATGATATTAAACGGAGAATTCATTGGAACTGAAGCTGCACATTACATACCCAAAGAGAGATGCCTTGAAGTGCCCAAGAAAAAGTAGAAAAATGATGCACACATTGAACAGTAGAGTCCGTACACAGGAGGCAGTGTAGCTAACATCGCATAAGCCATCCCTACAAAGTAACGATTGGATTGAGCAGTTTTCACAAAATTAGCAGAGATCAAATAATGGCAGAATAGTTTAGAACTCTTTACAATGGGAGAGTAGGTGTATTGTAGAAAAACGTCAAAGCGAGTACGTCAATGGCACTGCGGGCTTGATAATAACCAAAATCTTCTCAATTTTGGCGGACTTAACGTAGTCAAAATGTTTATGTGCTGAAATTACCTGATTATTTAAAACAGCACATATTTTCCTTCCCGACTTACCTCAATTCGAACCCTGATATAGAGAATGGTTAGCGTTTTACATTAGAAAATGCAGAGCTCGATCAAATAATAATTTTAAATTGCAAACTGGAACCAAAAATACAACTTAGAGTACTATGGCCAGAAATATGTAGATTTCCACTTTCAGCAACCTACCCCAACATGATGCGACATTTTACGTGGCGAAATCAAGGACTGGAAATTTCCATGCAGTTAGTTTTGTAGACTAGCAAATTTCACAGAATGTTAAATCAACAAGGTTGCAAAAGTACAGTACCTTGAGGAACATGCATTACTCCGATAGTGAATCCGGTAATAAGGTCGTTTGCTAACCAATTCTTCACATCGTAGAAGCGCAAAATTTCAACACAAGCAAAGAATTTGTAGAAACATCGCAACAATAGTTTGCAGAAACCCTCGTCCGTAGTTGTTCCACAGTATGAAAAGCGAGCTCTCCGATGAACTCTTCTTAAAATTACAGCAGATTTCTGACTAAATGTAGTCGGTTTTCCTCTGTCATGCTTTAGATACAAGTTATCGAACTCGAGTTGGGAGTAGAGCGTCCGTGAGCAACTTTGAATGCAATTGCTCTCCGATGAATCGGATTTTTGAGCCATCGATATTTACACCTTACACCAAGTAAGAATAATAGAACGAGGTCTGAAAAGTTTGTGATCAGGCAAAAGTCCAAAATGTGCCAGTAATTTTTAAGGAATAAGACATATTTTCTCTAACTGATGCAAAATTATATCATTTAAACGGCAAAAATGATTCCTTAAGTACAGAAAAAGCGCAAATTAGGTATACTATTGAAAGGAAATCACAATTATAAATACATGAACTTTTATTGGCCATAAAAATAGGGCACTAACGAACAGAGGTTCACATTTACAAGCTCAGGGGAGTAAAGTGCGGTCCGAGACAGGACCTGGCAGAATCCAAATGAAGCAGATCCCAAGGACAACCTGGGATAGGAGCTAGTAATTAGTTAAAATAAACAAAATAGAACTGGTATGAGCCTTTCGAGAAATTAAAATTGGTCACTAAATACATCTCTTCACAAACCTTGCAAAACAGCTTTACGGGAGATGCTCTTTGGCGTAAGTGTTTCACCTGCGTCTTCCATCCTGCTTTTAAGACCACGTTGTGGTATTTCTTAGAGGACATTAAAACGCTACCCGCCATCTATTGTTCATTACAACGATATTACGATTCAAGAGTGGACTCAGGTTGCTGCGATATACCAGGGCTGCTTTCTACAAGGGCAACAAATGACCCAAATATCCCGACATCCTCAAATAATTTTTTCGAAATTTTTCGTGTAGCATTTATTTATGCTAATCGAAAACCCCCACTTTAACGACTGCGATGCTATGTAACGAGTTCACCGTTTCTCTCTTCCACCTCTACTTTCATACCCGCAGACCGAGCTGATTGGTCGGAAGAGGATATCTTCGTTTGATAAATGCCGAAAATATGTGTAGAGAATCGCGGTTATATAGGGTCTGGGGCCGTTTACTTCTCAAATGTCAGTGGCATCGGTTCAGTAACCAGGATGGCGTGTGCCGACCCCCCCCCCCACCCGATAGGTATGTGAAAAAACCACATATCATAGTTAGTTATCGGTACTTCTCTAGAGGCTTTTCCGTTTTGACATGTTAAAACCACCTTGTATCAATGATCTTTAATTAAAAAATGGATAAACAAACTCAATTCCCTGCCTGCCTTCCTCTAATAAAATAACCTGGTTCAAGTAAACGCCCTAATTTCTTTGCAAAGCAAATACAAACTACGAAATTGGTAAAGAATTCTTAAAACAGCTTAATTATAAACCACATGGTAACCACGTAATAGGCAAATGAACAGATTTAGCTAGGTAACTGTTGCCGAATCAGTTATCAAGGCTCATCAGCAAGGCGGTCCCACGTTTAATCCAGTGCTCGGGGGGAAAATCACCGGTTTTCAATTCAACGCCAATCATAAAGGATGGTTTTTCCGGTGGGCCTGCTCGGTTCTGATAGTAGTAGCATGGGCAAATGTAGGTAGCTGAAATGCAGGAGATTTACAGCAGTAGAGGCATAAACCAAATATCTTGGCTATTCAAAAGAATTTTAGTGGAAAACGACTCACATTTGGCAGCCTTTTTCTTATTTTCTATGGCTTTGAAGTGAATAACAGGCATGACACAGACCAGCATCATGGGAGCTGCCTCCACGAGGCACTGGTTCTTCATGTCCCAACCAGCGCCTTCCAGGAAAAGACCACAAACATACACACCCTCTTTTGGACTCGATGGGATATTTTGCTCGGGAATAGTAAGCACATTGAAGTCCCAGCTGAGTGTGTCGATTCCAACACCGTGTGTCCGAGCCGCCGTCTGCATGACCGCGGTCAAGAAGCCAGTGGGGAAGGTGAACGCACCTATCCAAAATGTTTTCGGCGCCTTGGCTGTCTGTGACCACTGCAAAAACACTTTAATTCTCTCAGCAAGATCCCGCACCCAAGAGCTCAGAGGTCGCAGAGAATTATAAGCCTGAAAATAACATATAATCAGAGTGAAGGTGTGTAAAACAAGCATTTCAGTTTATTACAGTAGAGGTGTAATTTTCATGGAAGTGAGCGACCATTATCCATTTTGCTAAATCAACCCTGAAAATAAAGACTAGATCAACCGACTTCCAAGCGACATTAAACGTCTTCACCTAATTAGTATTAAAGCGACTTTTCATAAATAATTTAGCATGCTATGCAAAGGAGAAGCTTACGTATTGCCACTGAAGGGGCACACGATTCTCAAAGATGGCTGCAACGATTTCTTCTAGTTCTGAGGACATGACTACAAGGCCCTGGATACCCCGTTCGAGGTCAATGATTTGGTTGCGTATTAAATCAAGAAGGTCGTTGTATCTCTGAATTTCTTGGAGCAGCACAACTTTTAGCGGAGATCGATCGTTGCTGAAAATTTTTACTGTACCGTCGTAGTCTAAATTATCCGGAATCTGCTCCTTCATTTTCTGAATAAGTTTCAACACCCTCGACTCCTTTGATTCTTCACCAGCCGACGAGATCTAGAAAAAAATGCAATCATGTGGTGACCTAATTATGGAGCCTGTTTAATGCAAAGTTCCTTTCCTGGCAATTAATGTTTATGGACTCGGAAAATCTCTTGGAACTACGATCGACTAATGACGAAAAGATACCATGTGTGATATCATTAAATGAGACAAAGAAAACTATTGATGACTTGTGATGACCATCACACTGTCACATTTACTGTTCAGAAGCACGCAAGCGGGTCAATGGGACGGATAGGGTATAATCACGCGTTTAAACCAATGGTTTTCTACACTCCTCCACAAGTCCTGCTTATCATAGTTGTACACCTGCACGCACACACATCTGCATCGGTATCCCTAGACAACACACGGAGTACATACGCTCCGAATTGACGGTTCCTCTGCAGGGAGTTGTCTCTTGCCTAGTCCAGGTAGTAGGGTCATCACGCTTCCTAATCTATCCATTAGAGACTTGAGTCCTATCGTGCCTTTCCATGCCCTATTAGCAGGTTGAAACATTTCTCCTCTTATATCCAAACATTCTTAGCATCTTTCTGATCCTACTTTTCGTGGTTCAGTGTACTGAGCTTGACACTTGGTTGGATATTATTTTCCTTACTCTAGGGTAGATCTCCACTTAGTTGATGCTTAGCAAAATTTCAAAGATGGATTAAACAACTTGATAAATGGGGAATTTGTTCCCGATTTTCAATACTAATCACTTATTTTGGGTACAGCAACCAAGCTTTTACTCAATCACTAAACTTACCTTTGGCTGTAACGAGAGCAGGGCGTCAAATAAAATTTTTGCCTCCTGAATTTGAGAGGCAATGTCAGCATTCAAATGTTGACCAAATGCTTCTGGATGATCAATATTTGGCAACATTGAGACAAATTCTCGATAAGCACTAAGGCTGCCGTCTCGAGGAATGTAGTAGTGGGCCAGAGGGGATAGCTTAAAAAAGGCCTCGTTGATAACGTTCTCGGTAAAATAGCCATTGATGTAAGTCAGGAGCAGACGGCGATCCCAGTCGTCTGTTACGTGACCTCCGTAATTTATTCCGGCAACCAAGTACCGCAGAGCTTCCCATGGTGTATCCTGATACTGATCCAAATAAGTACTCAAAATATTCTCCGATACTTCAAAGTCGGCGTCATTAAATTCGTAAGTTACATTCCAACCCAGCATACGGAACTTTCGACGCTCAATCAGTACGGAGTGGAAGAAGCAAAGGCAAAAAAGCAGTTTTTTGTACTTCTCTGGTTTGGTGCAGGCAGAAAACTGGTCCTCCTGACAAGTAAATGAGATGCAATCGCTTATAAAGCTCTAGCTTAACCAATTAAAAGAAAATATTTTGTGGATGAGCAAACGCGTCTGCGCATTACTTTACGATCCTCTCAGATACCGCCGATCAGGGATGTCAAACTATGTGATTTTGAAGTACCTATCTTCAATAGAAGTAGTTATTCACTAGTATAAGCATAAACAATTTCGTAGGGACTATGATGAAACGATAACAGAATGGAAGACCTGATTAATATGAACTTGCCTTGACGATTTGGTAAAGCCGTTTCATGTTGGCACGCAGACCTTTTGGCGGTTCAGTGGTCATTTTGATGCCAGCCTGCAGAATGGAGATGGGGAAGTGAGGTGTGGGACTGGAGGAGAGCCAGAGACGAAATTCATTGTGCGTCTGCTCCCCACCCATCTGTTCCACCAATTTGTCTAGCTGCGGCATCCACGAGAGTGAGAGGTGGCAGTTGGCCAAGAAGACCCAATTACCGTTGCGCATGGCCTCCTCTATCAGCCGCGTGGCAATTGGGGCCTGGCCCTGGCCCAGTGAGAGCGCGTTGAAGCGTTTCCCCATGCCGCAGGCCTCTGCCATTTGCAACAATCCTCCGGTCGGATCCACTCCCGGCGACAGCACGAATATTAGAGGAGTTCTGGCCGAACTATCTTCCACCACCTACACTCAAACGTCAAATTACTCAAAAACATGTCCAACCATAGTAATTTAGGTCTAAAAGCCGACATTATCCAGTGCGATACAACAAGTAGACTAATAAAAAGGGAGTATACAAAGTAATGACGTACATTTCTCATGTCAAGTACGGGTGGTTCAACAAATTGCTTGCCGATGTTATTGGTGATGAAGGCTGTGGCACAGAACGTCACGCGGTCAGGCCTCAACGAGCGCACGATGAGCATTCGTTGAAACTCGTTGGTCAAGCTCTCCCACTCAGCTGGTAGTTTCGTGTTTTCAGGCTCATCTGAGGTGTACCAAATGTGCCAGTCTCTAGGGTACTGCTCAAACGAAGTGACAATGCCGCGGTAGTTTGCCAGTTTGTTTAGTTCGGTTACATTGTCCCATGAAAGACTAGAGAGCCAACTGGGAACGGGATTGTCCATCTGGTGGGCCCTATCGAGGACAATGCCACCGCGTAGGAAGAACATATACTCCTCTAAGTTGAGCTTACTCATCTCCTCCAGGATCTTGATACAGATCTGGAAGGAAAAGAGCAGCTTGTGTCTTTCAAATAGACCACGGCAAGTGTAACGATACACAGCGTAGGTATGGTGTTTGTTGAGATTCTCGATTCTTTCACTCAGGCGAGGAGAACGCTGGCTTTTCTCTATGCTGAGAACAAAGAGGTCGATATAAGCATCCAGAGCAAACTGATACATGGGATCTATAGATCCGAGGTCATTGAGTACGAAGAATAGGATGGCAGCTCTTCTTGCGCAAGGTCGGTAACCATCGCGAGCTGTATCAATCTGAACTTCTGTCCTTTCGGATATCGAGAGGAACTCGGTGACCTCCTGCAAGATAAAAATTACAAGTGATATGAAGGTGAGCCGACATAAAAAAGCCGCATTTTTCTACTTCCTATCCTGATTCACGCTCTATAAATTTAACTTCCTCTACGATATTTTAAGCAAGTCTACAAAAAAAACCAAATTACTTTGTAATAAGGTGATTTGTATTCTTTCCACTCATCTCGTTTCAATTGACGTCCATCTCAAAAAATGTTTTTAACTAAATGGTGGGAATATATTTTAAATCATCTCTGTTCTTTTAGGGCTTGGGCAAAATATGCCTAGCAATTTGCATGTATACCAGAGCTACTGAGCGCTGCTCCCTTTTTTAAGAGTTTTAAAAGAATTCTAATAAGGTGTCTACTGAATGCATAATAGAAACCACGCGGATAACTGCCTTTCCTTGGAATAATTAGGCATATTAACGCTCGGCCATGTATACCAAATTCAAGGTGGTGTAGTAGTTCATAGGAAATTTTTTTACCAGAAGACGAGTTACTCTAACCATAGGATTGCATTTCATCAAAAGACTACAAAGAGAACCTACCACTGACGTCACTTTTGAGGTCTGAAGTGTCAAGAAGAGACCTTCGTCCTCAAGCAGAGAGCCTTGAATCTCGTTCAAGAGACGCAGAAGTTCATCCTCCAGCTCCTTCAACTTTTTCTTCCCGTTGGCGATGCCAATCACTAAACTGTCCTTCTGCTCCTCTAGCTCTGGCTTCTCCTTGCGCACCACGATGCCTAGCAACTGCGCCTCCAGACCCTCTTGCATTACAGCAAAATTCACCACCGTGGTCTTTGTGCATATCTCGGGTGCGTAGCGCGGATTTGACAGTTTTGTAGTCAAATAGAATCTAATAAATTGGGATTAATAACAATCCCTTTGCCAAATACGGTACGCAAACAACTACCACAAACGTGTTTTTTTACGGCACAAATATGCGTGGCAGTAATGACGAAGATTCCTTTAAAATTAACATGCCTCTGTTGTTTACCTAGATAATAAACTGTTAGTAGAAAACTGTATGGAAATAAACTTGGTAAGGATTGCAAGGATTTTGTGCAAAGATTTTTTTACACCAATAAACGTTAACCCTCTTTGCCTCCTCCTACTTCCTGCGGGGCAGTCGAGACGCACGGGGCTATGGATATATGTATGGCTAGATTACAACCACGGTTCAGGAGACCGGACCTCCGCAGCGGATTAGTCATCTGTGGCTGTGTACGCCGCACAAGGCACATGCGTATACAAACAGTCTCTCCGTAAGGAGCCGTCTTCTCTACGATCCGACTGGTAGGGGTACAGCACTTCTAGAGCTATTTGCCACGGCTTATGTCCCATTTATGTAATCCACTGACATGTCGTAAGTGGAAATTATGCTGATTGCTATAGTATTGCCACTTGGCCTGGGTAAGGTAAACGAACAAGCAGGACCTTGAAAGTCCTATATTCAGCTGATGTGTTTTATTTACCATCCTGTTTCATCAACTGGAAATTACGCTCCATAGTTGTCAGTTCTAAAAAGATCTTAAGGAACTCTTGAGGATTACAGAAAAGTCTGACGGGAAGATAATAAATATAAATAAACAAATTTAAACTTTGTACTTTATATAATAAATAAAAGGGCGATTTCTTAAGTATAATCTCAAAGATGTTAAGAAAGTCCTCAAGGGGGTTAAACACGATGAAAACAACAATGATTCTGTAAATTATGAAACTGAATCACTCCTTTTTCCAGATTTGACCTGGGAGACATGGTACATCGCTGTCAGTGCTCACCTAAAATTACTATTGTACTCTACCTCCCTGTCACCCAGTCGTATGATGTCAGCTCCTCCAACTTTCATAAGCGACTTATTTAGAATGGGGTCCAGACCGGGATCAAGGGTCTCCAAAATGTTCTGAAGAAGAACTGGCCAACCAGTTGCGATGGCGCGTTCAAGTATCTGCATGTAGTTTCGCATCTGCAGGTCGATCACCTGAAGTTGCGACCCCTCCATCGACTTGACCCAATTCACTGCTTGGCATTGTGGATCGATCATGAGCGGCCATCTGGAGGCTCTGGAGACAATGACTCCGTTATCCACAGAGAAAGAGTCTCGAGGAAGGCCTTGGATATTCCAATCCCGAACCTTCCAATAAAAGCGGTAAATGTATAAAAACAGCTGTTGCATTGACTCACGGATTTTTATCTTACTGAATCTTGCAGTTTTGTAATCCAACATCCGTATTTGTTGGAAATAAAATGGATAATCAAAATGAATCTTATGACAAGAAAGGTAAAAAAACTTGAACTACACTCGATTTTTAAGACCCAAATACTTGTCGTGCGGATGACAACATAATGACCAAGGAGATAAGCAGCAGCTAAATTTGTTATCACATTCGTGAATTACAGAACATGGTCAAATAATTTACATTCACCCTACTAGGCCCTTGATGTGCAAGATTCTATCCTTATAAAAGACATAAATGGAGGATTACCTAACAAAATAACTTTCCAAAATGATTCTAAGTGACCCATATCTATTTCAGTAAAATTAATCCTTCAAATTATTTACGACTTGCAGTAAAGAATAAAAAGATGACAAAGCTTACTTTGGAAGGATCTGAGAGGAACTCGGTGAAGGAATAAGGAGTTGATTTAGGAATTTTTTCCGTCTCCACAGCTCCGGCCCAGGTAGAGACCAATTCCTCGCGATATTTTGACAGGAAGGGACCCATGTAGGAGATGAATCCGGCTGAGAGGAGACAGTCGCCTGGAAGAAGTCCGATCCTGCGCTCGAGATCGGCCACTGTCTGAGTCCAGCGTACCTTCTCATCGGCCAAGCCATCTACCAACATTCGTGCTCTTTCGAGCATCCTCTCCAGCGCTTCTGCCTTGCGTCTCAATTCGTCTTTCTGTTCCATCTACGGAGTTCGGTGAACCCTGGCGTTGAGTTACGATGGTCGAGAGTGTTGAAGAATCGAGTGAAGAAAACCTCACCTTATCATTATATTCCTGCTGCAAACGGGCCATTTCAGCCATAAGAGCATCGAGTTTTGCTTGAGCTGCTGCTAATTGAGCCCTTTTTTCGGCCAAAATAGCCTCGGCTTGCAGTAGACGCTGGCGTTTGGGCTCTACGTAACGATAAATACGACCGTACACCTCCATGGCCCTTACCCACATACACAATGACTTCGCAGCGAAGGAAACCTAAGGTTCACAAGAAGAAAAGTCTCTAGAAACATTTAGCTTGGCTAACTTTTATCGGCGTAGACCAATTAAAGTGAAAAACTGCAAATAATAAGCGGATATTTATTTAATCTCAATAATTTCTTTTATTATCAGCTGAAATGGCACTGACACGTTGATAGTCTAATCAGCTTCCCGAAAAGATAAGATTACGGAGTTTTCAGGCCCTTTCAGCTTTATCAGTTAATGTTTGGAGTCAAGCGGACTCCCGCCACCTACATTCCCTTCATAATGGCGTTATTTTTACTTTAAAGAGACACTGTCATGATATTAAGATTACTAATGACACGCATATAAATTTACAAGTAAAACGCCTAGATTTTAATTTGCTCACCTTTCCTACGACTTCGGGTATAAAGTCATCTTGCGAACAGTAGGCGCTGATTTTCTTAAGTGTCTTATCGCTTATATGGTCCTTATCAAAGTTGACTAGCTGGCTGATGAAGTCCTGCTCCCCCAGGTGCTTCTTAGCCTCCGTCCATGTGGGAGGCGCCTGCCGCAGGATCATTACAGCTTCCATCACCTACAGCAATAACAACATCAACACCGGTGAATGCTCGCCTCATGGTTATACGGCATCAGTTTTACCCATTTGCAAAACTCTAGGTTGTTATGGTGTTATGGTGCCGTCGATCTCCAGGGGGAGACACAAGTACCGATTCTCCATAAAACTTTTCCTCTATAATCCCCATTTCAACAGCGAACCATACTGTTAACAACTCAGTACCATCCACTTGAGGCTTTAAAATCTAAAGCAGACTGGCGAAACAGAAAACGTGCCAGCTGTCAAGTGATGTTTGTATATATTATGACCTTCTATTTTACATGGCAAGACGTATATTTACTATTAATAAAACAAGTTATTTGGTATTATAAAACCGCAATTTCAAAATGTAGTTTAGGAAACATTTTGACGTCAAGAGGCCGTCTTCTTCAAGCATGTTGAGAAGGCGACAAGTCTAAAGCTCTTCTAGGAGGGTTAATAAATCCTACCTTTCGGACGAGGTGGGGAGGCTGACCATAGGATTTAATTTCTGTGATGTCTTTTTTATTAAGGGCTTCTAACGCTGTGATGGCGGCCTCCAGGGCTGGCATAGCTTGGACCAGATCGGCTTGGGCTACCTCGGCCATTTGAAGGCACTTCGCCTCATCCACTTTTATCTTTTCTTTAGTGAGCGTTACCGACTATATTGGGAGAAGATACAGCAAATTTCAAACATGATTAAAGATATATTTAAGGGGTAATAGAAAGTACAAGGTAGAAGTTAAAAATGCATTACTGAAAAACATTTTCAGCTCTTACATCGAGTAGTTTGGTTGAATGTTGGCTAAACATTTGTTTTGTTTGGGTTTACTATTTGATCAGAATTCAGTTTTATACCTTCGTTTGTTCATCGGCTTCTCGTCTCTGTTCGACCAAGATAATCAAATAATCATCACACTCCTTCTGGAAGACGGCCACCTTTTCCTTTGCTTCACTCAGTTCAATGGACATTTCTGCACAAGTAAGACACAAATGGCTTTTAACTTGAAAATGAAAATAACTTTCTAATAATAGCCAGCACCATTAGATAATTCAAACATCCAAATCCTCTCTTTTCCAAGAGGTCACAACAGCACCAGAATAATTCCCTTAAAGTGTCGATAGTGTGGAGCTGATGTTCTGATAAGTAATTATCACTCCCTTTTGAATAGCAATAGGAGCTCAAAGATTTCAGCTGTATATTCAATTTCACTTTGAGCTAGATAACTGTTTTGGGTTTATTTAAATTTTTTTATTATCGTCATCAGTTTAATAAAGCGGGGACTACTACCCATTTTCAAATCTATTCGCGCTGACAGGCAGAAAGTGGAACAGTCTTTGAAGGACAAGGAATTATACCGTCACAAGAAGTACCAACCTTCAACTTTTGTCCGTGTATCGTCAATTTTTCCTAAACCGCTCCTCAGTTTGTTCGCCCAGTCACTGAGCTCCCTCCGCTTCGACCCCAGCATCCTGACAGAAAATATCAGACTTGCTGATGCATAGAAACATGAACAACTCAGTCAGCCTCCAAAACCACTCACTTTTTGTAGCCTGAAACGAGTTCGAGGTAGTTTGTGGGAGTCACATAATTTCGCCTTCTCAACTCATCCATCATTTTCTCCGACATTTGAGTAACCGAGTTGTGCATTAAAGCAAACACTCGCGCTACACCTGATTTCATCTTTGCCTATAATACCACATACCAAGTGGTAATATGCATATGTAAACGGTAACGTCGCTCGTGTTTCCTCTGGGCAACACTTTAAGTAAATACCAAGTCAGCAAGCTTATATGCTTCAGTAGTTGGATGCGTCGACTGCACGACTTAGAACGAATTGCCTTTTTATCGCTCAACTTAAACTTCCTATAACAAAATATAGTTTCATACACACTGTAGACTTGAGACATTCTCATTTTGGTGTGGGTAAAGGCATTGATCACTTTAGTAACCTCCCCTAAATTTGCCCCAAAAATGGTTTCGTTTTCTCATTAGCTTAGAAAAAATGCTTGTTACGTAAGTGAAAAACAAACAATCCATTCACAAACAAACTTACGCTGATTCGAAGGGCCTTTGAAAAAAAAAATAATAAATGAGATTGCATTTATTATTGCATCCGGCAAATTCTCTTATGCTCCTGCAAATTATGGAAAAGATGAATAAGGTTATTTAAGCGTTCCTGATTGCTGAAATCAACCAGAGACTGAAGGGAAATAACGTGTGCTCAGTTTTTTATATGATGTGGAGGAGATAGGACAGTGATTTTTGAATAGTTCACCGACGACTTACATCTTCATTGCCATGAAGGAGGTCAAGGTCACTCAGATACTTAGTAGCCACTTCAAGAAGAGCTTCATTTGGCCACTCGCTAAACCAATCGATCGTGGTGCAGTTCACGAAGCCTGGATACATTCGCATACGATCTCTGAAAGGATCGCCGATGGGACTCATGCAGAGGACAATGTGCAGGTTGGCTCGAACTCGCTCGATGAAGTACCTGTAAATCGACTACAAGTAAAGGTAAGTATGATACCATTGACCTTTTGAAGTGACTATTATGGGGATAGGACTAGTATGAAGAAATTACGGTAAGATTCTCACATTTTTGCAGCCTACAAAGATGCGGAAGCACTGATAGAGTTGAAATCATTTAGCAGGATTCCGGTTGATGCTTTTGCTGGTGTACGGCTGTATCAAAATAGTCTTAAAGCGTAATTTGTAAAATACTATCCATTCATCAGCATCAAAAAGCTGTAATTGATAAATTTGCACGAAACACTGACTTCTTCATTCAAGAATGCGGATTTTAAGTAATATAGGCTCAATGTCTTAAAAATGCTCCACAAAACCATCGCCTAGTTCCTTTTCAAGAGTTAAATACCCCCAATGCTCTAGCGCAAAACTATGAGGAGAAAAGGTAGTCTGCAATATTTTTGGGAAATATTTTGCAAATATATCCTTCCGCGACTAGCTGATAGCTTTGGTGATGCTAACCTGGGGTGATTCATCCATGCCCTGCTTCTTGGCCTGATCAATGATGGCGTTGAATACTTCTTCAAACTCATCAGCTTTGAAGAGATTAGGAACTTCACCTGAGCTCAACATATTGTTTATATCTTCCAGAAAGGCCTCTTCAGTGACATGGGTGTCCGAGAAGAGAAACAGCGTCGATTGACACTGGACTCCAGTTTGACGGTAGAGCCTCTTTAGGTCTATGAGATTTGGGATAAACCGCCGGTTATAAACTTCCAAGTCACCAGGATTGGAAGCTTGATACAAACTTTCGTGCACTCAGAAAGTACCCATCTCTATGCCTTGCATGAGTGATGATTTTAGCATTTTAAACTTATCGGAGGATTTGAAGTATTTAGTTAAAGTATCTAGTAGTGCGTGTTTACACATCATTTTTTCATGCAAGACTCCATTGTTTATTTGCAAACCATTCTGTGAAGCCTTAGAATAGTCTCCTGGCCTTTGACAGTGTGTAAATTTGTGGTTTTATCAATTTTATTGGATACTTTTAAACTATATCATTTACAATAAACCATTGGTCTCGTCATATTTCATGAGTAATAATAAGTGGTAAAAGAAAACAAATTCAAATCAGAAAAAATGTACACTATTTGATAAGTCAGTTTGTGAAAAGTGATTAGCGTTCTTCTTCCTAACTACGTAATTAATAAACACTTTCAATTTTCATAAGTCTACATTTAAACAAATGTAGCTAACGGCCTTACCCTCACGAAAATCGGCCTTTTTATAGTTCTTATTCACTTCTACGCTAAAGACTTTGTAGCGACAGATGTAACCGGCCAGTTTTGTCACGCTGTTCCGTCCACTGCCACCAACGCCAATAAGCAACATATTGCCTCGTGGTTGACTGATAACACGAAGAATCTTGCAGGCTGCAATCAGTGCATGCAAAATCTCATTTTTACTTTGAATTATGTAAGCTGTCACGCTTCCGTCCTACGTTATCGCATGTTGTGACGCACGGAAGTAATATTTTCAAATGGCTCCCAGTTCTCGTCACATACACTCTTACCAAAATAGTAATGAAGTTCAATATGGTATAATTAAGGTATAAGAGTTTATTTTAATGACAGATTTTCTCAACCGAATAATTTTACTAAAAAAACCGCTTTAGTAAAATGCGCAGAAAGGCATGATAGGCACAATTTAGCTCACTATGCTCTATGGCATCCTTGAATAGCACAAGATCCATCGGAACAATGCCAGGAGAGTCATTGTACTCATTGAGGAACTCAAATAGACCCTCGCGTAGACGGCCAAGGTCCTGAATATCCTCATAAATCATATCTTTGTTTAGTACGTCCACGAATACGGGTGAACTTCTTGACGGACAGAGGTTGTGGAAAGTTTGATCAAAGTACTGAGCCAGCTTTTCACCCATAATCTCAATAAACTGGGCCATATCTTTGGCATTGATGAGACGGTCGGCAAACACACGAAAGCTTTCGTGGATCCACAAACGTAGCATTGCAGTCTTTGAATCAATGGTGATCTTGTTTGCTCTAAGAATACCTTGACAAATCTGCAATCAATGCAAAAACCATGAATCCAAAAGGTGCACTTGAAACCTAGGTAAAAAGATACTACGCACTTTAGATATATCACGAAGATTAAATAAATAGTGGATTCGTGTTGGAGTCGGTAAAAACTTTGCCACTATTGAATTGTAGAACGAGACGGTTGCATCCGTCAGAGTATCACCCATGGACTTAACCTCGTCCTCAAAGTTGGCAATTTTCTGGTTTATCATGGTACCGAAGATCTGTTTCAAATTGGCATCCTATGTAAGGACACAAAAATCTCGTTTAGTGCACAATTTGAGTGGATCGAAGGACTGTTAATGGTGTTTACAGTGGGAAAAGTGACGTTGATTTGGTTGAATCGGGATTGGAGACGCCGAGAGATGGACATTCGACCACCCCCAGGAGGTCCCATACCACCAAGGAGGAACATCCTTTGCACTCGCTTGGGCAACTGCTTCGCCCGATCGTACCAAAAGCCGTAGTCAATCCACTGGCGAATCAACTCCAGCGGCGGCTGGGAACCGAACTCATCCTTCACAGGCATGTTTAAGTCGTCCATAAAGGTGACCATTTTGGTGCCTCTAGTCGGTACATACGTGCCCTTGGTTCGTTTTTCCACGCGCGATTCAATTATGTCTTGAACATTATTTGAAGAGGTCTAAAGGGATAATGCAGTTTTGATTTTGAATGCCAATTTCGTGTGCACCAGGTTGTTTTTAATCGTGTGCTCATCCATGCAAAATATGACCTAAGTGTTATACCAATAAAATCTTAAATGGTTTGTTGTCCGTGTATCTGTTATGTGTATCTGCGATTATTCGATGGCCGAAAGTTACTAATACATCTCGAACCTATGAAGTGTTCGCGAGATTTCGCACTTTAGTTAATAGTTTGCCTTTGGGATCTAACCAACTTTGATTGCTTGTTTGTAAAAATAAAGCATTTAAAACACATTATTAAAACTTGAAATATATGTGAGTCTGCACATTAGGACTAATAAAATTAGACCTGCCTGTGCTGACATATTAATGATGAGGTAAGTCCACGATTCCTTGTCAAGATTGAAAAGAACGTCCTGAGCAATCGAGGTTTTTCCCGTCCCAACTGGTCCAGTTATGAGAACCGGGCTCCGTCCAGAGACAAGTGCATTCACCAAGTAGTTGTAGCGGATGGTATCGACAGTGGGTACGAGAATCTTGTAGAAGGGTTGCCTACAGTGCCAGAAGCCGATATTGGTTAGACCAGATAAAACTTGCTGAGGGGTGGTAAAAGGTGGCAACTTACTCGGGATCGTACTTCCAACCACCACGCAGTTTCTCTTCCCAGTGTATCCAGGCTCGCGATTTGACATCAAGGAAGAATTCAAAGATGGAATCCTTGCTGGGGAAACTGCCATCAATCTCACGGATGTAGGAGTCTACCTTCTTGCGTCCATCCTCATCAACCACACAACACACTGACCAGATCGTGCAAAATTGGAAAAGCATCTCGATCAAGCGAGTGTACAGATCCAAATCGGACACGTCGAACTGAAAGTTTGTAGACAAGTGAATAGGTGAAATCGTCCTCATACAAAAGCCAATTTTTATTAGTAATAAAATGGCATCCGAAGGTTTGGTTAGTTAAATCCATAAATAAACACACGAATGAAGCTTAGAGGATTATAGTCTACTTTGGCAAGGCATAAATAAAACGTTAAGGGAAAATTATTTCGCAAAAGAGAACCTTTACTTAAGTCACGTGACCATCGTGTTATGAGGCATTTATTACATAGGCCTAACTTTTCAAATAATTACCTTACCACTATGGAATGGACATGCTTTTGGTTGATTGAATAAGACTGCAAATTGGTACTGAATTTCCACAAAGAGGATTCTGCAAATTACCCTGAAGACATAAACCATCTACTTGAAGCCTTCGGAATTTAAAGTAATCAGGTTACAACTTCATTTCGGCTTAAATTTTCCTAAATTTACATAATAAGCTACTCCCATTGCTCGCCTGCCATCGGCTCTTACACTTTTTCCTATTCAAAATGATGTGGATAGGTCAATGGAACTTTGTCTTCCAAGTTGTTAAAACTTATTTAGCCATGCATTCTCTTAGGTAGGTAGAATTTCTTTTCAATCGGAGGTTAGGCTTTTCATAAAGGTTAGCCCACTTCACAGTAGTTAGGTTTCTTGGAGATACCATATTTTAAAACGATGTTTTTACCTTGCAATAGCTGTACAACCATTGTCTCATTTTTTCGAGAAAAGAAAAACAACTCTATTCCTTCATATGCTTAATGGCTGATTGTAATGCAGACAATAACCTAAACATGATACTTTGATTATCACCTGACCCACCTCGCTACCATCGCTATAAATAACATCGAACAGGCGACAAAGACTGATGATAAGGTTGGTCTCGCTGACAGGAATGAGCTTGTTGCAGTTATTCATTGTGAAGTCGAGTATTTGGGGGATATCCCTTTCGAAGAGACCAGTTAGTGTGGTTACTAGGATCTTGGACTCCTTGTTGGCCAGCCAGGAGTTGACGTAGGGCCACCAACCAAGGTCCATCACGTCGTTGTAGACCATACCAGCGCGTGATACTGTGGCCGGTGAGGCCACTGCCAAGTCCTCCACTTCGAACAGCAGAGATACCTGCGGTTGGATACAACGCATCACCCATTTTGTGTATGAACTACCGCACCTTTAACTCAAAATGTGCGTATCCGCGGGTACAACGTGTTGAATTTTTACCGACAGTATAATCCAAATTAAAAGGCCACAAGAGCATGAACCAGTTCTGAGTATCCTGGGTAACACCGACTCATGTAAATTTGAAAATTTAATCCCATTTTAATCCATTACGCAAGAACTGCCTCAAAAATTAAACAGTACAGTCCTAGTTTGTTATTTTTTTTACTAGCCTTAACTTTAGCATTTGAGAAGTGGATATTTCAATGTGATGCAACAATTTCATTTGTTAATAATTTTAGCTGAATTATACACTCGTACATTGCACGAATCGTGTAGTTATCTGGTCAGTGATCTGAGTACGTAGTAGAGATTTCCCTGTAAGTTGACTTGGGTACTATGTGCAAACCACATGCAAGACTGACCTGATCAGGCATAGAGATTCGCTCTCCATTAATGAGGGTCAAAATTTTATTATCATCCATGACAGAGTTCATGCTTTCAATCCATAAAGCATCCACTGGACCATCAAAGAGAATCCACTTGTAATCAGGTTTTTCATCTATAAATAGTTTGTTATTAGTTTTTGATTTGTAGATATATTCAATTGATATCAAATGCGTCACGTCCGTAATCCCTTACCAGCGCAAGCCTGACGCATAAGACTTGAAAGTATACCGTCACTCCACTCATTTGTTGAAATATTAAATTCACCATAGAGTTCTCCAAGGGATATGGCCTTCGGGTTAAGAGGATAATCCCAGACCCGGTAGAATCCTTCATATCCGGCCTCCATCATCTTGCGCTGAGTCAACTGTAGAACCTTCCACGTGGCCGATTTGCCTGATAAGGTTTTTCCAACAATCATGACCGAGTGGCGAGAACTCTGTGTCTCGTAGAGTTCAATGACCTTGGATACTGCAAATTTTGTTGCTTGTAACCTCAATTCCCTAAAAGCCTCGTTAATTGCGTTCCTCATCTAGACGTAAGAAGGAAGAATTCGGCATTTGTGACGCTTATTATACCTTTGTGATTAGTTAGCATCAAGGATTTTCACTCTCTGCAAGTTTTAAGGGATTAAGACTGCATATCTGATGTAATTAGCTTGAGCACTTTTGTCCACCCTGTGAATTCACAATTATTAATTTCAAATACAAAGGATTATTATTTGTGTAACCAACTTATTTTCACGATTTGCATGGCAAACCTCAAAATAAATTGTATAGTGCATCGGTGTTATAATTTAACAAGATCGCTACTGCATTAGGGCACCAGCATAGGCCTTACGTGACTAGTATTTTGGTACTTCTGTATCTTTGTCACATGAATAAAATGCGTTTAAAACTAAGCACCCATTGTTGAACAATTCCAAATAGTTATTAAAGGCGAGATTTAATTCTCTTATAAAAACGCAATCCATATACATCTGCAAATTGGCAGTACCTTCGGGAAAATAGCGCAACTGACACCCAATTCTCAGAAACTGATTTCAAAAGTAGTGTCAGCTAAAGTCACATAACTTTGGTATTGCTAATATTTGCTAGTAATAAGTGTCCTAAGCTGAAAACGTACATTTGTGTAGTCGATAGCAGGGACCTCGATTCCTGGGAAGAGGTCAGACACAATGCCTCTGAAGAGTGGTAAATCAACAGAGGTGAGTTTGGCCAGGTTCATGTCGTTCATGGAGAGGAGAAGGATCTCCTCGTCTTGCATTCCTGGATTTGCGCGTTTCTTGCGTCCGGCGTAGCGCAACACGGAGATGAGGGCTCGTAATCCGAAGTCATAGTGATCCTGTTTGCTTAGTTGTTGGTTACAGAGGCTGTAGAGTGTAAACACCTTCTTGGCCAACACCTATTTTAGGAAGATGAGCAAGAGAAGACGCAAATGTCATAATCTCCGAATTCACTGTCTTAAATGACGATTCAACTAAACTCGGTTGTGACCTTTGCGATATATTGCTCCCAAATGGTACAATCTCCTAGTTCCTATTTTAAATGGTTAAAAGTCCAAATAAATAGCAAGATTTTATCAATCAGTTTGAGAGTCAGTGAGTTCAAACGGATGGGCCAGTTTGGGATGACGCCAACCTCATCTCTGCGCCCTATTGCGAATGAGAGCGTAGCGACGTTACGTGACAGGATTACTCAAATTTAATTTATCTATCTCAAAAGGACTAGGCATAACAACACAGTGTACATTAACCCATTCAACCAAATGTGATTTCTATTATGATGGTGGTGATGATTTAAAGGCTTTTTCATGTCAACCACTTTGTCATAATATCCGCTATTGCTCATCACCAGTAACGCACCATATTGATTCAAACACTACACGACGAGCATCTTCGGGTTTCAGATAATTTCAACGTGAGTGCAAACAAAAGGACATACTTTACAAGCGTCGAAGCCCTCAGCAAAGAGGGTGATCTCGGCGATCATGGTGAAATCAGGCACTACCATGGCAATGGGGCGAAACATGGACTTCAAATTATCCGGCAATTCCGTGCGACCTGCATAACCGGGGTTCATAGTGATGAAGATACCGCAGGACCAGACCAGTTTAATCATCCTCCCTTCAAACATGAAACGAATATTGGAAGGTACGCCCTTTCCCTTTGGCAGGGAGGCCAGCGCCGAGAGAATGGCCAGAATTTGTTGTGCCACCACGGATAACACTTCAATGTTGATTCTTAAGAGTAAGAAAGAGGAAGACCTAGCTCAAACACAGATTACTTATTCATTTTGGATTTTACAAATGAGAAATATATTCTAAAAAATCCTGTTTTAGAAACTCCGCCCCAACCATGCACATAACTTGCGCGTGACCATGGAACTGCCATAAAAAAGGAAACATGAGCGACATATAACTATGCAATAGCATTTTCCCAATCACACATTGATGTTATTAAAAGTAATGACGTCAACATTACATAGATACACTGGTGAATCAGTAATTATTTAGGTCGCCTGATTTATAAGGGGCGTTGATAAAAGATCGAGTAGTTATTTGATTTGTCAAACAAACGATCTCACTGTCTTCATCTGGAATTTTAAAGACCATACTATGGCCTCGGTGGCTAATTCCGTAAAAATACTAAATACAATATTGTGATCTATGATGGAGTATATTCAGTGGCGGAAAACACGGATGCACCGATTAAACTCGTCAAAACAGCCCCAAGCACCGGACTGTGCGAGACCCGAGAACATGCGTCCCATAGACTTGTAGTCGAGGCCGTCGGAGCAGTTTATCACGATTACGTAGTCACCCAGGTTCTTGCCTAGGTCCTTAGTCGTCTCTGTCTTGCCCGTGCCGGCAGGTCCCTTAGGTGAACCGCCTCTGTTTAGACTTAGTGCAGTGGTCAGGGTTATGTAGCACCGGTCCGTGAGAGGTGTGATAACGAGACGACCTGAATTACCCAGGTATTCGTAACCGTAGTGGAAACTAGCATTAGTCTGCTTGACGTAGCAGTCGTCTTCTTCCTGCAATGAGAGCAACATTTAAGCAGTTTAACTAGACGGGCAGTTAAACCTGCCAGATGTGTCCCAAAGTGATGATCAATCCGCATTTTCAACAAATATACCCACCTTTTCCCAGTAGAAGCGAAGTTGTGCAAGCCACTCAAATGCACCAGTGTCTTTGCATCCAGATTTGTAGAGCTTATCAATGATGTCACGCTGGTGGACCTCGATAACCACGAGGCCATTGATCTTCAGTCTTTGCATTTTGCTCAGGTTAGATCGAATAGCCTCCGAGAATCGTTTCAAAATCGCCTTTTGCTTCTTTCTAATCATTCGCAGTGGCTTTTTATCATGGCGACGATTCACCTACAGAAGCAAGAGCTCAGACTCAAACAAAGTTAATTCCAAATAATAAGGCATATCATCAAGTTCAAGGAGTAATGGTTAGTAGAAATTCCGCCTGTGTCAAAGTGTCTATTCAAAAGTAGATCCATAACCAAAGTGTAGATCCATACCTAGCACATTTGTCTACTCAGAATAAGTAACAAATAGTCCATTGTCGCTACAGAGCATAGTCTAAACTTGCAGGATGAATCAGTTTAAGGAAAGTGTTCTTCATATTTCCGACCAATTCCTTTAGGCAGTATTTAAATATTTCACTGTTTCTGCACATTCAACAAGGCACAATTTGATTGCAGAATATTTTTTGACCAAATAGCGTAGGAGGATCATCTCCAATGCAATTTGCCGCAATACTTAATAACAGTCGTATTCTCAGTCATACCATGATCAGAGCTTTGGTGACATCAGCTGTCCACTGAATTTGACTTGTCGTAATGCAAATCTGTCCCGGCCACTCCTTGACAGCCTTCTCTCTCTTAACGCTGGCTTTCTTCATCACTAACCGACAGTCACGCAGAAGGTCTCTCAAGGCCTTACGCATTTGGGATTCAATTTCCAGCAACCACATTTCCACGGGACCCTCCATGCGAACATTCTTCTTCCAAGGAACTTCTTCTCCATCTGCGGAAATCATAGCAACACCATCGAACTGAGTGTAAGTAATCTAAAAAAAACAACACTAAAATGAAGCTTTATTTGAACGAGTGATCAGGTATGCGCAAAGGCAAAAAAACGCACCATTTGTGTATTTGCCTTCTTCGCGGTGGTTTGTGCAACTGCATTATGACCGCCGGTAAATGAACCCAAAGAGTCGCCTGCGGCGTTCATGTTCCAGTCGATCACTGTGACTGCACTGCCACTCCGTGAGATGTTGTTGTCGCTACCAGAGCTTCCAAAGTAGATTTCACGCAGCTCACTTCGTCTAGCTATGTGCATTGAGTTCGAATTAGTGCGTAGATAGGTGCTGCTCTGGTTGACCTCAAATTGAACCTCACTGGTGGAAAACTTTCGAGGCCGTTCCAGCCGGTTAGCAGCACTCTCGGCCACGGCTTCAGGAGCTTCCTCATGCTCTTTCCCTTCCGGCGAAGGCCTTTGCTCTTCCTGGAAAGTCGGTGTCTCTTCAGCGGGTGCCATGTTTACATCCTGGGAGGCTTCTTCGATACCCTCGTAATTTTTATGTAAATCTGTTGGTTGTTTGCGCGATATTTGCGGCTTTAGAGATGAATGTCCCTTTGTAGCTGGGATCTGCGCCTTTTTAATAGTCTTCTATTAAAGTAAAAGCAAAAAGACTTTTATTCTTGGGTTTATACACGCATGACTTAGATACAGTTGCTCTATTGAACATACTTTGATTGTTTTTCTTCCAGTGACCCAAAATTAAAACCAAAATAAGTCGAATGCTAAATGAGCACATTTTGTCCCTGCTATTACGTTTTGCAGCATTGACTTTCGCATATGCTATATTAATAGATGTCCAGGAACTCGTGGCTTTGAATAAGGATAAGCGAAGTTAATACGCATGTCAGTGAGTCTGTGTAAGTTAATTTGGTGCTTGAGTAACCTAGAACGTAAAAAGTCAAGTAACGGCACTACCAATCCTGCATTGGGCGCCATATCAAGGGGTAGTTTGGGTATACATTTTAATGCCAGTCTTCTTCACTGGCATTTTTTTTTAAAAATCAAACTAATTAATAGTTGCCACTGGTTATTAAAAGAAGTGTTAATCTTTCCTAATTATAAGAGTAGGAAAAATGAAATAGTGCGGAAAAGCGAAAGTAAGAATGTTTAAATAAACATTACTTTTTCCAACTTTACGACATTGATGTTATCAAAGCACTTCTTTAGGTGGGGAATAATGGCCTCCGGGTTTTTGCCTTGGCCCAGTATTTCGAGCAGATCATCATTTGAAATGAAGTAGAAACGCGGAAATGTCTGACGCTTCGTCTCGAGATACATATCTAGGGATTTTTCAATAACCTCGAACTTTTCATTCATTTTTGCTAGCACCTCACATATTCCTAAAGTCACAATGAGGTAAAAAAATTAGCAAGAAATGGACAAATTTAATGTGCTTTTTAGTTATCCGTGGAAAACGAGACCTACCCTCCAAATCAGAGCATCGTCGAGCATTCTTTACTTCGTTCATAGCTGTCATTATCCGTTTCCATTCCACGTCGAGATCATCGAACAGCGTTGACTCCTTAGGCAGTTGCTTACGAATATCGTCACCCATGAAAATGGTCTCCATGTAGAGCCATTGTCTCTGCACTGTGAGCAACAACTCGATAGTCTCTGTTATCTTAGAAAGGGCACGTTCCCATAAATCCACTTCATGCTCAAATGGTTTCACAAATCGAGAAGCCTTCATTGCTGATAACTGAACCTGGAATATTCCGCAGCAGAGAAAATTAGACGCTTAAACACAACTAAATTTCAAAGCCTTTAACTTCGCCATTATTTAAAATTTGACTTAGGTGTGGCATTTAATGACAGGATCTACCAAAAAACGTGATTATTTGTAGAGGCAATGGACACTTTAGTTTACGCAAAAAAGCATTTTATATCACTTAGATGCCACGGCATCTTTCCTACTTTGTTTTAAGGTTGAGCAAGAACCATCACCACTGTTAAGGACTTGCCTGGTGGTCTTCAAGCGTGTTGAAAAGATCATCAGTAGATCGCAGTCTAAGGTGTCCCTTATCTTTATAGGGTACGATGTCCAGTTCAATGGTAGCCCAGACACTTTCAATTTTGATCAAAGCCTTTTCAATGCCCAGTTCCTTTGTTGCTGCTTGTGAGAGCTCGCTAATGAAGGCAGCATAGCGGTCAAAGCCGAGACTGATTATTTTTTCAAGTGTAAAAGTCTCGTCATTTTGGTCAAAGTCCCGGGCCATCTCCTTGCGAATGGCATCCCAGTGCCGAGGCCGCATCGCACTATTGCGCAGATCGGCTATCAGGGGAATCGTCCTTCTGAATTGGTCAACGCGATCTCTGCTCGCATCCAGCACATCCCAACGACGACTCTGACAAGCATTGCATTCGATTGCATTACCAATTACAAATTTAGAAACGATTATTTTAACCTCCTATATTAGATTTCAAGTTCAGTCTTGGTTGAGTGAACAGTTGGTCTATTTCTTACATGGTAGCTGATAGCTGAGTCTCTTTGCATTAGCGAAGGAATTATTAATTGAAAGGGAATAGAGAACAGCGTATTTCCAGACCAATTGTTGGTCATTACCAAAGATTTACAACAAGACGGATTTATTTATTTTTTTCATCATTCCTCTGCAGAAAACCCTACAAATTTTCACAGAAATTATCCAAAAGCACCTTTTTTGCAGCATGGGGCAGTACCACAATGAGCACTCACTGAACATCGACTACAATGAAATGTTTAAAACAAAAATGCATTTTTCAAATCCCATTGAGGCTGAATATCGTCGTGAATAAAAGTGTTAGATCCCTCCTGCCGCGTCGCTTAGCGTGGGTAACAGAGTTTTGTAAAGCAAAACGAACTAGCTACCCCCGTTATTATTCAAAAAAGTTAATAGAGGTAAGTGACTTTCAATTGGATGCAGTGTTGTCTAATTACAATAGAAGAGTAATTACCACTGTCTTTAATTGTTCATGCTTCTGACAGCTGTGGGTGGAGATCCTTCGTTTGTCTTAGTTCGTCTGTGTCTATTCCCAGAATCATTATCCTATACCAAAAAAGACTATTCTGGAAGTGTTCTTCAATATTAGGGTTAACTTTCTACAAAGACAAGATTTGTCTATAATGCTTCTATTGAATTCTGAAAGTGCATAGCTCAACTCGTTAAGTGGATGCGGGAAGATGATAAAAAAAATCCCTTGCATGCTCGATATTAGAAAAGTCAAACCTCAAACAAGTTTACTAGGGATTTGAACGAAAGAGTTGACTGCTAATCAACAACATATAATTTACTGCACAACCAATGCATCACCATTTCAGTTAGTATTGCTTTGCTTTATCGTCGACATTAGGCGGGCCAATTGTTATGCAAATATATGATAAGCATTGGCCTATCACACGTCATCAAGGGATCCATTAGCTCAAAGAAGATCCCAGCCGTTATTGTTACTCCTGCAAGCCCTGTTGTCCACTGCTGATCCTAGTCGTCAATGTGCACCACACCATCCCTGATCGGCCATCATTATACTGTCAGTAGCCGCCCAATCCTCACTAAATCTTCTGTATTTAAACCGACATCTTAGGATAGATAAATTCTTCCAACCACCCGATTAGGATGCCTCCACCTCAGCTACTTCGACCATTTGCTTGCAATGTATGTTCTCCTTGTTAAACCGTATAAGTGTTGAACATGCTGAAACCACATTGACGATAAAGATAACAGGGGCACTATAAGTGGAAAGAGATCCCTCTTATTCTACTAATTCAATACAAGGGTGTTTTTTTGCCCCTACATGGTGAGATGAACATAGCCATGACGGTTGGAATACTCGAATGCACGCATCCCTGGTAGCAACCGGTGACGCACAGGAAATTCAACAAATCGACATCCACGCACTGAAATGCAGAATTCTTGAGCTTCAGGTGGCCAGCAAAAGCCTGCCAAAAGTTGCAAAGCCTATTAAACCGCTACCTACGCAAGAGTACATCAGTATATTTATGTTCTGCAGCCGAAATGGCCATGTTGCTGCCGATTTTTTCCCGTACAGTAATGGACAAGAGCACTATTTTTGAGATAGTACACTGTTCCTTATGCATTACATGTAATCATTTGTGCAATGAAAGGGTACGTTAATATATTGAACTGAAATGCAAGTAAGCTGCTGAGGGGAGGATGCATTATTCTTGGGGAGATAGGGGACACTTTTGTTGCATTTGAAGAGATTATGGATAAGTAGAAAAATACGGCAACTACACCTACTGGAATAGAGCAATCAAATTCTTGTGATGTAGTGATTACTGTGGCTGGGAAGTTTTTATTAACCATGTTAGCTGGCTTCTTTTCAATTTTCAGATGAATGTTTTTTGCAAAAGGAGTTCCTAGTGCAGAGCACGATAAATACTCTGACGGCGATGCCATCGTCAATGCGCCTCACTTTAGTAAGCGCGAAAGGGCACTTTGTAACCTGTTGCCAGGATGGTTTATCTAATTTGCGACTGCAAAATGTTGGGTAATAAATAATACAAAAGGAGAATGACTTACTCTATTGTCTCGAGCGAGGCGAGTGAATTTTCGGAACATCGCCGTCGCAAGTGTTTCCATGTCGTCTGTCTGCAGGTCAGAGAATTTTCCATGCTTCCACCCCATCCAGTTCTCCTCCCACTCTTTATTCAGAGTCCATATTTGTTCCAATATATCCAACTCCTTCCGAAAAATATTTAAGAAAAATGAAAATTGAGCAGTTGAATTCCCTTGGTTGAAATACATTCGGCGATTGCTGATGTATTTATTAACCAACCAGATATTTGTTCAAGGCGTGCGATTAATGACCATAATACAAAATGAAATTTGGGAGCTGTTGTGCGGACCTTCTGTACAAGTGCGGACTCTTTGCAGGGTTGATGATCTATCTTGAAGATGAGGAGGCCACTGCGGATCTCGTTCTCCTTCTCCATCATTACGGCAAGCCGGTCGCGGAAAGCCTGGCACGCTGCCAACGCCTCCTCAGGCGGCGGACCGAGGTTGTGGTGGCCGTTGGCCTGCAACTCGCTCAGCAAAGCCGATATACGCATTTTTAGCCTCTCCGATTCCGCCAGCAGGTTAAGCTTAAATCTCTCTTTTGTCCTGCGGATCATCTGCAACGCCAACATTTCTGTTACCAATGCTCCACCCAATAAGCTACTCATTTTCCTTCCCTTCTTAACGTAGAATTCTAGAAGGAGTAGATCTAGTAGGTCAAATGATTAAAAAATCCAATTTATATCGCCTAGAGACATGTAGACTAATATATTTTTATTTGACTGGCTTAACATCTTCGACAAGGTACCCATGACGGCATGGATTGAAAAACACTGTTACAATGCGATCTCGATTAACAGCCACACTTGCAAACGACTCGCCTCTTCACAGTTGACCAAAGTTTCTTTGAAGATGATCCAGTCCGAAACAAGGTTTATCCTCCTTGTGGCCACCTCGTTCTTATAAGTCACCTCACATTTATCCAAAATAGCAAATTGCTCCTCCAATGGTGCGAACTTATCCTCCATTTCTGTCCTCTCATTGAAAACTTTCTCTAATAGATCCATGGACTCCACAAGTTTGGTAAGATTCTCGGGAACGTGAGACAGTCTACACAGGTGATTTAGAAACTCAATGAATGCCAAAACAGAGTAAAAAGGGCCAAGAATAATTCCAATAAGTCTCTTCGATGCGCCCTCATTCTGCTAGAAATGATAAATTTGATGAGACTAACCTCTTGGTCATCTCGCTCATGTACTTATAAATTCCACTGAGATTTTCGACGGTCATGTCCACAAGGAGGTTTATTAAACGCATTTGCCACTCTCGGCAATGGGCTGCGATGGCATTCTTGAGGAGACTGAAATCGAGCTGCAGAAACCGTACCGTCACTATTGCCTCTGCATCCAACACCTTATTGGTTACTTCAGTAAACCTACAACAAGAAAACTTAGTATAGTGATAATTATGTACTGCTTTGCAAACTGATTCGGGTACTGAAATACCCCATTTCCCACAGTTGATGAAGCAATGATCTAGACAGTTAAGGTATGCCTGTTCTTTAAATGGTCGAAACATAACGGTAGTAATCGAAATAACTTGAAGCATTAGAAACTTATGGCAACGTTTTTACTTTTCATAAACCAAAATCTGACGATTTATTCAAAATTCCACGAAGAAGCTGTTGTACTGTTGTAAAATACTGATGCAAATATGCTTTTAGCCTTAGTGGACTTTAGAAAAGTTACGATAGAAACGTATGCTAGGCGCAACCTACCGACCGATATCTGCTTTAATAGAAGTGGCACTCCGTTTGATCTCTCGATAGTGATTGATAACCTCGTCTTTAGGCTGCTCCCAAATCTCTCGAAACTGATCCCAGTGGCCCAGGGGGTCTTGCACCGGCTTGACGATATCGATAATGCCGCGTTTGATACTCTCTTCAATCCTTATCACCTCCTCGTCTGCTTCAACCATTGCAGCGATCGACTAGAAATACACTTGAAATGACTACCACATATATGCACCAACTTTTTTATTTGTAAGTTGGAGTTTTTTTTTAAAGAAAAAATGGTCGGGTTATTATTTGGAATGACGCTATCATTAAATTGGCTAGAAGGGAAGCAAATTCAAGGTTTGCTTGGCGAACTTTATTCGTGATCAGATTGCATGCATTGTGAATTGTTATACTTCTGCATTAAAAAAAGCATCAAAGAAAAGGCGGATTAGTATTTCATGTCGTGGGTCCAAATTTCCAGCTAAAAGATTAATTAAACGTAAAACAGACTTGTGGCCCCTAATTAGGTACAGGTTCATTTCAGGTTTACTTTAGCTCGTATTCAAATATGACTTTTAATCCCTTATAACTTTAGCTGTTTTCAATTTCCTACTTCATAAGTAACCAAGAATGAGCTCACATAATCAACGGCTCTAAACTTTAACATTTAGAGGTGGTAAGTTGGCTTATGCACCCATTTTAAGGTATGAAAATTCACTATTCAACTTAGTTGTAGGAAGATGTCCAGAGGTGTATTTTTAGCAAACGATTTTGCCATGTTGTTTTATGAGAATAAACTGACTACTTCGAGTGTTTCTTACGCCTCACAACATGCTGTTTGACGTGAATCCTCGTAAAGCATTAATTTGAACTGGAGAAACTTCAACCTCAAGTAAGGCCGGTAAAATTACCAGAAAATACTTAACACTAAAATCAATAAAAAGTAACTTATAGTATCGATGTTACTGCTTCCACGTTTAACGTGAGCTTGAAACGGAAATCGTCTGTTTATGAAGTTAAAGGTATGCCAATACATACTGGTGTCCCAGTGATCTTGTTCTTGGTTAAGACCTCGGGCAGGCGGGGAATGTTTGCAAGGGCTGCAATAAGTTGATCGCCTAGAGAAATCACGACATCTGTCAGTTGAGGAATAGTTGGTGTGAATACTAGCGAGGAGCCGTCCAAATTAAGAAGAATTTTAAAAAATGGATTGGGTTCGTTTCTCCCATCCCCATTGATGGCTCGTCGGAGGTCCCCTAGGGAGAATTTGACGTTCAGACGAAATGCCTCTTGACAATAGCGATCCATCCGCTCCGTGTATCTGCACAAACACAGTGGGTGTGGCTCAACTCATTTTGCAACACTAACAAGCGATAAAAAACTCCTAAAGAACTTGTAGGTCTGATCAAAAAGTTGTAGAAGCGCGTTGTCAGAAAGCTTTTTAAAACCTTGGTAAACACTCTGATTTCACCAATAAAATTATGCAAAACTCAGTTAAAAAGATCTATTAATGACGATGGTTTGAACACAAGTCTTATTGCTCTAGCATTGTAAGGTGAGAACAAAGGAGAACTAGAGACTTACGAGTACCAACGCGCTTGGACGTCTGGATTTTCCGAAACAAAAGTATCCCTGACCAGTGACATCTTATGAATAATGTCCTGATGCAGCGCAACCAGCTTCGTCACTGTTCTCTCTCTGTGGTTGGACTGCATATTTGACAAAAAAATAAGCAAATCACGAGTGCATTCCAAAAGTTTTGTCTCTTATTCTCAGAAAATCCAAAACCTATCAGATCAGAAACTCATGCGCAGACGCGGTTAAGGCTATTGACAATGCACAAAGTATTGTAGGCTTTGTAATTGACCTAGCTGCTTTCAGTGGAGGAAGAAAAACGGCTCCAGCTTCATGATTTCACGAAAGACTCTGATACGTTATTATATTAGTAGCATAATTTTTAGCACATTTTTTGCAGATTTTTAACACAACAGAGCTGCTTTTCATCCAATGAATAGATCATACTTTGGTTAGCGGTAGTGTATTGACGTACTTTGAGGTGGGCGCAAAATCGAAAATTGTGTTAAGTAACCACCGCAAATTTCGTAAGACTCCCTCTGACGTATCAAAATTTCTACTCCATGCTATCATTTCTGTATCACTAACAACAAATATACACGATATTTAAGGGCATTACGCAATCAGCCGTTACCTGTTCCTGGTTGAAATCATCGTTTTCGTAAATCCTTCCAGGCTCGAGCTTAATTAGGAGAGTCTTGGCAATGAGCTCACAATTAACTCTAATATCTGCATTAGCCATCTTGTATCCATCCACCTTGCCCTGCAGGTTGCAGATCTGTAGGCGGCTGTCGTTGACGAAGAACTCGACCATGGACTTGACAGGCCACTGGATCTTGACGAATCCGGGCGCGATCTTCTTGTCGAGCATCTTAATGCGCTCATGGAAGAGGGCCTTCTCCTCAGAGTTGAGGATGCTGAGGATGCGGTTGTATTCGCGCACCATCACTAGCACGATCTCGCGCAGGTGACGCAACTCTGACTTACGTCGGTGCGCCTCCACCGCGTAGTGCGGCACCTCAATCCCCAATAGCACCCAGTGGTCTAACTCATTGATTATGCGCAATATACTTCCCGGAAATGTTGCCTCCAGTTGGTCCGACTTGATTGTGCTGCGCATTAGAATCGGCACTTCTAGGCACTTCAGGGGGTCCTGTGCGAAAACGAATAGCTCAATTAGCACAGAAGGCTTCCCCTCCTACGTACCTTAGTGACCCAAAAATTAGCTCTAATTTTTAGGAATTCTAGGTACAGTTTCCCTAAATCTGTGCATCAAATAAGATTTATCAGTGCATGGGAACTTTTAATAACTTTTCCTGTAGTTTAAACATGTATATTTATCCAGGTCCCTTCGTCCGAGTTTTATCTCGATTCATCATCATCGATTCATCTTTTTTGTAACTCTTAAGTAACATAAATGTAGTAAGCATAGGCCAAATTTAACTTTAAAAGCAATATAAAAAGTCAATCAAATCTTGATAGTGATCCTCGGGTAGACACAGTTTAAATTTTTTGCTCATAATCTGACAGTTCAAAGTTTATAAAGTGCATGTATATTGAACTGATATGACAGTAAAGAAGAAATAAAAACTAGTATTTATTCTTATGATGAAAGGGATTCCTAAAGGAGGAATGAGACATACTAAACTTACATATTCAATGCTATTCATGAATTCGTTAAAAACCTTTCGCGTCATTTCCTCAATGCTCAGGCATATTTGATCGTAAACGCTTCTCTGTTCTTTTAGCACTTTAGCAATTGCGGGAACGAAAAATGCCAAATCGAGTTGCTGTAATGAAGAAATATGGCGCAAAACCAATCTAGTTTAACCTGGAATGGCAGATGCATGCTTGTGTGGCCTACGCTTATATTCCTATCGAGACGGCGACGCAGAAATCGCCAGAAGATCCCATTCAAGGCAGATTTCGGCTCTTGTGGTCTTGGCAGACCCATGAAGGGTCGCATAGCCATCTCCTGTTTCACCTTTGAAACGCAATCAAGAAACATATCCACGACCACGTGGGTATTTACCTCAAGTGCCCTCCGGATGGCCTAAAGTGCAGAAAATTGGGCATAGGCACCGCATAAGCACAAAATCTCTATAGAATGCAAAGAATTGAAAATAGCTTCAATTGTAATTGAATGGAATGGGTATTTCTTTCAGTACAACAGAGACCCGCTAAACTAGACAAATTAATAAAATGCACAAAATTCTAAAAAATAATGCATGCTCGCTTAGTAAGGTATTGTAGAAGTAAATTGAACAGTAAAATTCGTTCTTACCTTAAAACAGATTAGACTCCTATAACAACATTAATAGCCTTATTAAGGAAACCGTTACATACTTAAAAGGGACCAAAGTATCTCCTTTTTTCTTTTCCAGTGAGCATCCTTATAGTATGCCATAAAGTAAACTATTCACTTATTTTTGCCAAACAGATAGTAAAAAATCACCAACCTCGCGTTTTTGGAGATGAGCAAAGACATCAAGGATCTCTACACCTTGCTGAATTGTTGTGACTGTTTCAAACGCCATATTGATAACGTTCTGCATCATAATTTCGAGACCTTTAATACCACTGCAAAAGCGGTTATACTGGTCATGCCATGTGGTGGCCTTGACGTCCAAAATGACAGATCGCTTCTCACTGAGGCTTGTCATTAGTTTAGCAAACATGCCCTCGATTTGCAGGAGAAGAAGCTCTATCTCAGGTCCTTTCGCGCCCTGGAAGATAGGCATTTCAGCCTTATTACCCTCCTCAAATCGGCCGAAATCCGCCTGGCATTCACAAATCTAGAGTTATGCAAAATATGCAGGCATCTTAAGGGTTAAGCTTGTAAGATATAAAATCACATTGTGAATAAAATTTGACGCTAATGAAGGAGACGGTAAAGGCACCCATAAACAGCAGTAGTAGACATAATTAAGTAAATTTAATAAATCCGCTTAATGTGATTGTATACCGGTGCCGGTGTAGAGACAACGGTCCTCCAGCTAGAGCAAAACTTAGTGCCCTACCTCGAGTAAGTCTCTGCAGCGCTGAATGAAGGCATCTATATGGGCAAAGATGCTTCCGTCCTCCGTGTCCCATGGTATTCCTGAAAGCTCGGAATGCATCACCTTGAGATCCTCATAAGTGGATTTATATTTCTCACAGCACCTGATGCAGTCTTGGAGCCGAATAGATGCTGATCGCACCCTTCCGGCGAAAATTTCGTCTAATGAGATGACGCTACAGCATCGAACAACAATTTCATTCGAGACCTTCCGAAAAAGACCAGTTATTACCTCCCTTGATTTATAAAACCTCGAGTTGGTCCATATCATACGTATTTGATTTATGATCTTAGGTAGAATTGGTGGGATTTGGGCTGGAGTTAAATCAGAAAGAAAAATACAGGCATCCTTCATTGTGGCCAAAAACTTTAGGTTATCTTGTGCCTCCGCAGACGTATTTTTTATTTCTTCCGAAAGCAGAATAAATGCAGTGATGTAGGAAGATTTTGCAATTGTTAGAATTTGTACAATCTCCATAATGCTCTTATTATCTAGTTGTTTACTGATGCCCATTAAATCTTCGCAACGATTTCTCCAGTACTCAATTTCATCCAAGGGCCCAGTTTCTTCATCATCATCAATAGCACTTTGTGAGCTAAGCACTTCCTTAATTTGTCGTGTCCAGTGGATTACTACCATTTCAAGACGCCCGACTAGATCCTTATCTTTCGCTTCTTCACCTAATGAGTGCTTGAAGCCTTCCATTGGAATATAGAGCACTGTTTTTGAGTTCAACTTCCACCGTGTATCCGTAAGAGCAGACATAAAACGATGCAAATGTAGGGCAAAGTCATTTTTGATGCTGTCGGGCCATGTCTCGTCGGCAAAAAATGTAGGTGCGTAAACGTTTGACATAACTCGAAGCAGACTTTCGATCCCCTGCCCCAAAACTGAACCATTTTGGACGGTTAAAGGAAAATTTTCTGATGTAATTTCAACATTCATACCCTCATGAGTGCGCATGAAGTAGTTGATATCTCGAAAAATAGAAGTCGGAAATCCCGAACCCACGTATAGATGTCCATCTGGAAGTAAGCTAAAAAAGATGACATCAGCTCCATCTGCGGGTACAAATTCAGTCAATACAAAAGACGTGTGCTCATCCTTCCAGGAACTTGCATCGTATCCCGTTAGGAATAAGCGATTTCTAATCATTTGGTCTACACTAGGAGGAGGATCCACAAATTCGACTTCTGGAACTTGGTCGAAATTGCCAAACTTCAAAGCGTCCTTGTAAGTTTCACCGTTCGGCTCGATGCTGATGAACTCGTCATAAGGACCCAAAAGAATGTCTGTTCTCTGAGAAGAGTCACCAGTTGTCAGACCAGCTAAAACACAGCAAACCCTAAAAATACGTTTTAAATGATGCTTAAGGATCCCTAACTTCGAAAAATTTCCGCTCATCGAAACTAGTAGAGAGCAAATAGCCTCCTACGTTTAATTTCGCAACAATTCACGAACGTTAGATTACACACTTCCTCACTAGTAAAGGCTGATATCACAGTTTGCAGCCAAATAACTCACACTAATAAACGTTAATTAAAGGACATCTGAGGTTAAAAATAGTCAGCAAGTAGCAGTTATGTGAAGTGGCAATGATCGTTCGATTACCCAGCACTCTAGTAATAAATTTAAAAACTCCCGAAATTCTTGTTCGACTCACATTTTGCCTTAACTATGAAAGATACGCAGTCGCCAGATCGGATGTAACAAAAAGTAAGTTCACCTTTGTCCTCTGCTAAAAAGCTTCCCATACATTAAAACTGCAATAAATGCTTAATCAGAAGTAAAAACCTTCTGGACATTTCAACTAAACCAAACCCAAGTATATCTTGCATTATAATCCTAGAAAATTGTTGCAATGCTGCCTTTTGGTAAAAATTTCCGGCCGAAAAATCCTCTCAACTTCAACATCAGATTGTTCAACTTTCTAATGCAAAAGACATCCCCTTCATTTTCCCGGTTTTACAATTCAGCTTTAAACACACGCGTTTGCAGTCAATTATTAAGAATCAAAAGACTACACAAAGCATTTTTATGAGTTTGAATTGATACTATCACTTAAGTACTGATCACAACATCTTTAGCCATCAGAAAACATCAATGACTGGGTAAATACATTTACGTCATGTTAAATGACTTATAATAAACCAAAATATGACCACTAGTGTGAATTTGTGAAACAACTGATTTGTTCACAAATCAGCGTTATATGAATTAAGTTCTCGAATTGTAGTTATACAGTACGCGAAACGGTCGTGTGTTCAATTAATTAACCTCTGGTGATCACACGTTTTTAAATAACTACCAGTATTGGATACCAAATAAGCGACAAAATTTCATTAAAGCTACAAGTGCAAGAAAAACAAGGGATACGTTGTAGATTATTCAACTGTCGCAAACAGCTACCGTCAATCCACCTTATCACAACGTTTATCTGAACAGTGAGCATTCGAAACGTTTAAATGTTGCCGGTTTAAATAACTAATAAAGGAAAAAACCGGCCTCGTAAATTAAATTGCCGCATCATTCTACTTTTACGATGTTAATCAAATCAATAAAGACCTAACATTTATTGAGATTAGCTTCTTTAAAGTCATGGAAAAATTTGATTGGGTCGGCTGAATGCATCGCAGAAAATGCTGGTTACGCTACTGAACCGGTTGCAACTATCACAAAACTGCAAGTGGCAGCATAATTACAAATATACATTTAAGACAAAGGTTGAGTAAAGAACGACTAGAGTCTTTCATTGCAAACGACATAGGAATCCGAGTGCTCATTATTAGATGAGACTGCAGTAAAGAAGTTCATGCATCATAACAAGTTTTATGTACTGGACTCCCTGCTCTACAAAAAGCTTGCTTAGACTACGATCTACGCCATCTGATGCCAAAAATCACTACTTTAAGTGCAAACCACGCATTACCAGTTTCAGCCATTGACGCGGACTTTGTAAAATTGCCTTCGGTGTTACTGTGGCAACGAAACGACAGCTTAAGTATTTATTAACGCTTCGATTATTTGAAAGATGTTATTACGTTTTTTAACCCTTAGGCTTGATGCACCATTTTACGCAGTATTGCAATACTTCTATGAAAATTTTAACTTGATAACCATTTACATGACAACATCTTCATTGTCGAATACAGGTCTTCAAAGCGCAATAAAGTATATTCAAGCTGTAATAAATTACGACTGCAATATGTGCATATTTTGGAACTCCTGTATTCCTCCTTTTTATCTTGTGGAAACCTACCGAATAAAAACCATGCTTGACTTCCACTTAACACATATTTACACCACAACCCAGGCTTTTGTAACTTGAATTTAACATCCTTTTAACTTGGTGTTGTATGGCATAAATGCAGTGGTTTGATATTCGACCCTACCGCCCACAGAACGTTGCGGGCACATCAAAACCAACAGATTGCGCCCTCCGCTCGGTATGGCCACAGAGCCACCCCAACAGCCTTCTCACTCTTCGCTACGGCGCTTACGTGCTGTGCTACTCTGGTTTACTACAAGTTCGGGGGAGACTAGGAGCTAGACCACCCCCCCAATAGGACTGCCGTGGCGCCCACCTCAAAATACTCGCAAAAGTCCGACCCGCCCCATTATTCACATAACGTAGTTAGCATAGGTCGATCAAATCCCAAATAATCTGGAGGTGAACGTATGTGCACGTTATTGTGGGCAAAAAATCCCCGTCAACGTATTGGCATTCTACTAAGTCAACGCATTTAATCTGTTTTTACTGAGGCGACGTCCAAGTTTCTTCTCATTTCAACGAACCTCCCAAAAACACGAAATCGGATCTGGGGTCCCATAATAAAAAACAATGTCACAGACACGCAAGCAATGGACACCACTCGTTCTTTTACGTCTGAGCATGCGCATGCGCATCCGCAGGTGTGGTCAATGTGAACTGGAACCAGAAAGAAGAGATCGGCAGCGAGGGGAACTTCCCTGACATGATCTCGGTTTTGTGCAGTGCCATTAGCTGAGTTTTCAAACCATCTCCATTGAACGACAAATTGTTGACCATTCCTTTAGTAGCAGCCCGATGACCTCTGAAACATCACGTCTGACTACAGCAAAACAAACAACCGAAGATGTGTAACTATCTCTTAAACAAACGCCTAACCTATGATTACCTTCAAGTCCTAAAGCGCGATTACAAAATTCAAAATAAGATAGGAACGGTAAAATGACCTCATCCCCAAAATCAAATGAAGTCATGCATTATAAAATAATTCAATGGTGCCTGAGGATGAATCAGGGCTGTGGGGCAGCCGTGATACGGTTATCACACATTCGTAGAGACCCTCTCTTTGTTACAGATAACTCAAAATCATCTCACCTGTGAATGATTTCCGAAAACATGAAATATGAATGATATCACAGGCAGCGCAGAGAAAATGCTCAGAAAAGAAAGTGTCCAGAAAGTGAAGCATGCTATAACTCCGGGCCTCTGCCATACATCCGAATCAGCTGACGATGGACACTAAAATAATTTTTAAAAAAGCCACCGTAAAAATGGTGCTTATCGAAAGTTTAAACGTAAATCACATTAAACTACGGCCTGATTGGGCTGTCGAAAAGGTACTCAAATAATGCACACCCCTTACATCCTACATACGTCGCTACAAATCCTTTAAATCATTGTAGTTTACCAATTTGAAGCATACAGGCCATGAGATCCAGTGATTTAGTCTACCGCATTACGGCTTACCACACTGTGTTTATATGGTTTCAATCATACCATCAAACCTTCTAGCCCTATGCCTAGGCCTAAGTCTTATTGCGTCCTCAGGAGTAACACAAAGCCCACATCGTGGAGGCAAATTACAATGTTTAAAGTTCCGCAAATGGCAGTGCCATATTCTGGTATTATAAGTATGCCGGTGGAGTGTTAGCCCAGGTTATTAGCTCGACCAATCGTGCAACCCAGTACACCAGGCTAATCCGGTCTTAGTGCTATTAGGACTGGAGGTAAGGGGAAGTGGACGAGAATGCACCAGCAAATGATGTTGGGATTGCGCAGAATCTCCCCGTCGACACACCAGACGGAAGTATTCTCCCCTACGGCCTCCTCGTAAACCACGGGATCGCCATAGCGATTGAGGGCTTGGAATTGAAAAGCCCGCACCCGGTGCGCCTTGATGAAGGGCATGCGGAGGTGCTGTGAATGGCGCTCCTTGCGTTGGTTGGTTAGGTGGAAGAGATAGCGCAAGTACTGCAACCGTGAGCATTGGTGCACGAGGATGAGGTCGAGGAAACCGTCGCCGAGGTGTGCGGTGGGTGCAGGGCCCAAAGGTGACTTGGCACAGCGGCAGGAGATGAGGAAGGCGTTAACTGCCACAAAGTCTCCCGTTATCACTCGCCATCCACCCTTCAGCTTTCTCTCCTCGCTACCCCACTCCTCACCTCCTTCTGCTCCTGTCACCTCCAATAACAGGTCATCCACCATCTCTGCCGCTTCTTCCACGTTCAAATCGTCCTGAGCTGCAGAGTTTATTAGCGATAGTGATGATAAAATCACATACATGCTACCAATTTCTCTGCACATTCTGATTTAAAACTAGGTGAATCTAAAAGCTTTTACACCATAGCATTGTCCAATCCAGTATAATAGTGATTTATCTTACTGAACTGAAAAAAAGTCCTAATCGCGTCAGAACACCAAAGTATAAAGAACTTGCATAGTAACTGGACACAGGCATAACCGAAAAATGGGAATGTAGGCAAGCAAGCGCTTTTAGAATATAATCTGATAAAATCGTGAAAAAGTGGTGCGGCATACTATGCTAGGAATCTGCAACAAATGAAGTTTATAAATGGAGGGTAAGTACTCACTCTTTTAAGCAAAAGGGTAGGACTTGCCAAAATTTCGTTTGGAGCATGTGCCTACATTGTAGGCAGAGAACAAAGCATACACAAATGCATTTATTCAGTAAAACATAAGAGATTACTCCCTTCTCTGATGCTCAATGTGAATGAGCCGCCCAATGTATGAATAAACAACCTTAAGAGCTAGTGGTCGATTTAAGCTACTGTTGCAAAGATGTAAATCAAATCGGTTAAACTCATTTGATTCTTCTCGTACTGATATCGTCGCACCACGAGAAATTTAAACCAACCCTTCCTTTCCCGATATATAAGATTTAAGCGTCTCCATAAATCTTTCTGACCTTTGCAGGAAACGTTCTATAGTACAGTAATTTCTTCGATAGAGCTTTAGCCATCAAAACATGAAACAGCTATGCGGAATTGTAACCGATAGAAATTGAGGACGCGGGTCCTTTTAAAAGAAATAATTAGAGTAATGAGACCACTGAGATAGCTGGGACGCTACTGCTACTGTTTTACCAAAACAATAACTACCATTGAGATTTTCTGGTCAAAGGAATTCTCAAAACAAGATGCCACAAAATTTAAGAAAAAAAAACAGATCATTTACTGATTGAAAATAAAAGCCTGTGAAAGATCAACTAACTTAGAGAGCGATAGCGCCGCTTTACATTGGTAAATTAATCATCACAACCCGTTTCCAATAAGTTTTACAAAAAGGTGGTGAAGACGTACGATGCGCCGAGCAAGAGTGTGGAGACTGGGAGCAGAGGCTGGGAGGGTCCATGAGGCTTGAGGTGGTAGGATGTGGTTGAGTGGCGGGCCCGGCGGCCTGCCTCGCCTCACCAGACTTATTTGATTGGTCCGCTTCAACCGCCTGGGTGGCCTCCTCGTAATCTCTATCCAACTTAAGGCACACCGGACACCTATGTCGGAGCAGGAATAAGGGAAGAGGAAAGTAGCAAACACGCGTGTCACTAACGCTGACAGGATGATAGACTTCTATAAAGATAACATCTACTAAGACCAGTTTTTCATTTAGTTGATTAACAGAAGGATGGGGGGTTTGCTGTCAAAGAAAACCAATTATTGATAATAAGAGATGAATGTGGACGTAAACGAACTACCAGGCACACATATCAATCTCAAAGTAATTGAAATCAACAAAAGCTAAACAGACAACAACCGTATGCTGTAACCGGAAGTGACTATTACAAAGTAGCATGAATCAGAACTGCAATTTTTTGACTCACGAGGAACCACAGATGTTTTCGTCGAATGGAGTGGAAGAAGTTGATGGGAGGTAAGTAATGCGACATTTGTAGGAGGCCAATTTCAGCCATTTGATGGCGCCTTAAAGGAAAGCAGCCACGTAGCCATTGATAACGCATGTATACGTGAACGTGAACATTTAAAAATGACAGAATTTGAATGACGAAACAGGTTTTGCAGATAATTTCGTAGGCGAAACCATTCTTAACTTACGGTAACTCCGAGGCTAGATGGAATTTTTTAAGCACCAAAATGAAGAGAACGCTGACATCCCAAACTTTAAATTCTGTTTCGGATCTAAGCAAATGCGCTACAAATTCGCCAAAGCAATCAAAATCAAGAACGAGGATCTGCCATCTGAAATTTCCTCACAAAATTAGACGCAGAAACGATCTTTATCAAATACAAATATTAGAATTCCAAATATCATGAAACCATGAATCATAACAGTAGAACAAAAAAATTCCCTTAACAAGGTCCACTCCTAGCAGGAGTGATGAATAGTAAAAGCGATAAAGTCAGCCGAAGCACAAATTATCACGGAGGGTTTAGGTGGCACAAGCATTACGCCAAAAGATTTTGTTTTAGTCCTACCAGCAATATCATATCGAGGGGGGCCAAGCCACCGAAGTCGTTCACTGGGTTCAAGAATATCGCCGTGAAAGCCATAACCCAGAAGGGAGACTGTGTAACGCAGAAATGCTTTGGTAGATGATTCATGGATCCCCAGCACATCGACCCCGATGTCAAAGCCTGAAACGTTTCGGAAGATTCTTATTTACAACTGCAGGTACTTCATTAGTGTAGTACTTCTCTACACGAATTATACCATCTAGGAAGCTTAATCTTTTCACTGATAAAATCATCCGTCATCACGATTATGAACCGAAATTTATGCAAAAAAGAACCTGTTGCAAATGCTCTATCCGCTTAACGAAGCATTAAAAATACCGCCAAGATAAAGACAAAAGTTGGCCTTTTTAAAAAAAACTTATAAAATTTATATAGAGATTTAAAACAGCTAGATGGCCGGGATAGTAATACGCCAATTAATTAGTGGTTAAAACCATAAAATGAAAGAAAACACGGGGATAGTATGCTTAATAAGACTAAGAGAAGAAATGAAATCTATGAATTAATTGCCATGCTATAAATAATAAAGTAACTAGATAATTCCGAGTGATTTTTTATGGAGACGAAGAGATTTGAGAAAGCCCCTGGGAATATTTTATTTGTTGAAATAATCACCATTACGATTGTCCGTACTTTCCCGAGACGGAAGATCCAAAAAAGACTTTAGAGTTTCGTCTATGTGGGACAAAAACGCTAGTCTCAGCCATTGTCCCTTTCTGTCCAATTTTATTTCCCAACTGTCAATTTCGCAAGAGGTTGTCTACTAACCACTTGAAGAAATGCCATCAGGATGAGACAGTGGCCCTCTTCCGTTCCATTCTAAAGTCCACATTTTCTCGCGGATCGGTTTTGTGGCGACGTGAATGAAACCTTCCTGCCACCGGTTCACCAGCCCTGTCCATTTTGAAAGTTTTTCGTACATACCTTCAGGTTTTATTATATCGCATCAGATGGATATATCTCAGCCGCAATTGTATGGCCTTCAGTGAGAAATTAGCAGTGGACAATTCCATCCGCAGTGCACCACCCAAAAAGAATAGGCTTCCAGGGATTAGATGCTACTTCAAAGTATGGGATAGGTAGTAGATCTCCTAGAGGTAACCTAAGATATTACTATTTACCTAACGTTGGAATAGAATACAAAAGTCATTGCTATCGACAGAGATGAGAAGAGTCGACATCGACTGCAGCCAAAATGTAGTGGCAACGGGCATCGGCATGACGCAGCAACGCATCCTTTGTGCAAATCTGCAGTATTTGAAGGGGCCAAGAAAGTTGGAATGTATCAACTAATAATGAGATGTTTTCAGCTTTAAGTATTAGATGAATCTTAGAGTGATGCTTGCAAAAATCACATTAATTTAAGAACCAGCCGACTTAGAAGCCGTGATATGATTGTAAATCACACTGTTTAAATACACTCAAAAATTCACTTAAAGCTTACTCTACAGAAAGAACGGTAAACACTAGGTCGTAACATAAAATGTTAAGTTTCGCTTTTACCCAGTTTGATACACACAAATTGTAGATGCACCATTAAATATCAGTTAAAAGTTGGGCATCCTTGAAATTAACACTACACAGCTACCAACAGGCTTCGAAAGAAGCAGAATTCGTTTAAAACAAGAAATAATTAAAAACTGCGATATATTACAAGAGTACGAAGAGATCGACGCTGAGGCGTTACAAAAAAAATTATCATGATGAAGGGCAATACGAAAGAAAATTTGGCGAAGGATAATCAGGGAATGGTTGGTGAATATCAGAAATTTTAAAATAGATTAAGCTCAATGAGTTAGCAATAAGGACACCCAAACACCTGACAGAAAGAGCAAAACCTAAACGGTCACGTGCTTCCTCACTCAAAAATTAAGCGATTTTGGAAAAGTCCTGTGAGCCAGGGCAAAGGATTATGTATGTGAATTTCGTGTTCAAGTAATAGACCTGTGAACATGTACAATAGCCGTCAAACTAGACGGTAGAACCTACACAAATCAATAAAAATTGCTGAAACATGAAGTAATTGTTTCAAAGTTGAGTTACAACTTTTGAGGATAAAGGCATTCAAGACAAGGACCAACTGGCGAAAATAGTGGGTTATGGTGATTTTAGGGATTCCAGAGCTCGAAAATAAGGTTTTAAAACCCAGTGCATGCTCTAGACGCAAGACATTTTTTCCTGCGTCAGCTAGCACGCCGAATGACCAAAATTAAGCAATTTTTCAATAGAGATGTAGGATTTCATTCCAACTACTTAACCTACTGCTCTCAAGATAACAAGGGCTTATGTGTACCATTGACTAAACGAGTGAAAATAATAAGCGTGAACGGCTACACCTTGCGGAATGCCTTAAAATAGAGTGAAATGAGCGAGACGCAAAACTGTACACAAACACCAGTATTTCGGCAGCAGTCCATGTTGAGGTGATGTCACGGCATGCCGTAAGGTGCACGTTCAAAGTGGCACGACAAAAGTTTTACACACACACATGGGACGTGAGCAGAACGATGATAAGTGGTGTAGATGACATGGAAGAAAGGAATAGTATGCCAATTAAAATATTAATGAGTAGTAATAGAAATATTAGCCAAATGTGGACATGGAAAAAGCACATTTAAAAGTGGCATTAGATGGTCTTCAGAAAACAAAGCGAAAGTTTAGTTATTCAAGTGGCCACAACTACGCACGAACTCACAGAACACGCTGTTGGCAATCAATAACGTCATGTGATCATGTGAAGCCACTAACTTTTCGTCAATGAATTTTGTCCGATCGTCTAGAATTCATAGATCTGCTAGAAGCAAATTTACCTTTCTTATAAACTTTTGAATAGCAGGCTTAGACAGCTACTTTTGTGCCACCATGGCTGAGGCAACTAACTGTAAGAATAACAAAAAATAGGCTAAACAACAAGTTTACCTAGATCCACGAGAAAAGAAACGACGTAGAGGAGCTGCTTTCCAAACGAGGCTGGCAGAACAAACGGTGCGGCTTTCAGAAACGACTTGATTGGAGTACAATGAGATATAATCGTTTTAATTCAGGGTGCCAGTTTCCAGCAATGCTAAAGCTAACTGCATAACGGCTGAAACCCAGAGCGGTAATCACCGATTGCATACACATTAAAAGACCTCTCATCATTCAATCTGTGAATAATAAAAAGTGTGCTATGGTGCAATCTGAATGGACCGAATGGCAATACAACAGACTTAATAAGGTAGATGCTTATAAATACACCAACAAGGAGTAAGCATGAATGAAATGTAGCAGTGCTAGAAATTCAATGTACAAGTAAATTACAGAGCAGTAGTAGCAATGATAAGCTCAGAACACGATCCCACCCAAACGATTATCGAATACACTCATCTTCGCTAAGCAATTTCTATTGCTGCTCCACACACTTTCCAGATTGGATTGATTGCAGCACTACGCAACGGTGACTGAGGTGTTTTAAAATTAAAAGTGCAATAACAAAGAACTCGAAACTGGAAGATTTCATGAAACTTTATATCAAGGTGTTATTTTAATAGAGATGAGGCGGGTACCAAACAGCCAACACATGCGTTTAGAAATCAACACTATCAGTCATGTGGCTGGCGTCATTGAATGCTAATATATACGGTTGTCAAGGCAAACAAGTACCTACCCAGAGCAATATGAATAGCAGCTGTTTCAACATCCTCTGTTCCATGAATAGACCGAATGACTGCATTAGTCGAACCTATAATGAAATACAAAAACAAAGCTTAAATACAGTGAATGGAAAGCATGTGTATTTAAAAAGCATAATCCCAAATCATCTCAGCGGATTCCGGCGCTCTTGAACTGGTTTATGTAGAAATTATACATATTAAAGATTTTGTACATCAAAGTATATTCATATTCAATCCTTAAAAACTATGGACAGACTAACAAACTTCCCACAGAATTGAAAAATCACATCAAACGGTATATTTGTTACAGTAAACGTTAGGAACTAAGTTATTTACACAGCACTCATCATTACCTGCTCAGGATTTAAAAATAAACCATTAGTATGTACTCAGCATCTTTTAAAACCAAACCGGTTTCGCTATTGAAGGACTCCAAAGTGATTAATAGAACGTACTGATTCTCAACGCTACTTTTGCCAACTATTCACTCACCGTAATGTAAACAGGTACGCTTCAGAAAAGGCTACCTCCATCGTATTTCGCCCTTAAGTTACTACGTTGATGCAAAACCAAATTCTTTTAACCCCATCTCAGTTCAAAAAATGCCTATGGTAACGAAATGAACAAAACTACATAGTATCAGAGTGACACCGTCATGCACAAGATAGTTTCAAACCACTTTTAATGTCTAAATGTACAAAGCGGTAGCGTCAGCAACTAGTAAAATGATTCAGATTTGAGCGAGGACACATAAGTGTTAGATGAGTCACTGAGATTGTAAGTTAGGTCTAGCAGAGTATTATCACGCGTAGGCAAGGCTGCTGTATCCACGCCTACCGGGGCTGCAACTCGACAAATGGACTCCAGAGTGCTGGTGCCACAACCCTCCTCCTGAAGCTCGGTTATGAGTGTGATCGAAATAGGTGACTCCATTCGCCCCTTGTTGCTAAACTCCGTCGCGTTGTGCGTGTTCTCTTGTGTGCCAGCATCTTCCAGATCCACTGAGACTACCGTGGATGCATTGCAATTTTGAGATAAGCCGTAGCTGTTGTTCCCGTGATGCTGTACACTTCTGGGGGCCGAAATGTCAATCGATACATCGAAATGAAGTGGTGAGGCACCCGCGCTTTTGGTGCGCCGATCCTGTTTCGGTTGTCGCAGCTGCATCTGTTCACACTCAGGCCCACTTGGAGCGGGCAGATCCAAAGGAATAGACGAAGTCGAGGAAGGAAGCGAGTTATGGCCCGGAGATTTCAAGCTTTTCTTCATGTTCAGAAACGATGTTTGAATTACCAGTTGTTTCGGCACTGACGAACATGGTGAGTTCAATTTTATGGAGAGGGAGGTCAATGGTGAAATAGCACCGCCCACTACATCCTTATTAGTGGACAAAGAAGCACTTTCGACTACACAATCCGTATGATCTTGAGTGGCGTTACACACCACAACAGTGCAAGCATTACCATCTACTTCCTTTTGGACCAGTGGTGTAGAAGTGGACTGACAAGTTGCTGGGAAGCAGGCATCATCACATGCGTTCGGGTCACGATCATCTAAGGTTTCCATGTACGTTGGCTGCTTACTTTCCACATCCTCGCAATGTTCCTCATTTTTGACTAGATCGCAGTTATCGAATTTCACAAGCTCAAAGGTTGGAGAAGGAGGAGGGGGTGGGAATTGAATTTGATCTACAGTATCATTTAAACAAGGTAGAACTAGAAGTTGACATTCAGAAGGAGGTGGCGTTGGTAGTGGTTCATGTCTTTCAGAGAGTTCTATACAAGAACCAGGATCCTCGGCAGTAGCACGATCCGTTCTTGCCGCGTTTATTTCAAATCCGCATGGATAATTAAGATAATCGTCTTCTAGGACGTTTGTACAGTCAGAGCTACTTCTAATTAGTTCCTTAGGATCCTTAACACCGCTAGTGCTTATGCGGAAATCAGCTGGCAGATATTGGGAATTACTTATGTGATTTACTAAAATGGGGACCTTCAAAGCTTCAGATTGTGTTGGTGGCATCTCGTTGATGGCCATGGCGTTGGCGATGCAGCGAGTGAAGCCCGGCAATGGCTCAGATTTCGTAAAATCATCACTTCTGTTCCAATCAGATTCGGCATTTGAATAATTTATTCCGTAGGCAGTCATTGGTGAAGGCATAGCCTCTTCACTCAAAGCGCTAATCACATGTTCCACAAGGTGACGGACTCTCGGATTCGTCTCAACCCTCACATTTGTGCTCTCTTCATGTTCTGGGAGCTGTAATAGTGACAAAATACCAAAGGGCAAATCAATTGTCTCGTCGTTAGCGTACGATAGCATTGTTATTGGCGAGAGAGTCATCAGAACCTCTGTTCCATGTCTAAATTTCTTGCTTGCAACAAAACTATTTGTATGCGAAGCAGTTCTCTCATTTTCGGAAACGTCAGAGAGTTGTTCAAGGTTTAGAGCTCCAGTAGTTTCCTCATTGCTAGAACTTAGGGGCTTTGGTTGGTTGTCTAGACTACCTCTGGCATGTTCTGCAAGGTGTTGCCTTGTCGCATCCGTATCATTTGCAGATTTTTCGACCAATGAAATAGCTGCTCCTTTGATTTTGTTGGAGTTTAGAGATATGGATGATAGGGGCGTTGGAGCACCGGTATCATTCATCGAAGTACTAGCTGCAGTGCTACGATCCACTTGCAATATGGCCGCCACCGAATTCATCACATACTTTTCGTGTTCAACAAGTTGGTACAAATTTGAATCGTCTTCAAACGTGGGATTCAAGTTTTTATTCTGAATAATCGATACAGTGCCTATCGACGAATCAAGCATTTCTGCTTCACCTATAAGGGTCGGCAAAACAGGTGGATGAGTCTTCTTAGCCTCCAACTTGGGTGTGGTACTAGATTTTTGGTCCATAGAAGATTTAGATGTTTGGTTGATAGATTCACTAACTCGATCTAAATCTGTATGAGCTTCTTTATCTACCAAGCTTTCAGTCGTGCGATTAGCCTGAGATCTTGATTCGAACAAATTTTCGGACGTGGTGGATTTCACTCCATGAGTATTATCATCAGAAGGTTCAGAAATGTCATTTCCACCATTGTCTATTGCAGCTGTTACCTTATTTAACAGACGTGACTCTTGCTTGACCTTCTTGGATAATTTATAAGGCGATATCGACGGAGTACACTTGGCAGATTTTACTCTACCCCATTCATTATCGTCTGGGGTAAAGGTATCATGTGGACTTGTGCTATGAGTACCGCTTCGCTCTGGAAATGGACTTTTCCGACTTCGTTTCGCTTTCCTAGGCCTAGTTCTGACGCTCATATTCCCTAGGGGAGCAAGCACCTGTGGTACATCCTTGAGTTCTTTTTTTGTCGGACTCTTCGAGCGATGACTGGCTTCCCGCTTTACACTAAGTAGAATATCAGAATTTGATTGCACTCTGTTTCGTGCACCCAGAGAACGTGGGCGTCGAGGTTTCCTTGGAGAATCTGGACTGAGTTCTTGCGTTGGGCGATGTTCCAGTTCATAAATCCTGCTTCTTGAAAGATGCAACCTCTTCGTGTTAGTTGAAGCGGAAGCATTTCGAAGATTAGAACGTCGAAGGGAACCTACGCCTGTTGCCGGATTAGTTATGACAGAAGTTACATCATTTAGTGTTGTACGCTCACTAATTGACAGGTCCTTATTTCGCTGCCTCTCAGATAAATGCCGCGAGATTCCAACACTTTCGGGTCTTGGACGATGAGGAACCGCTGTTCTTTTACGGGTAGTAATCATATCTTTGGGAGGCGAACTTAATAGAGCGCTGTCATTAAAGCGTCTGTATAGTCCTCGAGGCTTCGGTTTCGGTGTGGCTTCTGAACGGCTACGCGATGCAGTCTTCCGAGAAAGAGCAACAGTTTCAGTTATACTTTGGGGAGTATTGTTGTAAGAAACTGACCCGGAGCGAATATGATCGTTGGAAGTACGCATACCAAATTCATGTGTACTTGAACCAGCCTTCTGGTCACACGATTGAAACCAATCGTTCGGATAATTACTGACTGCTGATGGGGTGTCAACGTTTCTTCTCACAGGGACCATCCGTAGATACGATTGAGGTGAGCTTCTTGATAACCCAGATTCATTATGATTGGGTGGCCTTACCATTAAAGTCGAAGAAGCTCGTCTTGGATACTCCCTCCGATTTGAATGCATCGGAATGCAGGCTTCAACGAGACGATTAAATTGAGCAATGGATTGATCGTCAGGGCCAGTTACTCGAAGAATGGATAGTCGAGTCCAGTTCCCAGGTGAAACAAGTCGTCTAAGAACGCGTTTTGTAACCTCAATTTTGCATCCCGTTTTGAGTCCAGCTGTCTTAACTCGAGCATCCCCGTAGATGACACGCAATTTGTCTGGTGTGTTTTCGAACAAATACTCCGCGGAAACGTAATCATTGAACTTATCCATTAGAACAAACTAAAGCCGTGTAGTTTATCGTGCATTACTTGCTTCACTTACGCAAATGCCACTTCAAATAAAAATCGATACCCCCCTCCTCCGCCCCCACGCGCACACACATGGCATGGGTCAGAGGTGGCACATAGTAGTGACAACAAAAATCGCAATACAACGCAAAAATTGACGCATGCAAGAGCTTGCTTTTACCGGCAGGAATAAGTCCAATTCGGAGCTGAGGCGTGACTTCCGAGGTGAAGGGCTTGTGCTGCTTGTATAGAGGAAGCTTTGCATCAGTACGTGTCCGGTACAGAAGTCCTTGGAGCAGCTCTGAAAAGAGCCCATCTCCACCGACAGCTACCACCCTTGGAAAGAAAAAACCACCTCTCGCATGCATTACGAACACGTTATTTACAGTAAATTGATTCTTGAAACACTTGTATGAAACCGGAGCTAAACGTTCGTATCCACTTTAGAGACGATAATGCATATGCCTAGATTGAAATTATATTTACTCGAAAAAAAAACTTATTCCTACCGTAGCTCCAGCTGGCTTAACTAAGCACGGATCATACATGCTCCGGCCAGATACTTAAATAATGGCAATCAAGTGATCATTTGGCAGAATGAAAGTGCTTTTCATATCCTATGATAATAGCGCAGCAGTTTAATTTTACGATGAAAACCAAAGTACGGATTACTCTTCTGATTGTCGTGCATGACAGCATGCCTGCAGTGAGGTTGGTCGCAACTGTTTTGCTTGCTCAAGCGATTAGTTGAAAACACCGGAGAAAGTTTACGATTACTGGGGTGTTCTATAAGTAATTTCATCATACGTTCGGGCCACGAGCTCCGATGGCACCTGGATAAATAAACACTTTAGAAGTTAAATGAAGCCGAAAATATAACCTATTAAACCCGTCACAGACCAGGCAGAAGGTTTGCACAACGGTTATCCATGATCCCAACATGGTTAAAATCTTCTAAAACGCACATTTATTCAACCATATTAAACGTCAAGAACTGCACGGGAGGCCTTTGAGCACTTGAAGTCAACAATAACTGCCAAAGACTCTTTAAGGTCTACACAATATTCATTCCACCAAATTCTCTCTCCTTGATCGCAGATCATACGATACTGTGGTGCGGTTCCTGCACTCTTCAACTGAATTGCGGAGGGAGTTATGCATGCAGGAAAAGGTCCACGTCCATGAGTCGGTTAAGGGAGTTGCAAATCAGAAAAATCCGCCATTTTTGAGTCGAGACTGCGCCTCACATAAAAGGGTAAATCTCAAGGGAGATTTATACATGGTGCGGTGTGATTACAACTTAGGCTTATGGCGAATATGTCAAGTATTTAGGCAGTTATGAAGATTAACATACTACCGCTGACGATGAATTACAACTCGAAATTGTTAAAACCACATAGCGGTGCATCAAATTGATGAAATACGTGAATAGCTTTGAGGCTAAAGGGTTATACCAAAACTCACTGACTTCCAACAATTTCTGAAACCAGCGGAAATGAAAAAAAATTGGGGAAAAGAAGCCTCAACCTCATAATAGAAGTAATTTTACAACCTAAACTCGTCTCACCAAGTTGAGTAACTAAAGTAGTATTTCAGCAAAATTTACTAAAACTGCTATAAAAACGTTTTCACGTGACAAAAGTGTTGAAATATGCTGACAAGGTCATTGCCTAATTTATTAAGCGTCGTCTTCTTGCCATCGCTACTGATTTTATTAAGAAATGCACAAGAAACACCCACCAATCAAACATGGGCATGTTTGATAAAATCTTAATTTTGCTTCTTTGATTAACTACTTCATGCAATAGGTACTTCTAAAACAAAGAAATTATTAAACATAAGTCAGCATTTTTTGAAGTGTCTATTTTAGGGGAAAGATGAACAGTTAGCACGATAAAATTGTGCTAAGATTAGACACCAGTAGATGGCAATTAATGTTAGACTGATCCCAGTGATTGCGACAATCAAACAAGGGTGTGAATTTATCCTGCCAAAGCCCAATATGGAGGAAGAAAGTTTGAAACAACATTGTTAATTAACTGGGTAGTAAAACTTTGAAGTAGACTATTCGCCGCAGACGAAAACCCCAAACACCACCACCATCCCACTATAATCGGATTGTTTCACGAAATTATTCGCTTTGTAGGTAAAACTTACAGCCCTCAGACAAGTACACCTTCTCTAGCCATAACTGACGCCTTCAATCTTAGCACATAACAATAGCAACGCTAAATTTAAGTCAAAATTTCGAAACCTTACAGGCTATAAGATAACACTGCCTGAATCTGGTCCTTGTCTATATGGGCTTATAAAAAGTCCTAGAATGGGTAAGAGGTGAAAATTCCTGGAAGGTGAAAAAATGAATGTTTGTTGACAAACAATCTACATGCTAAGCAACGACGTGAATTTGGCGGGCATCTACGGTTTTCATGTATCCTTGGCGCATCACAACACGCAGGAACATTAATCAGCCTGAAGTCCCTTGCACTGAAGAGATAACGGTCGTAATCAGAAGATGTGAATTAAAAATAACTTTTCCAGTAAGCAAAATCACACCTTGAGCATGTACGTGGTTCTATGGTGGGTTGGAGGTATGTAAAAGAGCCAAAACAGCTCCTGGAAATTCCGCTATTCCAGAGTGGCTCCTTTTTCGAAGAAGACATAGGGATGTAACATTTTCTTGCTCTTATAGGCAACTATAGTGTCCAAAATATGCCCAGACCCCGAAACATTCACTAATATTCAGTTCATAGTAATGGAAGCAGCAAGTTGCGGTGAGCGGTGTGTGGATAATAAAGTGATCTAAGACAGACATTGAGTCATACAAGTTTCACTGAATACTTGAAATTGTTGATGAAGTATAATGCGTTATCGAAGTCCAAAAAGGAAGGTGCTTAGATCCGATTTTTTCTAGAGTCATAAAAATAGGAGCGTTTCCATTTGTTACAATTTTAATCTGTATTAAAACAAATCCGTGCAGATGAGATACATTACTGACTACGCACACGACCCGAGTTAGTGATTGGGCCGTCACTTCAACTTGTGGAGGGGAAAAATTCAACAAAATACCCCCAAACCAATCTTATGCAACTGTCAATTACATAAGTGTTGGAAAGAACAGTCACGAATGGGTCATCGTTCCCTTCAGATGAAATCAAATTAAGTACTTCACAATCAAATTCAGCAGAAACACAGACCTTCTAAAAATTTACTAGATATACGATGATGTGTTACCTTGGGAAAAAGTGCAACTGACAAACTAATCAAATGTGTCTCTTATCTACTGTTCCATGTGTTCTCCGGGACTTCCCTTGAAGTAACGAATATTTCAGACCCATGTTACTGAAACACGGAGCAACACACAGGAACTTATCCAAGCTTACGTCAATTAAATGTTCACAAAAAAGAATTATTTTTATCTATTTAAGGGATTCACATACCCGTCATAGGAATGAAGATCCTCCATGAGCATGAAGTTTTCACAGTGACCTTGATGTGTAGTTACTGAAATGCATACCCACTATTAATCAAATCTCATAATGAATAAATAGATTCATGGAAATATGACTTACCTATGACCTTTGTACGGATACCTGCTAAATTAAATATCGGGCGAACAGTTGAATAGAATATCAATTCGGCTAGCTTCTTCCCACCATAGGGGTTGATGAAAACCAAAAGGGATCGCGGACGGTACGGAACTAAGAGGAAGGTACATTAAGTCTTTTGTTTGCATAGTTTAAACATAAGTTGACATGGGCAGACTGTATACACATTCGTATAGGCTCACACATCGCAAAAACAGCTGTTTTAGAGCCTACTCGAACTAAAAACTTGAAACTGAGTGCAAATTTTAATAGCCGCTAATACTATATTATGAACAAAATAACAGTGACAACAGAATATAAACAAGCCATTTTCGGCGAAAAAAAAAACACGTTAGGGGACACTACAACCAGGCCTTCCCATGGTAAATGCAATTGAAAACTTGCTTTATATAACTTTTACTCACTGGAGAGTTCACGATAGAGTTTTATCCGATGATAGTATGAGTCAACTTCCTTAGACGGACCGATGGCGTTCCAAGTTTGAATTCTCCATAGACCAGAGTTCAGTTTACAAACACATTGTACAATTAATCCTACTTCATTTGCGTTACGGGAAAGCACGCCGATACTACAACACGTTCTTGAAGCTTCAAGTCTTCTCACACTTAGAACGTATCTAGTTTCAATTGTGACACCTACAAATAAGTTCTGGGAGAAATGCTTTACTGGCGACTTGATGACAGCTGAAAGATCCCATGACTAAAGGCGTCCACTTCCAGGTAATATAATGTTCATTAGCAGTCAGATCGTGTACATCAACACCCGTACATGAATCGCCAACAGCCATCCCGGGTAAAAGCACGTCAGAACACGAAATCGCACAATCAAATGACCGCCGACTCCGGGGATCTGTAAAACGGCAACAAATTCTTCGTTGCGATATAAAAGACAACAAAATGGTCGATTTGTCATTTGAAAGTTGTATACCACCCGCGCACAGTGGGTGAGCCTTACCGGACATTTAAATATGTGTGCCCAAATAAGTAATTCTGCCATTATTGCATATAATGACAAAACAATAAACATGCTCAAAGTCAAGCTGCAAAATATGCTTGCAATTCCATTGCTTTCTTTGCTGTCAAAAGAATATTTTTCAGGTCGTCAAATTGACAGCAAATAAAATTCATCAATTTATGATTGCCCACGTGACAATTTAAATTGATGTTAAAATTGTGGCGACGTGACCTAAATGCATAGGTCGTAGTAGGGCCTCAGAAACCGCACCCCATTTTATAGTAATGCCCTGCGACAGTGCCCATGCCTCGGCAGTCTATCTGGATGTTAATAAGTCACTGAACTCATCAGCTTGCATATTACTGTTTCAAGAAAAGTTATTGCAATTTCCACGGGTGGACACTAAGCCTCGATAAAAAAGATGATTAGCATTTGCTGTGGTTAGTCAAAGCAGAGGTGACTCTTAACAGAGGAGTTGATATGACGTCCACTTTTTCAACAACATTCCCCGCTCTTAGCGTAAGAAAACTACAGGCAAGGGAAGCGATATCAACGCTTAAAGATTTAAGGAGATAATTGTGCAAACGACACACGAATGCGATACTTTTGCTGTTAGTTTAACTCCTGGTTTTGGCACTGAGGTATATGTAAGCTTTCCCATTACATATTCTCCGGGCAGCTTGACTCCGGAGGGGTGTCAGTGGTCTCCAAGCCGACCTGTGGGTCAAATTTGCATATTCTGCCTTAGTACCATGACTTCTTTTGTCGTAGAGTGGCCTTAGTGCGTTGCACATATATGAAGGTGTCAGCTACGCAATCACACTTTTTACGTCTCCACTGCCTGAGCGGAACTCTTCAAGGTAATTGGATAACAATAAAGTGTAAGAAGACAGATGAGTAAACTCTCTGCCCATTAAAGCCATTTAAAACCTAATTTTTTCGCTAGGTGTCTTTGACCTTAAGTAAATGCCCTTTGTGTCTATGCCAGTGGCGCTTTACTTCTTTATATTTTGGTCTAAACTTCCTTACTATCAGTTTGGTCCGTACCAGCTTTAACGAGGGCGTAAGGAGTCACATTTTTGTAATTAACGACTTTGTTTAATCTTGAGGGATATTTTAGCAATGAAATTTAAATTATTGCCAATCGGTTGGGGTTGGAACTTCAAAGTTAGTTTTACCCTTTATCTAGGAAACATAACTGACTTCCATCAACACTAGGTATCCACACATTTATTTTTTGGAAGGAATGCTTACTTGTGTTTTCTCTGGGCAATTTGACTTGGAAGCAAATTTTTTTGAGTTAGTTTTTTCGTCTTGCTCACACATTTGAAACCGGGCGCGCACTTTTTATTTCGTTTGGCCAGTGGCTGTAGTGTTCTGGTTCTGTTCTTCCTTTCCTACTCAATAATGCATTTCTCACTGCTTTAATCTGTTTGACTAAATGTCTTAGATTTCAAGTGGTTGTTGCTGTCCCCGTTGTTTAGCTGCTAGTTAGTCTTTTTCTGTGCTTGCCTGTCGCATTCAAGATGTTTGCGTTTCTCCCCCAGGATGGCTAAAGATTTTGAAAACGTTGACAGTCTCTACTCATCAATTATCGCCCTTCTCTCTAGTGGTCATAAGAGGTCGAGGTGTGGTTATGAAAAGAGGATGAAGAATTTTGCACTCGGTATTGTTACTTATTTCCATTTTCTGCATATCAATAAATAGAGGTGTTCTTTTTAGGTCACTTTGAACAAGTTTCTCCATTTGCTTCCTCCTTTTTCATTTTTTCATGAGGTGTGTACGTCATCAAGGAAACCTATTGCTTTCTTATTTGATTTATTTCTCATACGTAAAACACTGCCTTCCTGTTTATTTTCATGAATATGTCCCATAAGTGCTGAGATCCTTTTTATTCTCTTGTGCAATGTGCTCGTTATTTCTTCATGTACGACAGGTGTTGAACATCAGGAACAACTCTTCAGAACTCTGGACACTGCTTCCGATGCTGTTCAAGAAAATTTGGACAAGATGCGTTTTGAATGCAAAAACTTGCAATATGAATGTGAAACCTTCTTAAAGCAGGTTGAGGAATCTGAGGAAAGACATCGAAAAGTCCTTGCAGAATCATCACAGAGGGACATTGAACGGGAGAATCGGCTGGCTCAGATAAGGTAGCACTTAAATTTTTTTTCCTTCATATTTTTCGTTCATGTACTGGCCCTTTTAGCTACAATTTATGTGAGTACAATCAGTTCTTTTTTTCCGTTTTTGGCTTTCTCTACCCAATTTTATTTTATTTCAGGGCTGAGCTGAGAATGTATGAAAATATTTTGCAAATCGGAATTGAGGACGTAGTAAATGGAGAAATTCGGGGTTGGTGGATTCGATTTCCCCTTAAATTTTGTTATCACATGGGACTTGTGATTTTAACTGTTTTTTATTCCTTTACCGTCCAATCTAACATGCCACCTTTTTACCTATGACAAGGAATTCACATTTTGCGTGCTTTTTTCTCTTGTAAAATGAAGGTGTGATATTTAAATCCAAAGGTCTTGCTTACTGCGACTTAGAGGGAGTAGACGGGTCGGAGGAGGATAAGGAGAGCACTAACGTGTCCCTGCACCAATACTCCCGGGTATGCTTAGGAATTCTCCTTTTTTACAAAAATTTTCTAAAGTTGTATAATGCTTTATTTTCCTTTTAGCTTAATAGCCTTTACTCCCAACTCGAAGTGTCAGATCAATGGAAACCATTTGTACAGAGCTTCAGATAGTTTTTCATCATTAAGAAAATTATTCGTGCATGATGTTTTGTTCATTGTTAACTTCACCGTAACCGTTTGGGATGAGGATGGACTTTTCGCCATCGTGTAATCTGCCTTGGGATTTTTGGTACAATACTTTTCCATACCGTGGCGGTGTTTGGTGTTCCACTCGTGATAATATTTCCTACTTAAAGTGCATAGTAGAAAATTTTTTGTTTTACGTGCTTTATGAACGTCGGTACTAGAATCCCAATCTACTTCGGAGAAATAAGTCTTTTCTTTAGTATGTTCAACCATTAACTAGAATTGTGTACTACTAACATAGGTCGCACGTTAGGCAAGCGTAACGGCTACGTAGTTGCTCCTTTTTCCCGAATTTCTGGTCAGGCATTTACGTGGATACTTTGGATGCAGTTGTTTTGGAAGACAATCAAAGTAATAAACTTTTGGCGTGCCCATCTGTTCGATGTTACTTCTCCGTCTTGTTTGAAGGTATTTTTTAGCCGTATGCAGGGTTTTGTCCATTTTGTTGTAAAAACTGGTCTTTACTCATTATAATCATGATACACTGGCTCTTTATTTCAAACTGGACTTCATCGGTATCGAATTGCTATAGGTGTTTTTGGTACGCATTTGATCACAGGTTGTTTCTGTATTATAACGGGTAGATAGTGAAATAGTTCTCATATGCGGCAATTTTACTTTTCACGCTTGATTATCGTGCTTCTTGCACACACTTTGTGTCTACCTTAGCGCAAAGTTTTGGTATCAGGAGTTACTTGCAGTGAATGTGTGAGAAGGCCTTCATAATTCTTGTTTGTTTATCAATCATCTTTTTACTAACTCTCTCAATTATGCCTTTATGAAAACCTTTTCATCGGCCTCCTCAGCAATCATCGTCCCTCTTGCTGTATCTTCTGTTCGGGGGCTGTTCTATCATGCGTATCTCGCGTGGGCACTTTATTCTCCCAGTCGTCACCCACCCCTGACACATGTCATTGGTCTGTCCCAACACTGCTTCGTGTATCATGGGTACAAGGAGTGGTGCAGACTGCCCCGTGCGGCGTAATTACTGCCGATTATATGTGGTTTGGAATTACATCCCGTAGCGTTTTGATGGATACTGATGCTGGGCGCGCACATTACTGTGCCCATAAAAAAAGAATGCCAATTTTTCAGAGTAGTCAGCGGAAGTGCGGCTTATTGCCCGGCCATCATCCAATCATCTCTGCTGGTTAGTTGCCGCCTCTCACTCTCCCCTATTAGCCGCCATTCTTTAAACGGTTAGCACTAAAGCTAGCTCGTCAAAGTTGGAAGTGGATCCTGGCAAATTGAGACAAATTAATCGGCCTTGACTACTAAGTTGTTTTAGTACATTGTTCTTCCGGTTATAATTTACTACGTATTTAAGTAAGAGGTAGTGGTGATTTTATCGGTCTTCTTAATCATAATGAAAGTGAAATTTGTCCTCAAAACCCATTAGAGTAAGTAAAATAGCGTTATGATGTCGACTCGTCAAATTTACTTCTAATGCAAGAACATGCTGCACCCCAACGGGTATTGCTCTGAAGGGGTTTTGTGGGACCACGACTCAGTTCAGCAAAGTTGTTATTACCATTATCCGTCAAGCGATCCAGGGCTTCTTTCTAACCGTTAGGAGCTGCTACACTTTCAGCAATATCGGGTGGAGTGCGAAGCATCTAAACCGCTATGGGATGTAAGGACGAGTCATCTCTTGCCCAAGCGAGTGGTTTGGAGAGCTGGCACATATGAAACTCTCACTGGAGGCACGTGTTGATGGTTGCCAATTTCGGGAGTGACACTGCCTGCATCTCATTGAGATTGGACATGCAATTATTTTTACTATTTCCGTTTCAGGATCTATTAAGACTGACTGAAATTGTTTCAGCTGGGTTATTTTTTGGAAGAGTGTTCTGGGTCGCTTATTTGAAAAGTTTGTAGTCAGTTCACGAATTTTTCTGGGCCATTTCCCAGTCATAACTTGCTCTGGTGGTATTAGACGTGACACCGTGGTTTTCAGGGGCCGATTTGGTTCACCAATTTACCAAAGGTAGAACAGGTGTGCTGACCCATTATGGTCAATAATTGCATGGATTACATCTATGAGAGTGCACAACACCTACATACGCATGCACACACACGTGTGGGTCCCAACAGGTGCACCACTTTGGGGAATCGTAGGAAAAGGAAGAGTTTTGGTTCATTACAAGTAGCCATGTGTCTCCTTCGAGGTCCGGCCAACTGCGTTATTTACGATCATTTGTAGTCGCGAAAATTGGTACATTAGACGAGGTTGTAAGCTCGCCTGCACGCAGCCACTCACACGCCGTAATATGACCAAAGGAAGTGCCCTTTATTCATTCCCCCAGTGCTATCTCAACATTTGTCTGTTCTTTCACTTATCCATCCTTGCACCACTTTAAAAACCTAATACTTTGAGTGCTGGGAGGTCCGGTGACGAACCACAGTTTGCTAACCACAAGTGACTTTTCCTATCTTTCTATTAATGTAGTCTTTAAAATCTGAATTTCAACACCAGATATCCTGTAGGTTCATTTTAATAATGATATTGCCCTCCATTGCATACAAATAGTGTATATTCGTTTCGGAAATGACATTATTTTCCTATTAACGTTTATATTACTGAATTGCACTGTTTCACTTTAACTGTTTGTAAAACTTGAATAAATCATTTAATTGCTTTTAAGTGCATGTGCGTGGTGTCTTGACATTTAGTTAAAATAACCACTTTCAACTGGATTGGCCTTCTTCAATGGAAGTGAGAATTAAGACTAGACTGAGTGGGAGGCGTCCGTTGTAATGCGTAGAGCTGTAGGTAACACTAAGGTGGCTTCCAAGTGAGGCGAGATTAAAGCTTTTTCCCAAGTTAATAGATCGGTACATCTTTACTCACTACTCTCTATAATGTTCCAGTCTAAGTTCATTTCCCCAATTTGAAGATCTGGTTATTTCTATCTGATCACTCTAGCACGATTTAGTGCGGTGCCAGCACATACCCAATTTTCACCTTTCATAAAAATGCGATCATGGCCGGTATTTTGTCCATTTAACATTCCCATTCGGCAGAAAAATGCACAATTAGGAGACTGGTTGGGAAAGCACGCATAGCCGTTCGCGCATACTTTGGCAAAGATCAGAAGCAATTAACCGCGCGGTTAAATTACTCCAGGTCTGAAAAATGAACCAAAATGCACATACACACACAACAGGCAGAGGAGTGCTTCACTGTGCACTGTGGTGGAGGTCAGGTAGTGCCAGCGGGGATACTTGGCGAGAGGATCTTTAGTTGGTGTCACTGATAGTCTGCGCACGTGTGGCTTTACGATCATCTGCTTCTACGATCTCGACTAGAGAAAGTGTAAAGGTTAGAGGTCGATTGGGCCAACTGATTCATACCTCAGTCATCCATGAAAATAAGGATTTTAGATATACTTTCAGTACTTAGTTTTAATCAGAAGGATTTTGAGTAGATTACCCACCTTAGTGCCTCACAATGTTCCATCAGATGGTATATGACTTCAGCACAATAATTTGCAACCAATGGTTATGTGTTCTGTGAAATCCATCAATTCTATATCATTGATAATAAAGTATTGGAAGCAGGACTTCTGAGATGACGCATAGAAGCCGGAGTCGTGTAACTCCATAGGTTGCTGAGCTTCTCATCAGCATTTAAAGGCAGTTATGGCTTGAATTTTTGCTTCTTGTTGTAAATAAATGCTGACTTTTAAGGTTTTCACGGGTAATTGGCCATAGTGTTAAGTGTAGATCAATAAGAAATACTCAAAAAAGTGTGTCGAGAAAGAAATTATGACCTAACAATACTGAAATTGTTGCTACCTGCTTTTAGTGGAAATAACTCGTCACAAATATTTTCAAGTGGAGCGAAATTACTTTAAAATGACAAAACGGGTTTTTTTTAAATTGGTTTTTGGTAGCCGATCTGTACGTCCAAACTAGTGAGCAGTGGTTTTGCCATATTGGAGTTCTTACGTTGAATCAACGTTATGTACTAGTCCTAAACATAAGTGATGGTGTTTCAATGGTGATTCAATATTTGTAGGTATTTTTGGGCGATAATGTGGATTTGTAGAGGGCCACTAATCGTAACAGAACAAACACAGTTAGGCAAAGATATGCTTTCTCGATATGAACAGCTTTTAAGGTGCATACCCAAAAGTGGGTATACCCTTTGCATAATGCAACAATTCAGTGAGCTCACAAATGGTCCGTGAAAGCTGGTAAAAAGTGCTGAAGTGTTAGTAGTAATGTCACTGAGATTTCAGTGTGGCAGACAGTTTGCTACAATCGAGCCGATGTTGAGCACAACGATTTCTTACCGGATAGTTAGACTGCAAATCGCAATCAACTTTAGAGATTTTGTATTTAGCGTGCATCATTGCGTAGAAACTGGCTTAAAAAGGCGTAAAGGTGAATAACTACGATTCTCTAGACGTCTTAAGTAAGCCCTTTTTGTCTCTCCAGCAAGTGCTTTCTTTAATGCTAATCGTTCTGAACTATAGTAAAATTGTAGCAGAAATTTAAAGTGATTCTTAAGTGGATATTCTGTGAATGGCAGTGAATGTAAATATGCAAGACTTAAAACTCCTTTTTATTAAGTCATAAACAATGCTGGCGATTATGTTTTAATTATCCAATTAGCAAAGTTGGATTTAAATAAGAAAGTGAGACCAAGTTTAAGGGTATTTAGTTGCTAATTCGCTGGAGATGAGGTTCCTTAATAAAAGAAATCTTGAAGTGCTCCGCACTACAAATTGCGTATGGATGGTTAATTTATTAAGGAGCCATAGAAATGGCCTTTCAAGAGGTAAAACCGGGAACTTTCTAGATGCTTTCATTCGAAAAAGGTGAAAGCACAACTATTAAGGGTGCGGTAATTGATAAATGGCTGCCGAATGATTGAACAAATGGGTTTTTTGGCCATTTTGAGAAATTTCAATCAGCTTTGCAGGCTAACTGAGTCCTCGGATAAGCTCTCAGTTCCTTTTCATTGTAATCGTTTTTATCGCTTCGCAATAGTAAGATGTGAACCAACGGTCTTTTTGCTATGCGAATACTTTAGCCAATTTAACAAGCCATGCGATTTCTGGAGCCTAACGCATTGACACTCGTTTCCGTGTAATATTAGTAAACTCAACAATGAAGCAAAGAAGCAAATTTTTATACATTTAAATCATTTGGATTTGCTTGTTTGTTTGTTTGCTTTCTGCAAATTCCCGTACCCAAAGTGGGAACCCAATCTCATACCTTAGCCTCTTCCCCTTGTACAGTTGCACACTGTGCTAGCTACTGGACGTTATAAGGGATGAAATATGCACCCTTGTGGCTGCAGAAACTAATTAATAACCTCGAGTATCTTAATGAAACAACCACAACAGATAAAAATTTTAAGAGACCTTTGGAATGACACTCCACAAGTGCCTGTTCGAGACGGCCTTCTGATACTTGTCACTGTTTAAATAAAAATGACCGGTAATGATAAGTATCGGCTCTGTTCAATGCACTAAGTATCAAACACCCCAAACATATTGCACTTACCTGCTGATTACCTTGCAATCCCTTTTTTTAGGTTTTTCAAGGTCTTTCTTTTGTCAATTTAACATTTTTTGCCAATGAAGGCAATAATGATGCAATTCGTCAATTTAAACGGCTTAATAATTTTGTCTAAGTCGCTTCATTCATTGCATGATTGGCATCACATGAAAGTAGATAAAATCAAGTAAAGCTGAGTTCACTTAGTGGCGATCGGCGGTTGTAATTTGATTTTAATCCACAGAAAGAGTTGGTGAATAAAGGCATTCATAAATCTAAGGAGATGATCAAGCCCTTCTGCTTAGTATAGAATACCTACACATCATCCTTTCTTCCACTCAAATAACCCACAAAAATGTTTTCTTATGCATATTTAAATCAGATAGCACAATGTCTCCGAGCTCATATGAAGGAAAACTGTTAAACTCCCCAAAATATTTAAGTGACTAGACCCGGCTAAACACAGCACAACTCCTCTTTTACTTGACGAGATCATGATGTCGCTACGCGAGACAGAAGGCAGCTCAAATGAGCAGTTGGGGCTAGCCACGTGTCACACTGGTGAGGATGCGTCTAGTTTTGAGGTCACATAACCTGGTTGCCCTCACCTATCCACTTGCCCACTCTCGCACCCCTTTCGGCCCTTCTCGTTACCCCTAATTAGTCAAGCGCGCATAGTTCTGTATACCGGCCTGTCCTCGAAGCGGACCAACGGCCCATTAACACACTGTGTAGCATACAGACGCTTGCGCACACCAACACGTGTGTCTTGTTTGAAATGGCAGTGAGAGAGAGCAAGATTAAAGGACATGCGTGATGGGGCGCCATGTATAAAAGATAAAAAGGTATAGATGGGCGTGTGCGTTCTCTAGTGAGATAATTCTCATGAATTAAAAACTGTACATTAGTTGTTGAGTCGTGATGGATTGTTGGTCTCATTATCTTAGTTTGCTAGCATCACGACCAGTTGAACACTGGTGTTGGTGGCTGCGCTGTAGTACTGCCGGTGGTGTCGCGGTCTTGCTTCAATGAGGAAAGGGCTGCAGCAGCGAGATACCAAGGCTGAGTGAAGAGCGGCGCCACGCCATCCGGCGGGAAGGGGTCGCGCCAATTCGGCGGTGGGAGTGGCGGGGGTAGCAGGGTCGGTGTTCCCTCTGTCGGAGCGATAAACTCTCCGGTCTTCACTGATGCAAGTGCTGCCGCAGCAATTGAGGCCGCCCTTAAGAGGAATGACGTCTGGTTGTCGCACTGGCTAGGAGGCTTCTCGGGTACTAATGGGGATAACTGCAATGATTGGGACTTCTCTCCACCTTCTGAGTCTGACTGATCCTTCACTGAGAATTCCTCCGAGAGTACGTTCTTTTGTGACTCAGCAGAAGATTCCATCAGTTTGGAATACTGGGACTGTATGTAAGAGCGCAAATCCTCAGTTACAGTTTTTCCTGCCTCATCGGATTTTGGAGATGATGTTCCAGGCATGGCATCATTGGAACTTGGGGGAGGTGGAAATGTTTGTGTGTTACAAAGGTACGGAGGAACATAATCTGGATTAGGAAAGGATCCTGAGCTTCCACCACTACTGATATTTTTACCACTTGGGTAGGTAATCGGAGGACTGAAGGCTGTGGGACTGTTAACATCTTTTCCAGGATTCTGTTTCTTCCACTTAGTGCGTCGGTTTTGGAACCATATTTTCACTTGCGTCTCGGTAAGGTTAAGTGACAGAGCCAGATTGAGACGTTCATACACTGAGAGGTAGCGGGTTGATTGAAACTTATTCTCCAATGTGACTAACTGTTCGTATGTAAAGGCAGTGCGTGCACGACGGGCTTTCCGACTGCCGTTGGGGGCAGATCCACAAATCGTATGCGACGCGGAAATGTCGACGTCACCGTTTTCATCAGTTTGACTGGAATCAGTGGGCCAATCGGTTTGTTTGCCCTGACTAGATGATGTTTTCTTCTCCTCTTTACCTTCTTCCTCCCCTTGGGATGAGGAGGCACCACTGTCCACGTCACTTAAATGGCTTATCTTTAGGGGTTCGTATTTAGCCTCAGCATCCGTCCTTTTTGCATTGGCTGGGCTGCTCGAAATCTCTTGAAGTTGTTTAATGTGAAATATGTTTTTATAGAGAGACCGTGCATCGAGGTCCAACTTGGTCACTGTTTTAGCACCTGTAAACAAATAAAAGTCAAGGATTTGTCAGTTTCTTTGGCTCAGAACGAAGACGCCGTGCTCTGCTACTGTCTGCCGGTAATTGACAGGTTCGTACAATATCTGGGCATAAAGAAGTGATCGCACAGACCAGATGCAGGGGTAGTTGGGATATAAAACTGCTGCGTTTGTACTAATTCTGTTGTCGCCGTCGAATAAGAAAAGGGGCGGAGGAGAGGGAAAAGTGCATCTAGTTAGCCGTGTTTGGAGAACAATACCTAATTATTTAGACGTTATGCTCCGGTTTTAAATGGTTTTCCGCATCAGATACCAGACACCGTAACTAACTTTTATCAGATCAAAGCCTTCAAACTTAATATGTATTACTCAACAAATGTAGTACGTAATAAGCGTTCATTTATGTCTCTAGTCCTTTGTATGCTCTATATTTCACAGTATCCTATTTTTCTTCAATAGTATCACGTTTCTTGCAAATTTAACAACTTAAGTATTTTTCTTACTTTTCATGCATGCTTTACACCAGAAGAGACAACTTTTTATTTTATTGCGACGAACCGCCTTAGTTTATTTTGCCCAAAACAAATTGCTTCCATTGAGCCTTTATCACACATCTGGAAGTTTTACTACTACCATTAGCTGATTACATAGTTTTGCTGTTAACATTTGCTTTACATTAATAGGTATGCAACGAATATTCGGTCACAAAATTAGTATTCACTTGTGGAATGCTGCGAAGAATACGTAAAGTTTAATCTTAGGGGGAGGATTTGTCAAGTTTATTATGGCCTTACAGCATGACATAATAGTATGACATTTGTGTTATTCGATTAACAATTGAACTACAGTTACAAATACAACTTGGAACACTATACAGAGTTAAAATTAAGTCGCCGAAACAAAGCGTCAAAGCATAACTAGTACTAATAGGGCTTGAACTCCTAATTTCAGTAAAATTATGAATTAGTGAATAGTGAATCACACATAGACACACAAAATCCAAAATACCCAATTCTGCAATTAGCATATTCCAGCCCTCTGTAGTGTGGATTGAAGAGCCACTGGTCTATTGCAATTAATGTCAATAAATTCCGCAGTCTGATTAAATATAACTACCTGTACTACGATCTCAGAAATTCAAATCATGTGCTTATTTGCTTGAAAATTGCATATACTGATGAAACGCCGTTGAAAATTGGTGAGTTTATGCTAAAATATGGTAATGACCGTGTGCTTCTTGGTAATCTATTATTTTTATGAGGTCTATACAGCTACAAGTAGGCATTCCAAGAAGTGATATACTTATTATGTGCTATAGCATAGGTATCAGTAACACTGTACGCCTTAATGTCAAATTCCATTCCGCATTTTTGGGACAGTTAATGGCGGTGATCCACAACCGAGCTTGTGTATTGGTTGGCTGATGTCGATCCTATGCCACCAAATGCAACATTATGAGCAAACATTTTCATTACAGCTTTGTTGAGGTCATGCGACCCCAGGCTACGATGTCCGTAGCAAGAATTAAAGTTAGCGTGAAGCCTTGTTTTAAATTGAGCATAATATGCTTGGTGTAATTTTCAAGATGAAGGATGTTTATGTCTGCCATACAAGGCGTAATGCGGGCACACTAAAGTAGGATGCGTTACTGGAGCTCCACCCTATTTTAGGAACTGCAGTAGAGCCCACGTATCTTATCCTCAATATTGTACTCCGCTTTTTAACAACAGTCAAGTGACCTTTTATGCCCCCGTCGAAATAACGAAAGGGAAAGCAGGGTATCGCCTTGATGTCATTTTATAATAAACACGACAATCACATAAGTTGAAGTTGCTTTCCATTCTTTGAACCAACCCTTTTCTCTCCAGCAGCTCAATTTCCAAAGAAATCGTACTCGAATTAACCTAATTCTCAATATGTAACTTTTATATAGAAACCATCTGACTGTTCTCGACAGAATCTGTTAAATTCACATAAATGGTTGTTCATTAGTAACGCAAATAAATAGGCTTTCGCACTCAATTCACTTTGCAGATTTGATGTAATTTAATAAAATAGTAATATTCAATTAGTTGCTCTATCAATCGGTTTAAAAACCATCTTCCGCAGATCTTTTATGAGCGTTGTCAGAAGTCGTATCGAGGTTGGGGAAGGAAAAGTTTTGCAGATCAGTTACCTTGTGATTTAAACTACCTTGCCGTCATCGCCCCGAAAAAAAATGTTTGTGTTTTTATGGCCAAATTTTAAGCAGTTGCTTTTAAGTAGTTATTCACTATTGATTACCTCTAAAGTGAACAGAAGTAAAATAAGTAAAATAATACAATATATTTTTCATCCCTTAGACAGGGAAATACCACTACTTAGAGACTTGAAAGTGCCCGATTAGTGGTGTTAATGACCAAGCAAAGAAATACTGATGTAATCTGCAGGCTAAGTAATATATCTTAATATTATAATGCATGTAAGCCATCATTCCCCCAAACAGTTTTTAAATGCTTGTCAGAGGTGTTGATGTAACTCATTAAAGCCAGGAGTGTAATAGTGAGCTGATCTTTCTTTAAATTTGGAATGGAAGTAGCTGGAAATAGAACTTACACGTACTCATTGATGCTTGAAGGAGGTCTTGAATGAGGAAGGAGCGAGAAGTAGCAACTGTTCTGGCTTCTTCATTGCCGACCGAAAGCACCTCCTCAATGGTATTTATGCTGACGCGCTTCTCCGTCACCACCGCTACTTCCTCTTTCACCCCCACCTTATGATCGCACTCACTTCTCGACCTCAATCTCGGTGGCGATAGCGATGTTCGACGACGCTTCGTTGCATGCTGCCGCTGCTGCTGCTGTTGTTCCGCGCCCGACATCCAGCCAACTAAAAGTTGTGTGGCCGCGCGTAGTTTTGATGAGTGTCACCAGATTCGTCTCTCTCACTTTCACTATCTTATCTCCTCGTGCGCTCTCTTGCCCTTCTCCTTGAGGTGGCGGTACACTGGCATATGCACGCGCGCACACAGCCGAGGGGAGGAACGAGTTGGGAAGGGAGAGAGAAAGTGCCTAAAGGTAGCAAATTTAGGGAATAGCGTCGCACCTCTTCTGATTGGCGCGCGATGCTGTCAGCTACTGGCCAATGGGAGGTGTACGTTATCTAGTGGACGAGCAGTAATTTACATTAATTAACCGCAGACCGGCGGAATAACAATCCATTTCGCACATATTAACTTCTGCTGCTATCAACTGTTATAGGAATTCGTATTGCAGCACACATTTTGACTTCGCTCGACACAACCATGCCTCTTACTATATTTCGCTGGACTAGGCTAATCAACACTGGCTATTGCAAATCTAGAATGGTTTGATGGAATCAAAAGGGTTTTCTATTGCACCAGTTTCCCAACTTCATTTAACTAGCATGTATTGGTATTTAGTTGACAACTCGTTAATGGAGGAAGGATCATGTGGTGTGTAAGAATAATGATGCTTATAATTATTGGTCAATGACATGCCAACCTTCAAGTTACCACTGAAATACGCAGTACTCTATTAGGTTATGGCCGATGTGCGAGACTAAATAATTTAGGGTTTTATCACATTGAGGTTAGCCTGCATTTTATAAGAGAATCTCAAATCACCCTTCGGGTATCTGTGAGCTACATATAAGGGTACCCTTCAAGTAATAGAATAGCGCCCTTTAAGTTGGTTCTAGATATACTCTTCCTAGTCAACGTTCAGTAAAGTCTTGTAATCTACCAGAATTTATACAATAGATGGTTATCTTTCCCCTCATGTTCAGCGTTTCTCTGGGCTAACTGATAGAGATCGGAAGTAGAGAGAATGAAGCAATCGATTTGGTCCCTTAATGCATTCAAAACCTACCTTGCAAATAAGTCCTAGCATTATTTGGGCTTTTCACAAACCTTATTGCTACTTATCAAAGCGTATTCCATCATCAAATAGCATCATGATTTTAAACTATAGAATGTTTTCTAGAAATTTTGAAGCCAAAATTTCGTCAACTAGTCAAGTAAGGAGAAATTTTTGGAGCGAGCACGGTATGTTACCATGTGATATGATAAGTCTCGATGTCCAATCATAAGAGAATTTATTACCTCTCTCAAAACCATTTCCTTTAAAAAAGCTGACTAACTTTCCTAATCTTTCCTAATCTTTATCTGGTAAAAAGTTAAAATACATTTTCATTCCAAGACGCATGTTTGTATACAATGAAAAGTAAGTGGATTTAGCGATCATTTTTGTCCTAATGTGATTTTGCTAACTTCTCATAAGTTGATGGTTACCTCTTTGAAATCAACTTAATCTGTGCTGCCTGTAACTCTGCCAGAGTGTCGCGCCTTGTATTGTGGCTCCTTTAGCATGCCCACCGGGGAGCGTACTAACTTGATACCGTAATGATGATTCATGGACTCACAGAGACTTTACATCCGTGGTAGCCAGCCTATGGTCAGGATTACTAGGCCGTATAGAACACTTCATGCATAACTGAACAACCTAATTCAAAAAACATTTCAATACATTATTCACAAACTTCAAAAATGAACCTGAGTTGAAGGTAAACATGTATAGTTTCCATTAAATACTCTTAAAATAGGAAACTGTTACATTGGAAACCCTCATTTGCCCCACATGTATTCCAATATTCTGGTTTAGGGGGGTTAGAAGGGCGAGTTCTTCTGCGATCTAACCTTTGATATTACATTTACGAAATGCGCTGCCCCTGTTACCGACATCTAGATCTGTGGGTGGTTGTGTGTGGATGTTTTTATGGGCGCCCGCCATATCGCGGTAACGCTACGCGGCTAATTAGGCAAATCCCGTCGCGACTGTTACCACGTTCGTGGAAGTTCCCTTCTAGGCACACCACCTTCTTTGCACCGTCAGTACAACAAATGTTGATGTGGGAGAAGGAGGGAGCCTTCTGTAGATCCGGTTTGGGACACGGACTTTTACATGTGACATGTCTATGAATCTGAGCCGGCCGTTTTTGCAATGCTACGTTTACTAATCTAAGTTGGGAAATTAATCAGGGACGTAAGATTCGATAATTGCATAACTACGGTTCGATGCCATCCGGAAGAAAAAGACAAAAATAAACGAAATCGCAACTTCCTTCATTCCTCTATAGCCACAAGTTTAACGAAATTCTGTAGGACTTTATAGCGTCGTTTTCCCCAACGAATAATATCAGCCGAATGATGGCCCCTCGCTTCGAATTGTCAGTTTGGAAAACAACACCTGAGAAGCCTACCCCAAATGTCGCATTCGGTACTTTTTAAGTTAAAAACACACTAAGTCATGTGTGAGTACTTCCACTGGCATTTCATTTGGTGGGTCTCGGATGAAGCCGCTGTCCATCCACTTCATTAACTGTTTAAGTCCCGAATAGGGCTTGCGTAGTTATAAAGACAAGTAAATAGGGAAACAGTTTGAGAATATCGAGAGGATTTTTACTTATATATTACTCGGTGAAAAACATCGAATGTATGAAATGTGCAACCGCCCAACCAAATTTGAATTTCCCACCACACTATCTATAAAAGGTTTATCGAAGTGAAAATAAAGTTCCCAAATTAAAAAGTCAACCGTACATTAAATTTGCAAATAAACTCTAGACTTGACTTCCAAGACAAACTTTATGAACCTAAAATATTTGAAAATTGATAAATTTCCGAATGGCTACTTTCATTTTCTACTTTTCTGACGTTCATTAGCCGTGGAAATGAGAGCTAACAACATCATCCAGAAGTAGTTCACATCACATCTTTGACCTCTATCGAAGGAAGACATTGAAAACTACAGCTCTTTGCTTTTCCTTTTAAAGGATTAGACCACCAGCCTTACCTTTTCCTCATTATGTTCAGGAAGAAAATAAAGACTAGCTGAAGTCGTTTGCTCTTTTAGGACGGACACGGAATAGCTTGGTGTGACATGTAGCAATAGTAAGAATCTATTTTTCAAATCTCTTAATAAAGTTCATAAAATCCAAAAACTAAGTGCCTTTAAAGTGGCTCAATGCTTATAATTCATAAAAACTGTTGGATATTCGTGCATATTAGTTCAAAAATAGGGAAGTGAATATGTAACTTAATTGCCTTAATATGGATATCTGTTAATGACGCTATTGTAAGGTAAATTTTGAAGTTTAGCCTGTGAAAAAAAATTTAGAAGTAATTTTAATCAACAAGCGATGATGTGATTAGAATCCCGTCCATTGGAAAATGTTAATCTATGCCATTAGCAGCAGTTTCGATGATCCAAACTACTTCCAAGCAAAATTCCCAATCCGCTACCACCACGCTTCGCTTATGCAGAGTATAGCGGTCAGAAATCTCACCATTGCACAGCTTGCACACAAAGTAGAGTGCACCTTGATTTATATATTAGCTTCAATTTTCGAACCAGCATTGCATCCACAAAGGCGGTAAATCGACCTTTAAGCTGGCTCCAATGCATTCAACTTTTTAATCACGTTAAGCTTTTTCTTTTCAGAAGGGTGAATTTGCGCGACCACTGACCTCTCGCTTTCTTGCCTCCTCCTCCTCCTCCACTATCTTGACCCCTTTCCGTAAGAATAAAAAAAGACGATTTGGTATTGGTACCAGAGGCGTGAACATCCCCGATGGGTGTGCGCCAGAGGCATTACTTGTTGAACACGCGCACGCACCTGTCGCGACACCGCCTTCCTCTTAGGAAGTGACCTTTTTGTAAGCCTCCACAAATGCAAGCACGCGCACACGCACGCTCCAATGTCACGTTGCCTTTACTACACCCCTGCATTGAGCCTACCGCGATGACATCGTGGCGGCGATGCGCGATTCGGGTTTTACCGAATTACTGCCCTAGTGGTAAGATGGCGTCCGCGCACACACAAGCGCTAAACGCTTTTTCAAATTGGTCTCCCTCACCCTCGCTGATATGCAGTTAACACGAAAGGTGGGATATCCACACACACCCTTGCATCTCTCACCCGCTGAAATGTCAGTGCGAGCGTCACCTCCGATTAAAAATGCCTTTTTCTCTTTTCCCCATCCTCATTCTCTTTCTTTTAGTATGGATACACAGCTTTTTAACACGCGTACTTACAATTTACACACTAGATGCCAACAGTATTAGAAATTTCTTTTACGATCGCGTGAATTAAGACTCACCGGTCTTTTAAGACAATTAATTTTGCGAAGGATATTCAAGTATGCGTTTGTAGTATACGCAAACGGATCCATATAAGATTCTGTTACTACGTCAAAGCATCGTATTTTTTCCATCGCAACCCAATTTCTGAAAAGCTCTTCCATAGAGTTGACAATAAATCTTAAATTATTTTATGTTAATCAATTCTTTATCTCTGAATGTTTGGTTCTTCTTATACCAAAAAATCAAAAGTAAAGACGGTAAAGATACCGATGTATTCTTCCACATTAGATTACTTCTACATACCTCAACAAACGAATAAAACCGATAATGAGACCTTAATATTTTGCATCAGTGAGTTACGGTTCTATGTAAGTGCTGAGCTCTTTCAGTGTGTCAGCAT